CTTTCGTTCTGGGTTTAGCACACTAGACCATATACAGGCACTAGAACAAGTTATAGAAAAATACGAAGAGTTTAATAAGCCACTCTATCTAGGTTTTATCGACTACAGCAAAGCCTTTGACAGCATAAGCCACAACTCTATATGGAAATCACTAAAGAAATTAAACATAAATTCGAAATATATAAAGATTATAAAATATATATACAACAACAGCATAAGTTATGTGAAGCTAGAATCTAGAGGTGATGCAATTAATATTGAAAGAGGAGTCAGACAGGGGGACCCCCTGTCACCTGCTGTTTATCATGTCGTGGATAACGACTTTTAGTAATATTAAGACGGTGGTTTTGATTATTATTTTAAATGATGAAATGTTGTTTTGATAAATATCACAAAATGAAGGGTAGACTCCGTAACGCCACAGTATAAAATGGCGGTACGTGGACAGAGTCGTGGCATTCCGTGTCAGACAGTAATTCTGTCCGTCTTAGTCAGTGAGTCTCTGTCAGTCAGTCAGTCGGTCAGTCAGTCAGTCAGTCAGTCGGTCTGTCGGTATGTGCAACGAAACTGTCGGTTTACCCTGTCATTGTGAAAGTTGTGTGTGTTGAGTTTCAATAATTATTACTGAAAAGTTTTATTGACTAAACTGAGTTCAATCAAATACAAGCGATGACGGAACCTACCGCTCAGCCATCCCTGACGCGTGCCGACATCAGAAGTGAGATCGGGACTCTACTCTCACTGGCGTGACGTGTTTGAACATGTTCGAAGTACAGCAAAAAAACATGATGCAGATCAGAATACTAGTAGTGGTACGCCACAAGAGCGTGAATGCAGCATACGTAAGTCGTGTAATAACGTCTCTGTTATTTCGATGGAAGATCTGACCACGACGAAATAGTCACATCTTACGTTCTGGCTCAAGTTGCCCAGTTTGACTGTCGACTTCATCACATGGCATTTACTAGCGGAAATACAACACGTAACAAGCTATTGCAAGAAATTAAGGCAAGTGCAAATCTCAATGACGAGTGGGTAGTTCCGACAAGAGTTATTTTAAGCGGCTGACTTCTGCTAGAGTTACATGGCACTAGTGCAGTAAACCAGGACATGAGACTGTGAATTGTCGCTGANAGGACAGAGATCAGTGGAAAGGACTGGAGGAGGCCTTCACCCGAGATGAGGGGTCCATATCCAATAACAAAAATTAACTCGTACTAACATTTAGACAATAAGCATTAATAACTAACTAAACACTAACAAATAAATACCACATTTCAAATGAAAGAAGTGCAGGATAAGGAAATACAGGCTTTTTTATTTTATTTTATTTTATTTTATTTTACATCAATAACACTATTAAAAATAACTGTAGTAAAGGATTATCTTTAACAAAATAATTAAACGGGTAGGCATCGGCTTCACCCTGATATTGATGTCCATGGACATCTATATATATAAAATTGAATTGCTGTTCGTTAGTCTCGCTAAAACTCGAGAACGGCACGACCGATTTGGCTAATTTGAATTTTGATTTTGGTTTTTTGGTTTTGGGAATTTTGGTTTTGAATTATTTGTAGATACAAATAAAAGGAGAGGAGATTTAAAAGGTAGATAGATATGAAAATGCGCAGAATTAAATAAAAATAACAATTTTGTTCTTCCATTGATGTGTCCTCCGTCGGAGGGACTCCCTTTGTTTGTTTTAAGTCTATTTTATACAAAAGTTTATAGGTCTTTTATTTATAGACTACGAAGTCTGCCGGGTCAGATAGTCAGCAATAAAAAAAATTTGCAATCGTACCTAATTATTAAAAACTCCAAGAAACTATAATTATTAAGCAATACATATTATGTTTCAAATTAACTTAAAATGTTCTTCATATGAAAGATTATATCTTTTACGCGTTTGATAGATTCAAATTAACTTAATCAATATGTTTTTATCGATATCAGATATTTTACGCGTTTAAGGAAACCCATAAAAGTAAATTATTTAGTGAAACAAAATACCCGACATTAAAAAGATTTACTAAAGGGCGAAAAATACAAACTATATTATTAAATGCATTACAAGCGGAGACAAGCTAATCGTTCAATCCGTGGTGTTGACATACCTACAAACCTTTAAATTACACACATTAATAATAATACTGCTTGAATTACTTTTAACCGGCTTGGCCAATTACCTTAGAGGCAAAGTAAGTCTGGCCGTCTGGTGTAGTGGTAAGTGACATGGTCACTACACAAGGGGGTCGCGGGTTCGAATCCCGCCAAGGGAAGGTATTTGTATGATAAATATAAATGTCTTTTCCAGGGTTATGGATGTATATTAAATATATGTATGTGTATAATAAAAATCTTACATTTATTTCCGTTATCTGGTACCTGTAACACAATTTCTTTACGAACTTATCACGGGACCAGTTAACGTGGTGTGATTGTTAGTAAATATTTATTATTATTATATTTTTTTTTTAATGTACAGAAGTAATATGATTTGTAAATTGAATAGCTTAAAATCTAAGTGCTTTGTGGTATCTTATTTGTATTAATGCATCCATTCAGTTCTCTTTTAAATCTTAAGATAATATGTTTAAAGAATTCTTCTGTCTGTGCTTATGTTAGTGAACTCCTCTGAAACGGCTGGACCGATTTTGGTGATTTTTTTGGTGAATATGAATTCTAGAATGGTTACAATTAAAAATTCGCTCCATTGGAAAATGTTTTCTTAATTGTATTTTTTATAAAAAAAAAGTTTGAAATTTTCGGATTTAAGACGCGTGCAGAACAAAGTTTGTCGGATCTGCTAGTCTATACTAATATATAAATCTTCAGTGGTTTTACGGATGCTCCGTTATAATTACTGAACCATGCATCCGATTGACTTGAAACTTGATATCCATGTAGAAAGTCGGTTCTAGGAAGTTCGGATCTAGCGATGCACCGGTGTTCGAATCTAAGGCGGGTACCAATTTTTCTAATGAAATACGTACTCAACAATTGTTCACAATTGACTTCCACGGTGAAGGAATAACAACGTGCAATAAAAATCAAACCCGCAAAATTATAATTTGCGTAATTACTGGTGGTAGGACCTCTTGTGAGTCCGCACGGGTAGGTACCACCGCCCCGCCTATTTCTGCCGTGAAGCAGTAATGCGTTTCGGTTTGAAGGGTCGGGCAGCTGTTGTAACTATACTGAGACCTTAGAACTTATATCTCAAGGTGGGTGGCGCATTTACGTTGTAGATGTCTATGGGCTCCAGTAACCACTTAATATCAGGTGGGCTGTGAGCTCGTCCACCCATCTAAGCAATAAAAAAAATATGTAGAAAGTACATGTACTTAATGGATAGGCTAATATTTATATGAGTGTTGGACTCCCTAATAATAATGACAATAAATAATAATGTTAATTTTAAATGCCCAGCGAAGCGGACCACTACGGCTAGTTTATTATAAAGTAATCAATAATTTGTTTACAGATACAATAGGGCGCGCATTCTCTCGATTTGCACTCTGGTTTTCGTTGTCGCGATTCTCCTCATGGGCACGGTGACAGAATACTGGCATCTCGTAGTACTCCGTATGGTCATGGCGGCAGGGGAATCAGGCTGCAATCCCTTGGCGACAGGAATCCTGACAGATCTGTTCGCTGAGCACCAGAGAGCCTTGGTCCTGTCCATCTTCAACTGGGGTATTTATGGAGGATACGGTATAGCTTTCCCGGTTGGAAGGTACATCCCTGACTTGAACATTTGGGGTCTGGTGAGTAACAGTGCATATTATGCATAAGACGTATGCTTAACTTTCCTTTTTTGTGTCGAGCCGTAATTGCGGATTTTTTATATTCGATATTCGCAGCAGTTCCGAAAAAATCACCAATACACGTGTTTTGATTGATATTATTCGATTCGGTCTAATAACAAACCGAAAATACAAATACAACAACTTTTTTTTTCCGAAAGCTGTGTCCGCTTAGAATCGAATTTGATAGCACTAGCCCATGTTCTCTTAAAAGACGATAAATGGATTCACCAGACGACATCTAGTAACCACTTAACGCCTTTTTAAATCACTCATTTAATACACGCAATATATGTATACATATTATTGTCAAACAATAAGACAATTATGAAATATCTAATTGTTTGGACATACTCTCCAACAGCGCGGTATTTAGGCTCTAGAACCAATGACAATCCACGTCCACACTATGATTATTTTTAATTCCCACAGAACTGGCGCTTGTGTTACTACGGAGCTGGAGTCGTGGGTCTGGTGATCGCTGCCCTGACGTTCCTCACGCTTAAGGAGCCTGAACGTACCACCATCGGTGAAGAAGGTACGTCAGACAATCCAACATTCCAGATTAGGTGTTAGCCGCTTCAAGGGAAATTGTATTATATAATTTTGGTCATAGGTCCTAATTATAATAATCATAAGCTCCAAGAGACCTTTCCAGATCGAAGTCTGTATCAGTATTAGAGAATATTAAATTTGGAACTTGTATTTTATGTATTTTATTTATTTATTACCTGATGTTAAGTGGTCACTGGAGCCCATAGACATCTGCAACGTAAATACGCCACCCACCTTGAGATATAAGTTCTAAAATCTCAGTACAGTTACAACGGCTCCCCACCCTTCGAACCGAAATGCATTACTGCTTCACGGCAGAAATAGGCGGGTTGGCGGTACCTACCCGTGCAGACTCACAAGAGGTCCTGCCACCAGTAATTTACCACCACCAAACTATAATTTTGCGAGTTTGATTTTTATTACACGATGCTATTCCTTCACCGTGGAAGTCAATCGTGAACATTTGTTGAGTACGTATTTCATTAGAAAAATTAATTAAAATGAAATTAAAAAATGAATTAAATGTATTTCTGAAAATCTATGACACAAGGGAAAATATTATCATATTATCTTGGGGCCGTCGGAAATTCCAATTCAATTCGCGAACCTACTAGGGAATCTCACAACGCTGTCCGCCCCGACGGTCCGGAGTCCCACTAAAAAGAAAAACAATAGGAACACGTTTTTCCTCAATCTCAGAATTTTCAAATTTTCCCAGGTAACACGAAAAGCAACGACGCAACTCTGGAATCTGGTAAAAAGGTGCCGCAGGTCACAATCTGGCACGTCATCTCCCAGCCCAGGATACTGCTCCTCTGCTTAGCCGCTTCGATCAGACATTGTGGTGAGTCTAAAGATATACTCTTGATTCTGACAACGAAGAGGAATCATGTTATATGCGACTAAAAACTAGACTGCATTAAACCTTCATTGCTATGAAGGGGTTTTTTTTATTACCCTTGTGGGCAAACGAGCATACGGCCCAGCTGATAGTGAGTGGTTACCGTCGCCCATGGACGTCAGCAATGCCAGGGGTAGAGCCAAGTCGCCTTTTTTTTTTTTTTCGGGTAGAGGGCCGAACCTCCTACGAGGTCCCCGCGCAAAAGGAGCGCGCAGGGTATGTGAGACTCAACGATCTGCATGGTGTTGTGAGCAGACCGCGGGCCCAAGGATTTTAGGACCCACCCACTAAACGACTCCCCTGCACTCTTACACCCGACGTCCGATCCCCTCCGAGGTCAGAACCCGGATGAGGTAGGGGGGCTACCGCGGTCAACACTACAACCAGACGGCGCGGCTCACCCCAAGGACGCCCAGCCGACGGAGCCTTCGAGGCGAATCGAAGGCTCTGAAACGTCGGCCGTCTCGGTACGGCAGCCCGTCGGGCCGCCCAGGTGCCGCTGCTGTCCCGGAATACCCCGCTGAACCTGAACCAGCCTGCCGGGTCGGGACGCGATACACCGTCGACCGGTCACTCTATTCACTCCACGGCAGCGCGCTAGAGTGCTGGTAGCGCGCCGCGCGGCCTCACCCCCTCAGGTCGCCCTTGACCTTCACCGGGGGGCCAAGTCGCTGCCTACCGTTAAATTTGTTTTACTTTGCATGAAAGAATCTCGTACCTACAGGTGCTTTGTTCTGCATATCGTCGTTGTCAAACCAAAATCTGCTATGTGCACTTTTGAGATTTTTACTTTTTGACCTTTTCGTATAGTTCACAGCCCTATCTACCGTATAAAATAAAATAAAAAATTACATGTGTGCAATTCACACGTGGTAGAAGTGAAACCTTCCAAAATTAAAATACAATTATCCTAAACGTCTTAAGTATATGTAAAATTTTGTCATTAGTAAATAATTGTAAGGTAGCGCCCTCTGTGAATTGATATTTTAATTTCACGTATAATCCTAAATTAAAATTCACTACAAGAGCTTTCATACACACGTTAGTATTAAAAAATCTCACAGATGGCGCTGTATTAAATAGTATGTATATTTCTATCTCATTCTTTGCTGGCTTCATCCTACACATTTTTGTATTTGTGTCTCTTACCTGTCGTTTTTTCCGTTGCATCCGGTTTGAAATCACAACGGTTCTAAAGAAGTTTTCACTTCAAAAAAACTATTGAGGCCTCATGACTCAAAGTGGAGCTACAATCGCGTTAACGTGCCTAAAGATTCCAATGATGACTTGCAAACCACCGCGCTATAGTTACGTATAGATACAATTGCAAAAACCACTACGCTTAAGTTAAATACTTGAAATTCTCCAAACAAAGGCTTTGATATAATTCTTGTACAACAATAAAATGCAAGGTCCATAGGATATTGTGATTTGTAACAGATAGGGACAAATTAAATTATTATTAAGAGCACGATAAAGCTGAATACACAAATGTACGTTTTCATACGAGTTTTATATTAAACTAGCTCAGCCGGCAGACTTCATAGTGCCTCAATCGATAAATAAAACACCTAAACTTTTGTAAAAAATAAACTCTAATTTATAATGTAAAGAAATAATTTTACTCACAATATACATTAAAAAATTACACTACTTAACCTAACTATTAACATGAAGAATGCCTTTGAACATTTTTATAAACGTCACTAACCTACAAGTAAAAATATCCAGCTCACTGTGCTTAGTGCGAGTTTTTTAACGTTCTCGATAGCGTAAAAGTTAGCTCATATTTTTATGGAATGGGATTGTTTGCGTACGTTTGCCGCTAGGGGCGCTGTTCCAACTGCATACAAAATTAGGTTAACTTTTACGCTATCGAGAACGTTAAAAAACTTGCACTAAGCACACAGTTAACGACTTTGCCAGTTCATTATAGATTTTAATATGATATATTGTTTTTGTAAATTAAATAATGCAAACACATTGTTTTTGTTGACCCTACGAGCTACGTTTATTGCTTAAAGGCTCATTAAAAAAATAATAGCTGAAATGCAATCGTTACTTCAAGCTTTAAGTCGAGTCGTATGTATTCACCGCTTAATCCAGTGTACAAATTAATATGTACATAATTAGAAAAAATATCCTTCATATATTTACCAAACGGAAATCACACTTCATAACATAATAAAATTACTTAGCGCATTATAAAAACAAATGATTTGAATTCTGGTACTTTAATTCGTCTAAATACGTAACCTATTAATCAAAAGTCAAATCGCTGCTTTGAAAACAAATTTGAAAATTAGAACTAAGAGGCTAATTAAAATTGAAAGATAAATAAAAAGGTTCACTCTAATTACGTATAATTGAGTAGTACTATTATTACTTTGAAAGTAAACTTCGATCGGATGTCGTTACAAAATCCAAATATTAGTTTCGTTATAAACATCAGCCCACTGAGTTTCTCGCCGGATCTTCTCAGTGGGTCGCGTTTAAGATCCGGTGGTAGATTCTGCGAAGCACTGCTCTTGCTAGGGTCAGTGTTAGCATCACTCCGGTTTGAGCCCCGTGAGCTCACCTACTAACTAAGGTTACGCTGAGATAGCCTCCCAAGACTATCAGCTTAACTAGGAAAAAATATATAAACATGACTGCGTGTACAACTGCCTTAAGTAGCAACTGCTGTCATAAAGTCACGCATGCATAGTTTTAAGTGAAGGAAACGTTAGCATAATTTCTTGATTGCAAACTAACACCGGTCACTCACATACGCACGAATACGCAAACCCGCAAGTGTAGGACGACATTTGCAAATGATTATGCAAAGTTTTCGTTGCATTCGTGGTTTTCCAAGCTGTGTCGGTTTTTTAACAGACATCAAAGCGCGCGAGCCGCGTTCCTTCGCGTAGTCTCCCACACATTCGTGTGACCAGTTGCGCCCATGATTGCGAAGGCAACGGACTTTTCGCTATTTTCATAGATCGTGACGTCTACTGTGTAACGTATCTTCATCAAAAGAAATCCCATAAAAACAGCATGGCTGTTAATGATGTCTGGGAAAGAATTCAAAACTCTTTTTCTCTTCAATGTTCTATTGACGAATTAAAAAGGAGGAGAAATTCGTGAGACATTCGTAAACAAGTGTAGGAGGAAGCGATAACGGGTTCGCAAATTGAGTACCGAACCCATTTGCACAGCCGCTAAGTTTGCGAATGAATGTTTGACGGCCCTTCACATGTGAGTGGCCGGCATAAGACTTGAACGTCAAAAATGCGCAGCTGATTAGTTGACTGGGACTGTACACCGTCAGCTTACGTCTGCACGTCACCTTTAAAAGGACAACAACGCAAAACTGATAGTGATTGTCGCCCAGCGTGATCATAACCTTACCAAATGTCCTGCCAGTCACGACATACGCCTAAAGAGGTTGACAACAAACGAACCTCAAGGTCGAATTCAAATGCCTTTTTGTAAGCACCTAGATAATAAACATGGGCGTTGCGAGTGGTTTAAAACGAAGCAGGCCGTTGGTCGAAGAACCGTTTGAACTATTAATCTTTCGCTCGAATGCGGTGGGGGGTTATAAACTCAGTCGTCACTGCGACCCACGTGGATCTGTTGTGATTGTACCTAATATTATAACCATAAATAATACACATAAATTAGATTATAACTACCTGTTTACTTAGTGCGAGTTTTTTAACGTTCTCGATAGCGTAAAAGTCAACACAAATTTGTATGCAGTTAGAACAGCGCCCCTAGCGGCAAACGTAGGCAAGAATTCCAACTACATACAAATTTGAGTTAACTTTTACGTTTTCGAGAACTTTAAAAATCTCGCACTGCTTAGTGCGATTGATCAGTACATAATCTTTTTAATTACATCCATAATTAGATCGCATTCTAAATTATTATAAATTTATATGAATGTTACACATAATTGGTTGTGTATTAGAAATGAGAATGAGAATGATAGAATAACAACCGTGAACTTAACCATGCGTTTCGATTTAAAGGTTTGACAGGCGTACAACGTATTATTATGGCGGGCTATTATTCCATTAACGATGTCTATAGGTTTAGGTAACAGTGTGATAATCTGGGAGACATAGGAACAGTTTAGGCAAAAGACCCTTTATCTTTCTGGTTACATCCCCCAATCGGTACGTAATTGCACTGGTATTATTACTAACTAATTAAATCATTATAGAAACGCCGATAAAATCCACTCCTTGTCACTAGTGTGTACTAACAATAAAACAACCTACATTTTATGACTTTATGACTTACGGAAGCAAAATTGGGATGGAGAACCCAAAAAGCCCGTTTTCGTTCTTAATTTTTCCACGTGGTTTTATAAAATTGTTTTTAAAAATTTTGTCTTACCACACGCATATTTATTCATAATCGGTTGTCCTGTTTTAGAGTTAGAAGATAAATTAATGTAACAAGGCTATTTAGTTACGAAACTTGTGCCTTTGTTCTGCTTTAGGAATGTGAAAGTTTGTTACGAAATTGTGGAAGCGTTTTTTTTTTTTTTGAAGAATTTGCGTATTTTATCGAGAAGCTTATATTATCCAATAATGTTTAATTTAAATAGTTTTTTAAAAGAAGATTTAAATTAAGACTTTAGCACCGCCATAAGGAAAATAACTAGACCCTAAAAAGAAAAAAACTAACAAAATACGCTTTTATAGAAGATCCAATTAAATAATAGAAAATAAATTTTAATAAATTGGTGTGTTTTTCAGGATATTATCAAAATCACCCTTCTGCTCATATCTGTTCCTAAAATATTTTTAGCTACTGATACTATGCACCCCACGCATTTTTTACAATAAAATCATTTTTGTACACATTTTTAATTCAAATTTATTATTATAAAATTTATTTTCTATTTTTTAATTGGATTTTCTTTAAAAGGGTATTTTGTTAGTTTTTCTATACTATTATTTATTTATCATTTTTTAGTTGAATTTAAATTTTTTAAATTGTGTTTTCAATAATTTCGAGTTAATCCGACGTTTTGAAGGGGGTCAAAATCATGTTCAAAGATTCCGTTACAAACATACATACGTCTGAAGCTAATAAAAGCGTATTAAAAAGAGACAAGCGTGTACATAATCTAAAGGATTTTGCATGCGAGGGAATAAAACATAAGACTTCAGATGGTTTAATATTTTTCCCGAATGAACTTCATACAAGTTTTTTTAAATTAGATAAGTCATTATTATAATAGCTTTACTGTAGATACAAATTACGAGATTTTTTAAAATGCGAAGTTTAATTTTGATGACCTAAAGAGTAAAAGACTTTTTTCTACGGTACGTGAGCTCACGGGTTCAACCGGAGAGAATTTGCTAACACTGGCCCTTGCAAGAGCAGTCCTTCGCAAAATCTACTACCAGATCGAAATCGCGACCCACTGAGAAGATCCGGCGAGAAACTCAGTGCGTCAGTGAAAGACAAATGGAGGATCCTCTACCGAGCGGTTTCGTCGCGCGGTTGTCAGTAGATCGACTTCACCATCTCTGTTAGAGTTATCGCAACGTTAGATACTTCAAACCGAAGAATTAACATACACTATACATACACATAACATACACAATACACACACACACACAACATACACAATAAAAACACAGTAATAAATGCACTATTATATCTTACAATGTATCCTATCATTATATCTTATTTGTTTAACGAGCAAAATCCATCGAAGGATCATCAACTTACGATTTAATCTACGCGTAATGTTTAATTCAATCGTTTTACAAATTACTTAATTTAGAACACAATATTAATGTTGTTATTAAATTATTGAATGAATCACATCCACAAGTCTCGGCTCCCTCAGAAAACGATCAATAGATCTTCTTAACCACCAGGTGGTATGTGCTTCGCCTACAATGCCGATCTGTACTACCGTGACTACTTCCCCGACGTCGATCTCGGCTGGTGGCTGTTCGCTGTCACGGTCGGCATTGGATCCGTTGGTGTTGTCGCCGGCGGGATTATATCAGACAAGTAAGTATTGACATTGACGTTAAACATCATATTTTGACAGAAATTTTAGCGGGAACTAGCAAGAATAACAAATACCCGAGGAGAAAATGAACATCTGTTCAAGAGAAGCAGTTCAGCAGATGCTTTATTCGAGTTCGGTTATAAAAAAATCATACGTGTCAAATAAGAACAATTGATTTATTATGAATTCGCTTGAGAATTGTTTGAGTCACTCTGAGGATTTTTTTAAATCTATAATACTTTTTACCATCACGCCGTAATCATCCACAATACTTTTCAATATATATAATTTTCTCTATAGCCAGCCAGATCCAAAATAAACTTCCCTCCTGAGCACTAAGAAATGTAATTGTTCGAAGAAGGTTTAAGAAAAAAAAATCATCGGTGATGAATCGCTTGGCTATAACTGTAGCGTTGCCAATCTTCAAGAGCGGGGACGTCGCATTAACTCGACCACATCACACCCTGCCACCATCGTTCTCCTGCCCTTCTCCCAGTCACCTGGGATCGGCGCAGCATGTTTTCTCCTTCCATACTCCTCTGTCATATACCATTTCTACGCTCACTCTCCTCTTAGACATATCGTCTTTCACGCAATCCATCCATTACCTCTTTCTCTTCTACGACGTACCACCATTATGTAATATATGATCAATATTTTCAGATACGTAGCGAAAATGGGGATTAGGTCCCGAGTGCTTGTGCTCGCGTTGTCCCAGCTGATAGCTACCTTACCTTCGTTCGGGTCCGTCGTCTTCGGCCCGCTTTGGGCTATGATCACCCTGGCCTTCGCATATTTCTTTGGTGAGTTCCTGCGGTCGCGTTTATTCTATCTTAACTAATGACGTACTCAAACATATCACACATTTACAATTAAATCGAAGTTATTAAAGTGCTCTACAAAATAACGAAAATAAGAAAGGTAGTACAGTAATACTAGCCTTGAATGTTACGCCAAAGTCGCGGGTTCGATTCCCGGCCTCGGGCAAACGTTTTTGTGATAAACAAGTCTTTGTCAAGGTGTTTACTATATCTGTATCAATTAAAATGTTTACAAATATGTATGTCAGTATCTGGTACCCATAGCACAGGGAAACCTAATTTGGGGCCAGATGACCGTGGGTGATTTGTTCCATTTGTATTATTATATTAGTTAATCGATTATAGCAAAAACCTGACACAATGTCAATGACGCAATTTTTTTATTGCTTAGATGGGTGGACGAGCTCACAGCCCACCTGGTGTTAAGTGGTTACTGGAGCCCATAGACATCTACAACGTAAATGCGCCACCCACCTTGAGATATAAGTTCTAAGGTCTCAAGTATAGTTACAACGGCTGCCCCACCCTTCAAACCGAAACGCATTACTGCTTCACGGCAAAAAATAGGCAAGGTGGTGGTACCTACCTGCGCAGAATCACAAGAGGTCCTACCACCAGTAATTACGAAAATTATAATTTTGCGGGTTTGATTTTTATTACACGATGTTTTATTCCTTCACTGCGGAAGTCAATCGTGAACATTTGTTAGTACGTATTTCATTAGGAAAATTGGTACCCGCCTGCGGGATTCGAACACCGCTGCATCGCTCGACACGAATGCACCGGACGTCTTATCCTTTAGGCCACGATGACTTAAGGGATTCCGTTTTCGTTTTCAGCCGAGATGTGGTTTGGCATTGTGTTCGCGGTATTGGTGGAGATCGTGCCCTTGTCCGTGCGTTCCACAACCGTCGGTGTCTTCCTCTTCGTTATGAACAACATCGGAGGAAATCTGCCAATTCTGGTCGACCCCGTTTCCAAGGCCATCGGTTATAGAGAAGCCATCATGATTTTCTATGCCGGATTTTATGGCATCAGTAAGTTTAATTTTATTTCATTAGTCGTTTAAGAATTTGCAAGTAGACATACTGACGCCCTAAACGAGTATTCACTGAGTATTAGAAGCGTCCCAGATATTTATACCTGTTTCGCGGATTTTGAGGATGTCTGGTTTGTAACCTCTTTGCATTCAACACAATACAAACAAATAAAGATCAGCAAGTGCTATAGGCGTTTTGATAAGCCCCAATCTAAAGTTCGATTACGTCAAACATAAAATAACTATAAAGTGATACTCACTTATACAATATAGCTGTTCACTTTGATTTCAGCAACAGCCTAGATTTTTATTATCAAAAAAAAAAGAACAAAGGCCCTGGAATTCAAAAATCGACGCGATAAAGTCGCTTAAAAAAATAATTACATGACTTTAATTATTCAACCAACAGGCAGCATCCTGTTCTTCTTGACAATGTTCCTGATGGACGGACCGGTTGAGAAACAGGAAGAAACAACGACACCCACAGGATTGGACAACAGAGCTTACAGCCACGACGAGCTCAGGCAAACGAGAGCATTACCTAACTCACCTAACAGTAGATTATAATCATAAAGAGCCACGCCTTCAATTTTTATAGTAGAACGGCAATAAGGCTATTGTTTTGTGTAATGGTAACCCAGTGCTTGGAAAGTGATGTGCTTGTAAAATATACATACAGTACGATACATATTTTGGTGATTACTGTGAACCTCAAACCATTTATTTTCAAACTTAGTACTTTGATACAGTGTTAAAAAGTTTTTGTGCTGCCAATTACAGGGTGTTATTTCGAATGTTGTACGTAATTGTAGTCCTTGATACTTACAAATAACATTATACATTTAACTTGTCAAATTTAACTGAAACCGCCTTTGTTTAGTTAAAATTAAGATTTAAATGACTTAATATTATAATCATCTTTCAAGTTAGGCCCTATCTAGTACTAAATGGGGTCTAAAACACTTGAGCCAAAAAGTTATTCAATTGAAACAAAAAAAAAATGATACCAATGAGAAAATGTTCAAGATCTTCAGAAATAATACTGTTAAGATTTTTAGATGTAAAATTTACAATAGGAATTTAGTTTTAGTAATTAGTTGTTATAATTTATTTGTTTGAAGTACAACAATAGCTTTGATCGTCTTTTATATTTCGTTTATAACCTCCAACTCGGCAACTTCCTGACAATTCCACGCGAGCATTTTCTTTATGTAAATTTAAAATTCGAGATAGGGCACCACTGTATTTTCAGTTTTTTCTGAAAGTTTTATGTAGGTAGGTACCTATTTACGCTAAAGTTTAGACCCAAAAACTGCTCGCCGTTGTAAGAAAACATTTTGTAATGTATTCAATGTTGTATTTTTCTACATATTTATTTGTTAGCAATACTGTAAAAATACTGTAAATAAAAAGTTGTTTTAAATTCTTGAACTTTACTTTTGAGTCGTCTATTATCAAAGGTGGCAATCTGTGCATTTGGACAAAAAAAAATTATTGATATGTCAATACAGATTGATTTGAATATAATCGTCTCCTTCAAAGAATACGGTTCAAAACCTGCATTAAATAAAGGTTAATAGTTAACGTGTTATTTATCTAAGATGTCGTTCCGAAGAGTTTTGTGACTGCCAATGGAATACAAAGTCAATAATTCGTTTTTCTGATTTACCAATCATTGTCCAAAAGTCAGATTGCCGGCTTTGATAATAGACGACTCTTTTCCTTTTCTTCACCTCTTCCAACGTATTCCAACCGGCAGGGAAACAAAACACATCCTTTTAAAATTGCCGCGCAATTTTACCAAAGACAACGTAATCTTCATGTCATGATTGGGTTTTAGTTTAGTTTAATTTAGTTTGGCTTATCTTAACGTTGGGTTTAGTTTTTAATCTAATATCGACATTAACCCCACGAAAAGCACAGCGGTGCTCTTCAAAAGGGGTCGCCCTCCGAACACCACGCTGAGCATCCCCCTCCCGACTAGGCGCGTCAATACCCCCGCCCCCGCCGTTCGCCCAATCACGATGTTCGACCAGCCCATACCGTGGGCCCCGAAGGTCAAATATTTAGGCGTCACCCTCGACAGTAGGATGACATTCCGCCCCCACATCAAGACGGTACGCGACCGTGCCGCCTTCATTCTAGGACGTCTCTACCCGATGATATGTAGGCGAAGTAAAATGTCCCTTAGAAATAAGGTGACACTCTACAAAACTTGCATACGCCCCGTCATGACCTATGCAAGTGTAGTGTTCGCTCACGCGGCCCGCATACACTTAAAATCCTTCCAAATCATTCAATCCCGTTTTTGCAGGATAGCCGTCGGAGCCCCGTGGTTCGTCAGGAACGTCGACCTCCATGACGACCTGGACTTAGAGTCCATCAGTAAGTATCTGCAGTCGGCGTCCATGCGCCACTTCGATAAAGCGGCACGACACGAGAACCCTCTCATCGTGGCCGCCGGTAACTACATTCCCGATCCTGCGGACAGAATGGAAAGCAGTCGACGTCGCCCTAAACACGTCATCTCGGATCCTCCTGATCCACTAACGGTGCTTTTAGGTACTTCAAGCACCGGTCACCGTTCTCGTCGAACCCGTCGCTTGCGACGAAGGGCTCGACGAGTAAATTAACTCTCAGACACAGCCCACTGAGTTTCTCGCCGGATCTTCTCAGTGGGTCGCGTTTCCGATCCGGTGGTAGATTCTGCGAAGCACGACTCTTGCTAGGGTTCGTGTTAGCAACATCGTCAGGTTTGAGCCCCGTGAGCTCACCTACTAAAGTTAGGGCTACGCTGATATAGCCGCTAGGGCTATCAGCTTAGGTAGGAAAAAAAAAAAAAAAAAAAATTAATCTAATTCACAAAAATATTGATTGAATAATCATTTCACATTGTTGTTGTTGAATTCCGTAACGAGTGGCCTAGAGCCTATCATAAAGATACAACTTAAATTGATACTTGATAAGTACATTTTGTTTTATAAAGAATACCGACGGCCTTTTTTTAATCAAAATATTTCGAAAGAATGTTAATTTAAATAAACTTATAATCACTTAATATTAAGTATTTAGAAATTAATTTTCTTTCACGCCTTTAATAGATGTGATAGTTGATAGTTGTTCATAGAACCTCAGAACATTCAACGAATTTAAAAAGAACTTCAAAACATCACATTAGTTTTAAAAAATCCCCGCGTATCAAAGACCCTTGACAATTTACTGGTTTTATTATTTTAGACTACTATCCTAATAGTATGTAGTACTATGCTAATTATCTATATGTATAAAAATGAATTGCGGTTCGTTATTCTCGTTAAAACTCGAGAACGGCTGGACCGATTTGCCTAATTTTGGTCTTGAATTATTCGTGGAAATCGTGGCAGGGGGGTTTAAAAGGTGATAGGGGAGCGGGGGGTAGCCCCGGCCGGCGGGTAGCCTCGGCCACCGCAAATACTAGTGACTCTCTTAGTGTTACCTATAAGTACGTGTTATGTCTGTGTGCGTTTACTATCCATTCGAAAAATACTGGCAGCTGGAAGTCACCCGACCACGGTGCTCGGACATAAATTGAGTATTTTGTTTTTGGCGGACTGGTTGCGCGGGATACCAATTGTTTCGGAGGCTATTTTTATTGGATAAACGTAGGTTATTATTTAGATTATATTTTTTTACATATTTCAATACATTTCTATTTCATATATTTAAGTTTATCTGAATGTGTAATAATATGCTTTTTAATAAGAATTTTTTGTTTGATGAAAATTGTGTCGGGTAACCCCGGCCATCAATTTTGGGGGTACCCCCGGCCATAGGAGCTGACGCTATTATTTCTCATATGTTTAAATCTAGCACCCAATATTAATATGTTGCAGTGGTACAATGCCCAAATTTAGGAATAGAACTACAAATCGCGGAGACTGGAGTAAAGAGAATATGAAAAAAGCAATTCAAGCTGTCCTTGACAAAAAATATTCTGAAAGAGCAGCCGCAGACCGATACGAAGTCCCACGTACTTCTTTGCAAGATCGTATTAAAGGTATAAAACAAGGTTATCAGGTCAGTCTTAAACCAAAATTAGGACGCTTTGAACAAACATTCAAACCTGAGTTTGAAAGACAACTCTGTGAGCATGTTACAAATCTAGATAACCGTCTTATGCCTTTAACAAGAAGTGAGTTTTTGCGCCTTGCCTTTGATTTAGCAGAAAAACTTCAAATTCCTCACAGGTTTAACAAGGACAAACGAATGGCAGGAAAAGATTTTTTCTGCGAATTTAAGAAAAGAAATCCAGATGTGGCATTAAGAACTCCTGAGGCAACTAGCTTGATGCGTTCTACCAAAGGTGCGGTAAAGACACCAAAGGTGCGGTAAAGGTCAAGAGAAACATAAAAACGGGAGTAAAAGTTAAGAAGGTTGCATCTCAGCCAGATTCGTCACATCAGGAGACGGAATGCATTATTTGCGGTGAAACATTCGATGAGGATTGGATCCAATGCAAAATTGCAAAATATGTGAGGACTGGACTCACGAAGCTTGTGTAGATTTAAATCCATCTCATTTATACTATTACTGTGATGTGTGTGTCGCCAAAAAACGCATTAATCTTTAAATATCTGGGTGGCCGGAGCTACCCGCCATCTTTAAGGGATACCAAAATTTGATTACTTTTTCAAGTGGCTTTAATTACAGAGGGATTATGTTGTTGTCTGAGTTTTCGATATTTATCTTAAATAAATATAATGTTGATTATTTTTAATAGTTTTTTTATTATTTTACTTAATAAATATAGTCATAATATCGAAAACAAAAAAATGGCCGGGGCTATCCCCCTCTCCCCTAATATGAAAATGCTCGGAATTAGGTATATAAAAACAAACAATTTTGTTTTTCTTTTGATGTGTCCCCCATCGGACGAATTCCTTTTGATTTTTAAGTTTATTTTATACAAAAGTTTAGGTCTTTTATTTATCGATTTAGGCACTGCGAAGTCTGCCGGGTCAGCTAGTAATAAATAAAAAATATTTTTATTTCGGTTTGCTGTTATAGGCGGATTTCTCCAATTCATTTTCTATTCCGATTCGACTGCCAACGAATCGACCAATCACTGCTCTTACTATGGCAGATGTTACTTAGCAAGTCTCCAAGGCTGAGCCCCTTAATTTTTATTTTCCTACCTAAGCTGATAGCCTTGAGAGGCTACCTATATCAGCGGAACTTTAACTAGTAGGTGAGCTCACGGGGCTCAAACCTGACGACGTTGCTAACACGAACCCTAGCAAGAGCCGTGTTTCGCAGAATCTACCACCGGATCGGAAACGCGACCCACTGAGAAGATCCGGTGAGAAACTCAGTGGGCTGTGTCTGAGGGTTAATTTACTCGTCGAGCCCTTCGTCGCAAGCGACGGGTTCGACGAGAACGGTGACCGGTGCTTGAGGTACCTAAAAGCACCGTTAGTGGATCGGGAGGATCCTAAATGACGTGGCTGAGCCCCGTGAACTCAGCTACACATCTGGTGAAGGTAGCATAATCCCTTAAGGTTACTAGCAATAGGTAGGAAAAACAACAAAATTAACTTTCTTTTTTGTAGCTGCTACACTTCTCGTAATACCAGCGAATGAAAAAAAGTGGCATTTGAATTTTTACAAAATTCTTCTTACGAACTTCTTTCTGCCTGTACCTCACATTATTTGGGGTTGTTGTAAAATGTACTCTTATCAAAGTGTAGAGATTGGGCGTGGCTTTTACGACCGACGGCCTGCCCGAAGTGAACCCTCATTGGGTTATACGTTATACCATAGTATATTCATTGCAACATTCATTACAGAAGGACTTTTTCAGTTAAAATTATTCTTTAATTCTGTTCTATGTGTTCACGTCATGTTGTTTATTCTGTAGTGTCGAAGCTTAGTAGTAGCTGTGGGCGATTGAGTACCATCATTTTACAACATACAGAGTATGAGCTGTTTTAACAAATAGGTTTATTTCCTTTCTTCGAAGGCAGACTAGCAGAAGGTCTACCAGTTACAAACAAAACTAAATAAATTTGTTTTTTTTTTAGTGAAAACAAGTTTATTCTAAGGCTACTAAAACATCACTATTTTTTGACACTTTGTATTTATATAATTTCTCTTTTCTTCTAGATTTCCAACATTTGATTTCTTCTTTTGATAGTACATATTCTCCACTGACTGTAACTGCATGTAGTTTATCTGTAAATACATGATTTATTTTCGTTATTGCCTAGTTAATTTGTACAAGCCAAACATGCATCCAACCTAATAAAAATATAGGCACTGCCTTTATTAGAAATATGAAGAAAACCAACATCTGGAAACCCTGGAAATGGTTTAATCAACGCATCATATTGACTTAGCTGATATTCATGATGAAGAAAATTTGAAATGTTTTGAGTTATTTGAAAGAATGATGATTGAAAACATAAAGCTAAGTTACTCGCAGGCATCTGTGGCGTGTAGCCATCATACAATACAAGATATATGGCAGATGCCCGAATCTCGCTTACGACATTTTTAAGATAAGCTTGCATATCGATGCCTCCAATGAACACTACGCTAACTCCAAATTTGGTAGATTTGCAGGAGGAGCGTTTAGACGAAAAAAGTTGATAAAATCTTTATTATTGCAGATATATTTATGGTTTTTTTGTGTAACTAGCTGATTTACTTTTGCTCCGAACCCCATCAATAATTATTAATTATAATACTTTTAACATAATGAAGCGATTTGCGTGAAAAACGAAAATTTCAAAATTTTGAGTTAGTGTTCATTGGAGGCATCGATATATACAATTTCCGAATGACAACATTCGGACCGTCGATCTACGGAGCAATATCACCCGCTCGGTGGAAGATCTTTCTTTCATCGTCTAAGCCTCCTCCTACACTAGTGACCCCAACGTGATTTGAACATGCAACCTCCCACACATCTAATCAAGTGGTTTCATCTAAACATAAGTATGTGTTCACCGTTTCTCGCTTCTATTTTTAAGATGATCTAGATTGATTGGGGTCACCATGAGAAAAACCAACTGTCACTTGTTCAATCTGCTCTTTCATGAAATGTTTAGAGATAATGCTTCTTTAAGGCAGAACTACTCCACAGCAGATTTAGATATTTCTGTAGTGATGATTGTAGAATAATTTGGATAGCATTTTCTAATAATATTGAATTAACTTCATCCTCCAAAAAAAACAGAATTTGCAAGAGATTTTTTTTTATTGCTTAGATGGGTGGACGTGCTCATAGCCCACCTGGTGTTAAGTGGTTACTGGAGCCCATAGACATCTACGACGTAAATACGCCACCCACCTTGAGATATAAGTTCTAAGGTGCCAGTATAGTTACAATGGCTGCCCCACCCTTCAAACCAAAACGCATTACTGCTTCACAGCAGAAATAGGTGGGGTGGTGGTACCTACCCGTGCGGACTCACAAAAAGTCCTACCACCGGTAAACTTTTCTAACTCACCTATGTCATCTGAATCAGGACCAACTTTACTAAACTTTAACTGTTTCGCTTCACAATTATGTTTCTCAGTGGATATGTCCTTAACGTCATCACAAGATAAAAATCCATTTGAATCTTTGAACAATTTGATACCTCCCTTTATTTTGCGTTTTCTGTAATAAATATATACAAATTTGGTAAATCTTCCAAAAAGTTTCATCACAATAAATAAACTATTGTTTAGAGTTAAAATTGTTTTACTGTGTAACCTGTAATCTGTAAGCTAAATAAGGTCTGATAAAAAAATTATGCTTCAATGAGTGAACAATCTCGCAGCCCTGTTGTCATAATTGATACAGATCATTTTTTCATACTTAAGAGCAGAGTATGTGCTTCACAACCAAAATAAATAACATGGTAGTTGCCAACTCATGTGGGCCTAAAATACATTCAACTACCAGTCATTACCGAAAAATTTATGTTTTTCCAGGTTTAATATTTATTATACAATGCTATTGCTTTATTGTGGAAGTCATTAATAAACATGAAGTATGTATTTTATCAGAAAAAATTATAAATCTGTAGGATTTCAACACCAGCATAGTGACATAGCTTGGTATTGTGTACACTAGACATGCGCAAAACATCACTTCCCAATGTAATGTGATATGACATCACTTTTACAGACAGGTGATATTACTCGAAAACATTACACATCACTCATAACATTACTCGGTGCGTTCAATAGATACTGTGACGACGAATACATCGTATCTATACACCCGAATCATTACTTAAGTGATGTGTTGATACACATCACTTAGGTAATGATTCGGGTGTGTCATTACAGTAGTGTATTACAATACAAAGTATGAACTTTGTATTGTAATACACTGTTATATTACTTGACAGAGATTGACTTACTTAATAATATAATAATTTTATTTTTTACTTAATATAATTTATTGTGGGATGAACGGATTTCATATGGCGACTTAGACTGCAAATTGAGCTCGACAATAATGTTAATATACGAGAGCAGTAGATGCATTGTTTCGGCGCGATATCCTCAAAGTGCATCCAAGGAGGACTGTACTTTCATTTAGACGCCGTTATTTCTTTCACTTATTAAACACGCATTAAAACAAATAATAAAACTATCTTCAAACAAGTGCTTAAGTAATTCAAATCAAACACAAAAATTAATATGAAATATTACTAAACAATTACGAGCGACTAGCGATTTTACAAAAGTTGCGAATAAAAAATTAAGTAACTACTTGCGGGGTACTACCGGCTGGCCGCATGAAAAATATAAACACAAATACCTATATTAAAATTCAGACGTACCATAGGTATAAAAATGTACCTAGCGGCCAGGGCATACGGTTCAAAATCACTAGGAATAATTCCGTGTCTCTTGCTCATTTATTTTGCGTCGATCGGTCTGTCTCGCTCGCTCTGTTCCGTTCGTGTATTAAGCAACATTACACGACAAAGAAAGAAACATGTTGGGTGATAGTGTGATGTTTGTTTCCTTCGCGTAATGTGTGATGTTGCATTACATCGTAGGGTAATATTACCCGAGTAATATCACTCGCATTACTTACACATGTCTAGTGTACACCAGGTGTGTTATATGTAGACCATAATGACGTCAATTTGATATAATGTATACAGTTTTGTGGAGCAATTGCTCCAGTTCCAGCTACTGGTTTGCTGATTTTAGGAGTATACAGTAAAATACAAATAAGCTAACAAAAGTTTGCCAGTAGTAAATAATATTTCAACTCGTAAAGACCAACTTTAATAATACCAACATTACACTTTTGTGTATCATTTATGTTTGTAATCTATGAGTTATTGGTCTCAAATAAAGTATTCCCTAGACAAATATTCTTAAAATGTCCAGATGATAAATGTTAAATGATAAAAGTTCACATTAATGCTTAGTTCCAGTATCATTAACTCCATATCATAAGCACTATCATCTTTTGCAGTGAAAATAAACATTTACTTTGGTTTAACAGGATCTACATCCACAAATCTTGTATTTTTCTGTATGATAGTTGATAATTTAGCACCAATTCTTTTTTGCATTTCTTCTGGAACCTTCACATCATTGTAGTGGCTTGATATTTCTAAGTATCGTTGGGAGACGGGCTTTTCTTCAATGGCTTGAATAAAAAAAAAGGTTTGTAAGTGTAACTATAAATATTATTTATTTAATTAAAAATGAATGTTTCTCTCAAACACTTATTTAGCGTTTCATTAAAAGATGGAAATATATAATAATAGCATTATCATAATAAATATAATGAGCAAATAATTTATTTTACTATTCTTTCATATTTAATCATTGCTATTTACTGCAGATGCCATAGTTTCTAACCTACTAGGTAAAAAGAGTAGAAGGATAATTATCGGTGTATACACATATTTAGGCATTAATTGTTTAACGGAGGGCTCGTATGTATACTACTTAAATAATATAAGTACCTTGAATTGTTTTAGATCCTGTAACACGAGTTTGGGATAGAGATTTTACGAAAGAGTTGTCGACGACGTCTTTGAAACGTGATAGGTCTTCATCTTCAGATGAATCTGACATAGCTAACCACTGATTATATTATGTTAGTTAATAAAAATGTTTCAAAAGTTAGAAATAACTAAACACATAACCTTGCTCAAATAAAACACTATTAAATGACTTATTTGTTTTGGTATAGTAGTAGTAAGGTTTTTCTCGAAGAGAAAGGCAAAGGAACTAAGCCATACAGCCAATTCTTAAGTTTAATATTTTCATATATAATTTTATGTTTCAAGGCAAAAAAGCCAATTCTTTAGTATTCTTCATTTATAAATATTTTTCAAATCCGTGTAAATGTCTATTCAGATTTTTTTTTTTTTTCCCCATTTGTTTCGGTTGAGAGTTGTCGCAATCGTGTTTCTTGGATAATCTGACTATAAAGTCAAAATTTGTGTTCTCCATTATAAGTCTCCGAAAGTAGAGGTAATGTATTCATATACTGCTCTAAAACTTGCAGGGCACTTAAGCAATTCTTGAAGAGAAGGCGGGATGCTATCCTTATAAACCTCTTGCAGTTTATCAATAAATAGGNTATCTGAGTCGTCGACACTTGCCACATCTTGATGTAGATCGTCGGCTTTGCGCTTTTTGCGCTTGCCCCTCATGTTGAAGCTCACCTATAAATAGTGAGATTATATGCCTGGTTACAAATTCCTGGTAAAAACAATTTGTGAAAATTTTCTTTCAAAAAATTCCGCCTAATAGGTTTGACTTCCCGCCAAAAAGTCCTTATTTGTTTTGGTTTGTTTTTTATAAATTATTTTTAATAGCCTGGATTCTGGTCTTTTAGCCAAATCTTCATTACTTTCCTATCAGACCTTGTCCTCAAAAAGCAAATTAGAACGAAACGGAATAAAGTTAGTTTATTTGAAATTATATATGTAGTTCCATCAAAATTATGGAGGTTTACTGGTATTTGAAGCACATTTTTGAAGAACAAGACAGCTATTTTGTATATCTAATTTTCCCACATTTTCGTCAAAGCGAAACCAATATTAAGTGTATAATCTATGAGCGAAACTGTCTGTCTACTGAATAAATCATTTACGTCAAGTGTCAGATACCAGCTGTTTTTAGGTTACTTTTAAACACTATGATATTTATGTAGGTACCTAACTAAATACTAGTGAATAAACTATAATTACCTGCATTTAATATTTAAACCTTAATGTCAACACATAGCGATAAGTATGGGTGAATACCGGAGACCACCTCCAGACCAAAATTTAGTGAACTTTACCCAAAATAGTGATTATGATTCGCTTGCAAAATATTTGATAGGCAACAACTATAGATTTCGTGAAAATATCATTATACCAAGAATTCTTGGACCTGTTATAATTAAAACCAATGAGGAGAAGATGATCGAGGCAACGGTTGAGAGCTGTCCCTTTAAATCATTGACTAGTTGTATAATTGGTAAGTTAAGTGCTTGCAGTAATATTGTATCTTCGGTTAATTTTTATTTTTTATTTTTTATTGCTTAGATATGTGAAAGAACTCACAGCCCATCTAGTGTTAAGTGGTTACTGGAGCCTATAGACATACTCCACCCACCTTGAGATATAAGTTCTAAGACCTCAGTTGAGTTACAATGGCTGCTGTATACCCTTCAAACCGAAACGCATTACTGCTTCACGGCAAAAATAGGCAGGGCGGTGGTACCTACCCGTGTGGACTCACAAGAGGTCCTACCACTAGTAATTATTCAAATTATAATTTTGCAGGTTTGATTTTTGTTACACATTGTTATTCCTTCACTGTGGTTCAACCAACGCACCAAACGTCTTATCCTTTAGGCCACGAGAGCTTCGAAATACAAACACCAATGCAGTGAAGCATTGATTGGGATTTAAGAGTTAAAACTTTCCCCCGGATTATTCTGCACCAGCCCTGCCTAATTGCATAGATTGCATAAAATGACCACATTGATATCCACATGGTTTCTTTAGTCTGCCTTTGGGCATCTTCAGAACTATGCCTAAATGATGCTTATCTGTGCTCACAAATACTACACTATTTTGTTTTTACTGTTAAAACTAACCAAATAAAAAAGGTGTACTTTTCATATTCTATAATTGGTATTGTGTGAAAAGATTAACATTTTGCCAAAAATGTTTACTTTTTTTTAACTTAACAATGAAAGTTTTACTGTTACCGATAACTAATAGCTAACAGGGTACAAAAACATTTTTTTATTACAGGATATGGTCTAGGAGCAGCAGTGGGTCTATTCACATCTTCCCTGATGCCTAACGTAACAGATACAACTGCCCAACAAAATCAAACGGCTAGAGAGATTTTACGGGAAATGAAAAACTCCATGTTGAGTTATGGAAAAAACTTTGCGATACTTGGTGCTGTGTTTTCTGGAGTCGAGTGCTGTATCGAAACAGCAAGGGGGAAGTCTGACTGGAAGAACGGTACTTATGCTGGAGGAATTACAGGAGGATTAATTGGATTAAGAGGTATGATGCATTTTAATCATTTTTAAAGTAATGTATTGTTTAGTCTATTTCTCTTCTTTGGATTATAGTTGTTTGCTACGATATATTTATCAATCGGAGTTCTATAGAAAATTATTAGTAGTAGAGATTGATTTCTCCTTTTACCATTATTGTTGAGCTTGGCTTGGTTTCCATTTAATGTTATGCACTCTACATAAATAATATAATAAAATAGTATTAAATATCTGTTGTCATGTAGTGTGTTAACCATAATATAACTAATATAGTATAGTATAGTAATATAGTAATAGTACTCACTCAGTTCTCAAAATTAAATATTTTTAGATATTGATTCTCAAGACGTTAAACCATTACCTCAAGATTAGAATTCACGTACATATATTTTTGTTATCAACATTTTGAAAAAAAAGCTACCTACCTATTTAAAAATATTTTATTGAAGTCTGCGTTAAGTAAAGACTGTAAAAACAAAAAATTAATATTTAAAAATTGGAGGAGAAAATGTTTAAGTATGTTATTGTTACCACTTAATAGTAGGTGGGCTATGATTTCCATTTTATATTTAGCTATATAATTCTATGTATATATTTAGTGAAATATAAAAAAAAATCGATCAACAACAAAACTTCCCCAAATTAAACATTCTGAAAAATTGCAAATTAAGCACTAAAATCTTCGAAAAATTCTTATTACAGGTGGATTAAAAGCTGGCATGTTTGGAGCGATGGGATTTGCAGCCTTTTCCACGATCATTGACTACTATATGCATCAACGGGCTTAAATAATAATTTAGTTTATTTTATCAATAAAATGTTAGTAATGTTATTTTTTTTATACATTTCTACTACGCAAGATAATTTATTTATTGTCCATAAATATGACAAAACTGTTTTTTTAACCTTATTTGAAAAATGACTTACGTATTTCGCATGCATAATGATTTCAGAAATTCAGGACACCGAATAGTCAGTCAAGCTAATCAGAGATAAGGGGTACAGTCTGTGGTGAACATTAACTATCAACCTTCCCATTACTTCATCTGTGGTTGCAGTATTTTCTCTACACCTTCCCAAATCTACTAGAACGTTGACTACTGCCCCGAGCAAACATAGGATCTCATTGAAGACTGCGATAGACTTATCATAGTGATGATGAGAATTCCACCCTATTCACCGTAGGCACTCAAACAGCATGAAAGTTGTAATGTCGCAAAATTTTGTACCATATATTGAATGGGTGGGGGTACTAGAACTATGGACCGTGTGGACCATCCACTGTTGGGTGCGTGGCTGTTTCCCAGACTGGTGGTACTGATTTAAAATACAATACGCCTATCTACCATTCTCTTTGTCGTGGAAGTATATGATTCCTAAGAAAATTTGGTATTTGACTATGTGATTTTAATGCTTTTTTTTTATTGTTTAGATGAGTGGACGAGCTTACATCTACAACGTAAATGAGCCACCCACCTTGAGATATAAGTTCTAAGGTCTCAATATAGTTGAGCTGGGCTGCCCCACCCTTCAAACCGAAACGCATTACTCCTTCACGGCAGAAATAGGCAGGGTGGTGGTACCTACCCGTGCGGACTCACAAGAGGTCCTACCACCAGCAAATAGCATAGCACAGCTTGTTCGTGTACAGTGATAATTTTCTCTCACGCCAACTAGTTCAACATACCGGCGTGACACGATAACCTTCTTATCGTGGCCGCTAATTACATATTCGACCCAGTCGACAGGGCAACGTAAAGCCCTCCTTTTTTTTATTGCCCTTGTAAGCAGACGAGCATACGGCCCACCTGATGGTGAGTAGTTACTGTCGCCCATGGACTTCAGCAATGCGAGGGGCAGAGCTAAGCTGCTGTCTACCGCTTAATACTCTCCACAACCCTCGTTGCCCGAAACATGTTTAAGCGAATCCCCCCGATGCACTCTCCGTGCTTTTAGGCTCTTCAAACACTGGTCACCATCCTCGTCAAACTCAATTACGAGTTCCACGAGGACGACCGATGCGAGAGAGAGATCTGTCACGATTCCGATCCGGTGGTAGGCTCTGCAAGACGCTGCTCTTGGTATGGATAGTGTTTGAAAATTCTCTCAGGTTGAGCCGGTAACCTCACCTACCCATCCGCGCCTAGCTGAAATAGTCTCAAGCTACCAGCGAATAGGTAGGGGGAAAGGAAAGGAAGGAAAGGAGGATTACTGATATAAACTTCCGTAGAAATATAGAAAAAATATGTGTCCAGTTAACTGGTGAACTGTGTAAAAGGACACAGTGTGTAATGGAATAGTTCTTAAAAACGTACATAGCAAATAGGTAGTGTTAGCTCCTTAAAAATATGAAGCAGCGCCAGAACGCTCATAACGCGGCAGCGACGTGTTACGATAACCTCTTCATCATGGCCGCAGCTTACACAACAGCTAGGTGCTTTTGAATCCATCGACAGTTTCACATGGGTCTGCTTGATCGTATTTTTGAACCTTTCTACTTCTAACGCAAGCAGCAGCTATAGTGCAATGTGCTTAATGAGAGTTTTTTAACGTTCTCGATAGCGTAAAAGTTATATCAAATTTGTAGGTATCCTGTTGGATCAGCGCCCCTAGCGGAAAACGCTCTAACTTCATGGAAAATATTAAAAAACTCGCACTAAGCATACAGGCCACTGTACTCGTGCCAATGTACTCGTGAAGAGTTGAACGTGATATAGGTTAAAAATGTAATGGCAGGCAACACTTGACACATGATTACAGATTTCGAATGTTAGAATTATTTTAAATGTTTAAAAAACAGATGATTGTATTCCCGTAAGGAAATGTCAAGGACTTCTCATCTAGACACAGCAAGAGAAACATGTAATAGTTTTATATAAAATATAAAGATAATGTATTTATATAATGGTGTAAAAGTGTTCAAACTATCTGCAATATAATTATAATGAAGTAGTGTGTTTTTAAATAGCCCCTCATAAACCTACAGAACCCGATTCCTCAAATTTAACCATCCAACATGCGGACCATTGTTCGCAATGTAACACAATTCAAAAAGGTAAGGCAGTGTTCACGGTCGAGAGGAGTTGCGGGAGCTTATTTTAAGCTGTACAAACAATACTTTTCAAAAATTTGACTAAATCCATCGTAAACCTGTTATATGTTCATACTGTTTGTTTTTGAAGCGACCGAATGAGCGATCCGTTCAGTTTCAGTTACGAGTTCGTGAGGTATGCGAGCTGTACCTATACGAAAAATACCGAATAACCAATACATGCCGGAACAGATCATAGATACTAGACCAGACCGACTTGCTTCGCGCACTGAATTATGGTTTCGCGCCCAGGCTAAATGTCATTGTCATTGATTAATTTCATGACCATCTCTACTAATCTGTGCTCTATGACGTGTTTCCGTTAAAAAAATCAACAAAACCAACGGACGTTTTGGCTTGATTGATTTTTTTGTGGAAACTGGTGAAAATGTATTGATAGTATTTTTTATACAACAACCGTAGAACGTAGTGATTAGATTTTTTAATACGTAGATTTATTAGCGTATTAATATATAAAATGAAGGATCCATTCGTGAAAGACAGTATCGATTCGCCGGCTCACGGTAGTCTAAGAAATGTCGAGGGATGTTACAATAAAAATATATTTAAGAACGCTTCGTTCGTCAATTCACGTCGTGCCTTGCAGTCGGGAGCGGATAAAATAACCAGGACATTTCGTAGCGTCAGGAATACCTTTGGGAATTTGTCACAGGTGAGATAATTATTTAACTTGTTTTAACTTAAAATCAAAAATTAACAAGCCTTTAGGCGTAAAATTATATTAAGTAAATTACATATCGGAAAATATCGTTGATAGTAAAATTTAAAAAAAGAACACGTAGCCATTAACATTGAGAACAAATCTTGTCGGCATGCACATCTATTGAATGAAGTTTTAAATTTAATCGCGGCTTTCGTGTGTACAGCATCTCCGCTTTGGTGGGAGACGTCGTCATCGACTAGCGGAGGCAGGGTCTCCTTGTCGAACGCCATCCACGCCAGTTATGAAGAAAAAACAGGTAACTTTATTCACATACTCAATCAAATAAATTACTCTTTTCTGATACCTGGGAAAATGTTAAATGGTGAAAGTGACTGAAATCTGACAAGAATAATAATTTTCTTGTATACTATAAATTATATCTGTGAACTGTTCGGGCTGCTGATAGCTGTAGATAGCTAGGACAAATGGATAGAAATAACCAGGATTCCTAAATTTTAATGTTTAGATCCCTTGAAAAAATCTCTTTTTTTATTGCCTCTGCAGGCAGCATATATAGCTGATGGTCAGTGGTTATTGTTGTTGATGGATGCAATGCCAGGGATAGAGCCAAACTGCTGTCTGTCGCTGACTACTATATGCACACCGCATTTGACATGAGTGCCCTCAGAAAACACTGAGCAGGGAAGCTTATTCCAAATCCAGATTATATGTTGTAGAAAAGAGCCTGGTAATGCACTGTGGCTGAATGCAGTGTTTCTTGACAATGCAATAATCTCAAACAATACTTCTAAACTTCCTTATGGAAAAGGTGGAAAATACAGAACTGAAGTCCCTCTATAGACTCAAAGTTTCCAAACAATCTGAGATAATTTGTAACGACAATAATGTTATGTTGTAAACATTCACACAGTGTAGCCATTTTCTTCTAGCTATTTTAGTTTAGCATTCATACAAACCATTTTGAAGAGTTGTATGGGCACCATCAGTCTTAACTTCTCCAGTTTGTGCGCGATTATTGCCCGATACCTTACCAGTATCTTTTAATAGTTATTGTAATTGGATAATCATAGATAAATGAAATCAGATATATTTGGGAGGGAAAATATTCACTACCCATTTACTTTTAAACCCTTCTACAAAATCATCATCATCACATGAGTTTTTTTTAAAACAATAATTGATACTAAGATTGTGACTTAGAAGCACAATAAACCGTTTTGGAATTAAACAATCTTCAGCTAAACCAAATAAAAAAAAAATTACAGTTACTTGGAAGAAGTCCGACGAAACTGTATAGTCCATTTGGTATAGAAACACCACAAGGACGAGAATTTAGGATGTCGCCGTACATGCCTGACACACCAGATCACGGGTAAGCAGTTGAAATACCCAATCTCCTAAACCTAGTATATTGTGTAAGTAAATTATTATTCTTTAATTATTAGTTTCAGGTGGTACAATATATTGTGGCTGTGACCTGAATTAATGAATGAAATGCGTTTATTTCAGGCAACTTAAGCCCATAAAATGTCACATACATAACATCTAAATCAAAATACAATAAAATTAAAATTATAATTTATCAGAATGACTAAAACCAAAAACAAACAAAAATGAAACCAAATCAAAATTATTAAAATTAAAATTGTCAACTACTAATATAAAATTAAAACTAATAAAAGAACTAATACAATAAATAATGAAATAATGTTAACTGAGTAACCGCCACCATACCAGTCACTGTGTTAGATTAATGTGAGACAGATGCTTATTACAACAGTGTCTTATATAGGGGCAGTCCAGTCTGATTGCAATCATGGCCAGCACCGTGTTAATGCATTAAAAAGCTTTATATGAAATGACTTTTTTTAGATAAGGTTTTTTAGATAATTGCCTCACAATTTGTCCTAATTAACATTTTACATATTCATTTTATATCATAATTAAATATTAATTTCAGATTATCACCAAAACGCCGTAAAGGTTTGACACACTCATGGCACATTCTAGCCAAGAAGAGGCCACGAGCGTTGTTCCAATGAACCATCCGTTTGTGAACTACCTGCACAATTTGCATTCCCACCGCTTATGTAAGACTGCCTTTTTCGTAGTATAATCTTAACGTACGCTAAATTATTGTTATTCGAATTTCGGTAAAGATTACAAAACAAATTGTGAGTTAATTTTTTTTTAATGAAATGAATTGTGGTTTTTTTTGTTATGATTTTAATAACATTGTAATTTGAAGATGGCGGCTAGCCAGATATTATAGGCTAATCACTGGCTGGCATTCGAGTGTGCCTGTCTTTAAGTTGAAACCATGCACTGTGTAGATTTAACTGGCGATTAATCACTGGTGTTTAAATGTAATGTACCATAGCATCGTCGATACAGATGTTCACAAACGCCATACGTGCTCACTAGCTACTTATATTACGTTATAAAACATGTATGTCAGTCGCCAGCCAGTTGGAAAGAGAGTCAGATCGTTTAAGACATCAATCTCGTCACCTAATATCTATCAGATTAAGTAGAGTTCGTTTGTTTTGTCATTTAACAATTCAAGATAATGCATCACACCAAAATGTTTGTATTACATCCTGTAAAATTTGATGAGGGTGAATGAAATATATCTCAACTAGCGACCCGCCCTCGTTTCGCTTCGGAAACTTTAATTTATTATTGATCTCTCCACTATTTAATGGTTGTTATACACATGGATGTTATATACATATAAACCTTCCTCTTCAATCACTCTATCTATTAAAAAAACCGCATCAAAATCCGTTGCGTAGTTTAAAAGATTTAAGCATACCTAGGGGCAGAGAAAGCGACTTTGTTTTATACTATGTAATGATACTAGAATTGTCATCACAAGTGTAGCTGGAAATAGATCTTTGTTTCATAGTTGATAAGTTTCATAAGTGGTCTTTACCGAAATAATAATTTGCTAAGTGTGAAATGAGTTCAGTATTCACTATATTTTGGTTACATTTTGTACCCAAAAAAAAAAATGAGAGGCTTGTTGGTCATTTTGACATTTAATTATTTTCATTGATCTGCAAACTGAATGTTAGCTTTAAATATATTATTTTTTAATAAAACCCAAGCTATGTTAATACTAGAAATTGATAATCTTGATGGTGATAACAGTTATTCGAGATGTTTGTTGGCTACCTGATACAGTTTATAAAAAATAAAAAAAAACAGCTCCGATTTCTGCGTTGGCAACACCTTAATTTTATATTGTCATTTAGGCAATCTCTAAAATATCAATGATTCATGATTCTTCTGATTTCAAGCACACAACTTTTTTTGCATTTGCAACATTTTGTTGTCTATAAAATATCTTTTCTTTTAAATTCATGGTGATAACCTAAGAAAAATGTACTTAAATTCAGTATTAAAAATGCCAAAAAAAAACTCGCTGAATTATTATTGGAATGTTTAAAACGTTGGTTGATTAGGTTAAGGTCATATACTATCTATTCAATACAGAACAGTGGAGTTAAATGGTATGTAATACTATACCTGTGGACTAGGATATTCATGAGATAATCTCGATCTGAAACTGTACTTCAGAAGATATCACAAAAATTATGCTTTGAAACAAAAAATACTAAAGTCATATCACCGTTTGACTCCATATATTCGTAAATTAAAAAAATACGCTTTGCTGTGACAATATGTAGTTGGCTAATTAATGTACTTAATTAATATTATATAAATATATATTATAAGGAATTTTTACACCATGAATACTATAATTGGTTTTATTTCAGTAAAATTTTAATCATAGTTACTAGTTATGTGTATTTTTTATGAGCCTCAGCTAAAACTGGTATTTGAATACCAACAAGACATAAGGTTGACAAAGTATCAGATCTTCAAAATCGCATGACCAAAAACATAATGTGTTAAAATTTTCTGATAAACAAAATTGAAAGTGTAATTGAGTTTACATACAGCATGATGAATTTAAACGGTACGTATATTTAATGGCTCCTCTTCACAATCGGCCATGATGGGCGATTATAGAAACTCACGATAGTGTAGAGGGCATGTCTGTGATCGGCCATCATTGCGTATGATTGTGCGCAATCGGCGTTGTGTCGGTAGATCAAAGGTTTTATTTTTTATTTTTTTTATTTGTTAAATTAGCCGGATACAAGTCCATTGGCCGTAATCAAAGGAATGATGGCCCATGATTGCCACACCATCGCCGTTTAGTCAGGATGTAGTTGTCTCAAGTGTGTGTCAATTGTGTCGACTACAAAACTATGGTTGCGTGGACCTTGTTTTGTTCCGATTGATAGCCACCACCCACCACCTTCTCTTCCTCCATCTTATTTTTAGTTATCGGTAGGCAGCGGCTTGGCTCTGCACCTAGCATTGCTGAAGTCCATGGGCGACGGTAACCACTCACCATCAGGCATGCTCGTCTGTCTACAAGGGCAATAAAAAAAAAGAGTTTTCACGATTCTTTTTTCGCGCACAATAACTAAATGACTATATGAGCTAACTAAAAATATTGCCGCAGCCGCGATCCCCTCGATTTGCATCATCGATATCTAGACGTCTTAACATATCAGTAGACAGTCAGTAAATGAACGTTCACGATTGTGTGGACAGTTGCCCGATCATGGCGGCGATGATGGACGATCATTTGTTGGCCCATCATGCCGATTTTGAAGAGGAGCCATAATAGTGGGCCAGCGATTCGTAGTTTTGTTATGCGAATGATGAGGAGTATCAAAAATAATATCGATATTTCGAATCGTCTACTTTTGTATGGAAACGATTACTTGAATCGATACTTTTTTACTATTCTACTCGTTAGTACAAGTAAAATACAATATAGTTTCAACACCCCTATTGTCTTTAATGAATGTCATCTATCTATCTCTTAGGTTTATGGAGTTTCCTTTTAGATTCGCCATCACAAGGCTCACAACTGACAACAATGTGTTAGCAATGTCTTTGACGTTGTCAATGACAGGACGCCGAAAGTTGAAAACCGTTCGTCTGTCAGTATAATAATGTTTTTCTTTATACAATTTTACATTCCACTTAATATTTGAATCGTTTACATTATTTCGAACAAAATTAATGTAATGTATGATATTATTATGTGTATTAATGTCTATATTACAACTAGTTTCAACTTATGTTGCAGAACTGCTAATGTGCGCTTAAACATCGTCTGATTGAAATATGAATAAATGTTTCTTTTTTTGTAATAAGTTTTTTTTATTTTATCAAGTGTTGGTAGCTAATTCATGGAGCATGGCAAGCTTGTCTTTGGACTTCAAGGATGGGACTACCGCTATGTGATACTGTTGTGATTTGACCTCAGGTCAGCTGGGTGGAGGAATTCACATTGTGTTACCAAAATATTCCAGTAACCATTTAAAACCAGTATCCTAAGCTGTGAGCGCTTCCTCTAATCATGATTAGCACTGGCAAATTGTTCCAAATCACCATTTTATTATTAAAGGAGCATCGCTAGTCAAAGTTGACTAATCCATTGATCATCACACCAAATATTCATCACTTCTGACTGCGAGATTCGAACACCGTTGCATCGATAGATACGAATGCACCGAGCCTCTTATCCTTTAGGTCACGACGACGTCCAGAAAGCGTGAACTACAATTTTGACCTCAGACTTGTATATTAGTATATCTTCTTCCTAGTCGTACACTCTTGACAGTGGTCGTGGTTTAAAGATTAAAATAAAGTAAAACACACATTTATTCTCCTATTCTATTCTACATAGCAGTTGCAACGGAATTGACTTGTTTCTCCTTAAGAACACTCTCTTCAACTTGACGTACCGTATCCATCAGCGGTTGGTCTCTTGTCTCCGGCGTCAGGATGATAAGTAACCCTGACATTACAGCAGCGCAACCGAAGAATATTGAAGGAATCGACGGTGAAAAGGTCATCTGAAAGTGCATAGCGCGAATTAAAGCCCACAAGACACACAACGCAACGCCTCACTAGAAATTTAAATATTGCCCTAGTTAGTTAGGTACTACATGTTGTATACATTGACACTGTTAAAAAAATCATAACATCTAAAATTTTCGACTCAACAAAATTTTTTGAAGTTAGGCGCGTTATGAAAAATTGATGAGAGTGAAATTTAACGATGCGCGCGCACCGTGACACAAAATTAACAGAATGAAGTTGCCCACTAAATCGCTCATTAAGTTGAGGAAATAATTCTACCAACTTCTCACTGGTGGTAGGACCTCTTATGAGTCCGCACGGGTAGGTACCACCGTCCTGCCTATTTTCTGCCGTGAAGCAGTAATGCGTTTCGGTTTGAAGGGTGAGGTAGCCGTTGTAACTATACTGGGACCTTAGAACTTATATCTCAAGGTGGGGGCGCATTTACATTGTAGATGTCTATGGGCTCCAGTAACCACTTAACACCAGGTGGGCTGTGAGCTCGTCCACCCATCTAAGCAATAAAAAAAAAAAAGAACAAAACAGAAATAGAACCTCTGTTAGTGGCGCATGTTGGCACGCACGCCGCCTTGGTTCACTGTGTATTTATATTTATAATATTTATCCACATGCTTTGAGTTTCTACATTTAAAACACGTGTTTTCATTTTGTTTTCATTATACAAGTGCGAATTTTATATGTGCGTCTGAATTATAATCAGAAATGATTTAAATTGAATATTTAAATCAATACTAATTAATATTAGAAAATATTTGTGAAAAAACTCTGCTCATCAACCTTCCTAAGTGCGCCAATACAATTGAGGTTAACTATCCGTATGTATTATTTAGTAATATAAATGACAAAATTATTATTTAATATAATTCATATTATTAAATTATTAACGTTAAATATTTATTATTAATTATTAAATATTTAAAAAAAAAAGAAATAAATTTAATAAAAATAAAGAATAACTTCTTACGCGCGTACATAAGTACACGCACCCTTTTTTTATTGCTTTCATGGGTGGATGAGGTCACAGCCCACCTGGTGTTAAGTGGTCACTGGACCCTATAGACATCTACAACGTAAATGCGCCACCTACCTTGAGATATTATAAGTTCTAAGGTATCAGTATAGTTACAACGGCTACCCCACCCTTCAAACCGAAACGCATTACGTCTTCACGGTATTAATAGTAAGTAAGTGTTGGGATTGATTGACTTGGACAGTGATTATGACGGGCAAAGTAGAAGGAAAGAGACCCCGCGGCTGATTACCTAGCCGTTGGTGTCATCAAGTAACCGCTCTAACTGGGCTGCCAGTCGCAACCGCCATTCGAGCAGCTGAGGACCGGACGAGATGGAAACAGCTCAAGAGACAAGCAACGGTCAAGTTTCAGGGACACGACCTTCAGCAATGAAGAAAGCGACCAAGAAGAAGAAGAAGTTGGGATTGACATACAAAGCAGACAACATTGCAGCAAAATTGGAAGTTAGAATTTACGGGACGACCATTAAAGTGATCGTTCTCTACAGACATTAGTAAAAGAAATGCTAAAATCCTACGTTACTTTACTTCGTGATTAAAGACCAATTTAGTGGAATTAAAATTGCTTACATTGCTCCAATTATGAAAGTCGTCGTGGCCTAAAGGATAAGTCTGCCCCACCCTACAAACCGTGTTCGAATCCCGCAGGCGGGTACCAATTTTTAAAATGAAATACGTACTCAACAAATGTTCACAATTGACTTCCACGGTGAAGGAATAACATCGTGTAATAAATATCAAACCCGCTAAATTATAATTTGCATAGTTATTGATGGTAGGACCTCTTGTAAGTCCGCACGGGTAGGTACCACCACGTGAAGCAGTAATTAATGCGTTTCGGTTTGTAGGGTGGGGCAGCCGTTGTAACTATACTTGAGACCTTAGAACTTATATCTCAAGGTGGGTGGCGCATTTACGTTGTAGATGTCTATGGCTGCAGTAAGCACTTAACACCAGGTGTGCTGTGAGCTCGTCTACCCATCTAAGCAATAAAAAAAGGTAAGCTTTATTTGTGATTTGAGCTCTAATGTACTAGATGGATTTTTCTCAGTTAAAATAGCCGAAATTTTAAACAATCTGTTAGTATCGTAAAAACAAATGTCAACGAACTTGTACTACACGTCATCACATCACAACTTAACACATACATTACATTATTAATTATGTATCATTTAATTAAAACCATTAAAAATATGCTAAATCGAAATGCTGCGGAAACTTTCTAGCAAACAATACTGATACAGTAAATTAAAATTGCTTAGAGGCGGCACCTATAATATTTTTTCTAAGATTTTCGCGTATATTGATCAGTTGAATTTGAATATACTAGGTATACTTACCAGCGGAGTGTTCCGTAGGATAGCTCACTCTAACCGGCGCCATCTAAGCGGGCTTCGGATACCCTGCCGACCGAGAGGGCTGGTGGTCGTGGCGCCGACGACCGCCGGTCCGGCGTCCCGAGGGTGAGGGTGATGGGAGAGATGTGCTCCGCACTAAGCGCTTCACTTTCCCCCCTTTGCCTTTTCTTGAGTTCTGACTCATGCGCGGTTTGGACGTTGGTTGTTGAGCGACAGGAGATTTTAGTCAGTTTCGAATCTGACATGCCCCGCCCTCCATCCCCAGTGGAGGGCGGAAGTCCGGCGATTTCGTCTTGACCAAAAAAAAAAGGTATACTTACCAACATCGGTGTAAGAGGTGCCATCATATTCCCGATCCTAGACGTGAGCGCGCCAAGACCAAGTAATAACCCTCGTACACTAGTCGGAAATAGCTCCATAGAGTATGTTATGACCCCAGTGAAACAACCGGATATCAACATTTTACCGACGAGGAATAACGATATTTTCGTCCATAAATACGCTGCAAAGAATTATTTTACCTACGCTTAATTATTATAAATATGAATGAAAACAGGAGTCGTATTATATATATTAAGTAATAATAATTGATTCCGGGAAAAAGTGTTTTTATTTAATTAAAGTTGCAGTGAATTCTCTTTGGTCGTATATCTGACATTTAAAAAGCTAGAAACAAAACAAAATAAAAAGTTGAAATAGTTTACTCGACATTTTTCAATACATCTTCTTTTTGCCAACATGAATGAATGAATCTATTATTTTTTTGAGATTTTATGGCCTGGTGAGCGAATTTAAGGAAGGTGTTCGATACATATTTAAAGTTTTATTGTAATTGGTACACAATATATTGGACAGATGCTTGAATCTCGATAACGACATTTCTTCCCGATCCACTAGGGATGCTTTTAGGAACCTCAAGCACCGGCCACCGTTCTCGTCGAAACCGTCGCTCGCGATGAAGGGTTCGGCGAGCAAATTAACCATCAGACGCAGCCGCGCTTCTGATCCGATGGTAGATTCTGCGAAGCACTGCTCTTGCTAGGGCTAGTGTTAGCAACGTCACCAGGTTACAGCCCCGTGAGCTTACCTAATCGCCTGGTTACGCTGGCATAGCCCCCTAGGTTACCAGCATAGGTGGATAAAGAAAAACAATTTGATGATAGTTTTGATATTTACGTGTTCCGAACAATAACTTTTGGACTGTAGATTCGATCGAAAAAGAGAAAAATCTAAAAACATGTCGCGAAAAAAATTGTATGCTTCATAAACTTCACGCAACTTGTTCTAGAATTTTCAGTGCGGGAACTTTAATATAAAGATGAAGTTCGCTCTGGCCGACCCGTTAAGGATAAAGTTGATGGCATGTAAAATAAAATAGTGGAACAAGATCGACACAGTAGTACCTAATTACGACAAGGCCAAAGCAAAACTAGAGGTTGACCCAAAAACAAATTTGATCTTCTTGAAGAAGTTTGGCAATAGAAATAGAGCTCTACCTACTGCTCTACCCACCACACGTGCTACACTGAAAGAAACAATATGAATCGTGTACTCTTTTGTGATTCTCTATCGAAAGAAACCGAAAACATCTTGAAAAGATTAACCGCTGGCGATGAAAAATGGGTTACCTAAGACAAGGTCGCGTGAAGACGATCAAAGGACAGGTTGTAGGGTTGGAAGGGCATTGTTCATTATGACCCTTTACCGCCGGGCCATTTCTCTATACGGAGCCGAGATCTGGACCCTTAAAGCGGCTGATCGCAAACGCTTTAATGCTTTTCAGATGTGGTGTTGGAGAAGAATGCTGCGGATACCTTGGATAGCGAAGAGAACCAACGCGTCTATCTTAGACCAACTGCAGATCAAGACGAAACTGGCCACACTCTGCCTTTGCCGAGAACTCGAATACTTCGGTCATATTGCTCAGAAAACACCTGACAGCTTGGAGAGACTATTCGTGACAGGGACGATCGAGGGAAAGAGACCGCGCGGCCGCAATCCGACAAGGTGGTTCGATAAAATCCGCACCATACTAAAGATCCCATTCCACGAAGCGCCTCATGCGGTCAGTGGTCGGAAGCGCTAGAGAGATACTACAAGGAGTAAAATCCTGTCGAAATATTATGGTCACGAGCTTTAGCAGTGAGGAAACGACGCGAGGAAGAGGACCGCCGGGCAAAATCAGTTCGGTTCTCTGTCGCCAACAGAGTACTGGTGGTAGGACCTCTTGTGTCCGCACGGGTAGGTACTACCACCCCGCCTTTTTCTGCCGTGAAGCAGTAATGCATTTCGGTTTGAAGGGTGGGGCAGCCGTTGTAACTATACTGAGACCTTAGAATTTATATCTCAAGGTGGGTGGCGCATTTACGTTGTAGATGTCTATGGACTCCAGTAACCACTTAACACCAGGTGGGCTGTGAGCTCGTCCACCCATCTAAGCAATAAAAAAACGGATGATAAGAGTCAAACGAGACATAAAAGAAAAACGGCTTGGTTTTTTATCACGATAACGCCAGATCACACACAATCGTAGCCACCCAACAGACATTGAGAGAGCTTGGTCATCACCCGCCCAGACCTTGCACCCTCAGGTTTTGACGTTTTGGCCTCTTCAGAGTTCTTTAGGTAGCGTTAGGTTAACAACAAGAGAGGACAGGAAAACTACTTGTCGCAGTTTTTTGATCAGAAACACCAAAATATTTACCTACAGAACGAACATTTATATTACAATTAAATGCAAATGAACTATGATAAAAATTAAATAGAATTTTTAAATAAAATACGAAAAAACTTTACCTAAGCCCCGACTTACAATATGTAATAATATCTAAATAAATAAACTATGATAAAAATTGTCTCAAACTTGTATGTAAAATACGACAACTTTTCCTCTAGGTAGGTACATACCTATTATCTTTCTGTTAATACTTACTTGTTTTATAAATAAATACATTTTATGGTGAATTTGTAATCAATATGTCTTATTGTCTGTGCTGTGCACTGTGTTTTAATAATAAACCGTTTTATTTCCAACGATCTTAAAAAGCAGGTTTTTCTTAAAAATTATAGCCCCGGGGTATAGGGCTTATATTGTGATATAATTATGGTTACCTAAATTAAGCAAATCTGTTCTTTCCAAAGAAGTCGGTCCACGGCCCTCTCTTTTGGAGCATCGGTTATAGAGTGCTCTTCCGGGCCTACGCGTAGTTTTTTCTTTGCATTGATGTGTGGACGAGCTCACAGCCCACCTGGTGTTAAATGGTTACCGGAGCCCATAGATATCTACAACGTAAATGCGCCACCCACCTTGAGATATGAGTTCTAAGGTCTCAGTATAGTTAAAACCGCTGCCCCGCCCTTCAAACCGAAACGCATTACTGCTTCACGGCTGAAGCAGGGCGGTGGTACCTAGCCGTGCGGACTCACAAGAGGTCCTACCCACCAGTAATAAACTAATACCTAAAAACTAACACCAGTAATAACAGTAGTCTACTACGCTGACGATACGTACCATACAAAAGATTCCGCTACTTAGGTACCTACCTAGATACAAACGAGACCAATAAAAGCTTGTTAAAATTAATAATGGTTCTCGTAATATTTGAAGTATACGCAAAATGAAAATATCTAAATATCTTATCGTCTATCAGATTAACTATTTCCTAATAAAGACTCATAAAACTTACTCTCGGGCACTTGAGCGGAGCAGAAACACAACGCTGCGGTCAAAATAAATCCAATAATTAAAGACAATTTCCTTCCAATGTTTTTCATGAAATACAAGGAGATTAATTCTCCTGGATATGACATTATGGTTATTAGTAAAAAATTAATGTATTTATCACCGGGAAGCCAAACAGAATTCAACATTAGACCGTAATACACGAAGCTTGCTGAAAATCTACAAAAACACGCCACAAAAACCCTCTTTAAAATCTCTGGAGATTTGAAAATAACATGGAAACCTTCTTTTTCATTTTCTTTTATATCAAACTTTTGTCTCAAGCCCACTCCATCAATGTTAGACAGTTCGTTCATATCCATATTGATTTTATTTGTTTTCGCCATCAAAATCATTGTATTTTTGGCTTCTTCTGTTTTACCCTTGACTATCTGCCACCTAGGACTCTCTTTGATAAGCCAAATGAAGGATAAGAATAATATTAATGGACTGTATATAATCAGAATCATAGTCTTCCAATAAGGGATCACCATGGCCATACAAGCGAATAGTGTTTCTCCAAAATATATAAAATAGGAAAATAGAACGCCCGCTAGTAAACGTTTGTCCTTTCCGCAGATTTCTAACACTGGAAGTAAAGGAGAAATATTTTAGAAACGAAAATTAATGATTAATTAACGGGCTCACCCCTCGTCTGGTGTTATGGTTAATGGTTAATCTATATCTATATATATATATATATATACCTAGTCAGGTCATAAGTACTGTCACACAGTAAAAACTTTTCTTTTAGAATGCTGGCCACAAAAAAGTTTATTGAATTCGAATTTCGAATTGTTCATGAAAATAAAAAATGTATACTTTTAGAATTTTACTCATTTTTAAATATGGAGTGGACGCTTAAAGAAGACCGTGTTGCAGTTATTGCGTTGCATCGTTGCGGTTACGCGCCAATTCAAATTTTTAACATACTGAAAAATTTGAATATAACCAAAAGATTCGTTTATCGTACCATCAAACGATACAATGAAGACTCTAGTGTAGATGACAGGTCAAGAAGTGGTCGCCCTCGGTCTGTTAGGACTCCAGCAGTGATAAAAGCTGTGAAGGCGCGAATTCAAAGAAATCCCAAACGTAAGCAGAAACTGTTGGCCCTTCAGATGGGGTTAAGCAGAACCACGGTGAAAAGGGTGTTAAATGAAGACTTAGGGCTTCGGGCATATCGAAGAAAAACAGGACATCGTTTGAATGCTCGTCTAATGGACCTGAGACTGAAGAGATGCCGCGCTTTGTTGAAGCGGTACGCGGGAAAAAAATATCGGGAAATTCTTTTTTCGGATGAAAAAATTTTTACCGTAGAAGAGAGCTACAACAAACAAAATGATAAGGTGTACGCACACAGTAGTGAAGAAGCGAGCAACCGTATTCCGCGTGTCCAACGAGGTCATTTTCCATCCTCGCTCATGGTATGGTTGGGAGTTTCTTATTGGGGCTTAACAGAGGTACATTTTTGTGAGAAAGGTGTAAAAACGAATGCAGTTGTGTATCAAAATACAGTCCTGACGAACCTTGTGGAACCTGTTTCTCATACCATGTTCAATAACAGGCACTGGGTATTCCAACAAGATTCGGCGCCAGCTCATAGAGCGAAGAGCACACAAGACTGGCTGGCGGCGCGTGAAATCGACTTCATCCGGCACGAAGACTGGCCCTCCTCCAGTCCAGATTTGAATCCGTTAGATTACAAGATATGGCAACACTTGGAGGAAAAGGCGTGCTCAAAGCCTCATCCCAATTTGGAGTCACTCAAGACATCCTTGATTAAGGCAGCCGCCGATATTGACATGGACCTCGTTCGTGCTGCGATAGACGACTGGCCGCGCAGATTGAAGGCCTGTATTCAAAACCACGGAGGTCATTTTGAATAAACTTTAGTGTCATAAGAATCTATGTTTTGTTAAGTTCATTTTGGTATATGAATAGTTACATAATGAATAAACTAGTTTCAATTATTTTACATTAAACATGTGACAGAATTTATGACCTGACTAGGTATATATAAAAATGAATTGCTGTTCGTTAGTCTCGCTAAAACTCGAGAACGGCTGGGCCGATTTGGCTAATTTTGGTCTTGAATTATTTGTAGAAGTCCAGAGAAGGTTTAAATGGTAGTTAATATCAAAATTCCTTTTGTTTGTTTTAAGTTTATTTTATACAAAAGTTTAGGTCTTTTATTTATCGATTGAGGCACTACGAAGTCTGCTGGGTCAGCTAGTGGTTAATAAAATCTGTTGACATCATAACGTGAAGGCCCTCACTTGTCGCATGAGGTTGAAGATTTAGTTATGTCGCTGTTCTGCCCTTTATGTAGGAATGCATGAACTATTTACTCTGGAAGGAGGGGTGGTAATGGTTCGTATCAGTACGAGCGAGCCCCTACCAATATTTATAAGTAAGTTGAAAAGTAAGTTGATTTTGATTTATTAGTTAGGACTCTTCGTGTAATACGTTAGTGTACAAGTATTAGATTCCTTAAAAACATTGAAATTTGGCAGTTGATTTTGTAAATCGGCATATTCGCATTGCTCAATTCGAGTACACCGAGCTTTTGGCCATAAAGTTTTTTTTAAATTTGGTAAAATTGTTGTTAGCATTTAGCGAAAGTTACACTAGAATGTACACCTAAAGAATCAATTATTACATAAAGCTAGGCTGAGGCACTGTTGATGATACTACGGCTTTTAATGAAATGATTTAGTTCCACACCGGATGCGCGAGCACTTCTTATCAGTCCACAGACGTCCACTGCTGGACATAGGCCTCCCCCAAGTCTCGTCACAAAGACCGGTCCTGCGCTGCCTGCATCCAGCGGACCCCCGCGAGCCTCAATAGGCCATCGGACCACCTTGTGGGAGGCCTACTCACGCTATGTCTTTCGGTACGCGGTCGCCACTGAAGAACTTTCCGGCCTCAACGGCCATCCGTTCTACGAGCATGTGTCCTGCCCACTGCCACTTCAACGACGCAATTTTTGGGCTATGTCGGTTACCATGATTTTCCTGCGAATCTCCGAATCTCTTCGATCCTCCTCAGCTAAACTTTACAAAGGCTTACCTACGTAACTATTCGACTACGTAACTACGTAAAAATTTGAAAACTTTTATGAGACTTACTGAGCACCATACCCGAAGTGTATGTACCGCCAGACATGCAGGCCTCTAGGAATTCGACCATTACGTAAATATACCAGTTCTTGACTAGGACTTTTAAAACCCCCACAGCGCTGCCGACGATACATATTACAAGCGCCGGCTTACGACCCCAGCTGGAAGACATGTTATTGATTTATGAAAACAATTAATTCACTTAGCCTTAACATGAAAACGTACATAGTAAGTTTCTGAACACATTAAACCAAATATCGATGATAACAGTCGATAACTCTGACGTGTTTTTTCTCCATCATGTTTACGAATTGCTGACTAAAACAATCCATTACTGTGGCTCTAGTGAACAAGCAGCGTACAGGCCGAGAAAACTCTAGAAGATATATACAGAGCTAGATTGAGATGATTTGAGTAAGACCTGAATCGCGCTATAAATAATTTCAAAATAAACAAGTTCATTCGGATCCCTCCTGGCTAAGTAGTGGTGGAAGGGCCCATCCGTCCTAGCTGGGTTGGAGAGGACTCCGGACCAACCCTACCGTTTAATCCCAAAAAAAAATCCCTTCTATGATTGTTTTTTTTTATGCCTGAGTGATTACTGGTGGCCCGGAGGCCTTTCCAGTTTTACTAGGGCAGGTGGGCGAGCAAGAGCTCAGCCAGGAGGGGTGTGATTTGCTAACAACTGCCCGAGCGCCTCCAAAGTAGACCAAACAACTCAAGGGTAGCTGCTTCGCATATGAAACTATTATCGGATCGGAATCGCGACCCGCTGAGAAGATCCGGCGAGAAACTCAGCGGGCTTCAACGATTGCAGAAAGTGACGAAGTAGCCCTGAATTTGCGATAATGAAGACCGTGTGTAATCGCCGCACGATCACAAAAAAAAAAATCTCTATAAAAATATATAAAATAAGCATAATTCTCCGTTAAATTTGAATTTAAAATTGTTTCTATATCTTTCCGCGATTTTCAATTTTTTGTATTCGGAAACAGTGTACCAACTACCAACTGTGTTTTCATAGACTGATTGAAGTCTGTATTCGTTGTGTACTCACACGTCGTAAATCCACCCGGTGACGAACATTGAAGTCATCATGCCGAAGCTGTGTATGGTACCAATTAGATTCGATCTCCACGGTTGACATCCCAAGTTCAACTGTAATTTTCAAATCGTTGATACATTTTATGATCATCAGTAATCATTGATACTATTCTATCACATAATCTCGTTTTTGCAGGATAGCCGCCGGAGCCGCATGGTTCATCCGAAATGTGGACATGGACCTAGAGTCCAGCAAGTACCTATAGTCAGCTTCAGTGCGCCACTTCGAGAAAGCGGCACGACACGAGCACGTGGCCACCGGTAATTACATTCCCGATCCTACGGACCAGTCTGGTAAGCACTCTAAAGAATAGTAAACAGTCGACGTCGCCAAAAACACCTCATTTCGTATCCTCCCGATCCGCTAACGGCGCTTTTAGGTACCTCAAGCACCGGCGAACAAAGGAACCCACAGACCGCCTTTACCATAAGGGCACACGGAGCCCGTGCCGAAGGCCTCCATTCTCAGGGGGCCCCGAAGGACCGACAATTTGGTTACCAATTGCAGTCGAGAGCGGTCATTTTCGCAGCTTAAGAGAATAAAAAATGAATTGCGAACAACAATGTTACAAGAACGGCTGAGTAATTTGTCAATTATGGGCATAGAAAGTGATATCCTTCAAAAAATTAACTTTAAAGATATAATGGAATATTTTGCTCAACAGAAATCCCGAAAGAAACCATTATCGTAATCGTAACCAAAAAACCAGCAGCATTCTAATATAATTAATATTATTATATCATACTGTATTTGATTACCTATAATAAATGGTCATACTCAGTAAAAAAATGTTATTACAATTCGCTTTTTTACTTTCCAAAAGGGCCTCAAATTCTTGTGTGCCCAAGGGCCCCAGCCTAGTTTAAGACGTCCCTGCACAGACACAGTGCTTTACTGAATACTCTACCACCGGATCGGAGTCACAAAACACTGCAATGATCCGTTGAGAAACTCAGTGAGTCATGTCTTTAAGTTAAGTTGCAAAAGGCGACCGGTGCTTGGAAAGCCTAAAAGCATCGAGAGTTCCGGATTAACTCTTCCGACAAGTCATTTTTGGGCAACGACGGCTGTCGTCAGAAACGCTTGTAGCGAGCGCACTTTTTTTAATTTCACAAGCAAACGTAATGACGGATATTTCGTCAATTTGAACAGCTTGAATTTAGAGGTTTTATTTATCGTGCTAATATTGAAACATCGCATGTGTAATTTTAAAACCATACTAAAGGCGCAGGGAGACAGTAGTTCAACGCAACATAACCGTCTCAGCGAATAACAATAAAGTCCACCTTGCCTCAGCAACTACAGTGTTGTTACTCTCGTATATCCACTCGGTGCACTGGACTAGGCTGTCAGTGAAACTACTGCTGTTGCAAGTCCCATAGTCGTCTTTGAGGACGGGTCTGTAACAACGATCAATCGTCTTGTTCGGCCACCATGTAGGGTTCTCCGCTGTCGACATGTTGTTCTCGCATTCCGACACTTTGCATCTGAAATTTATTACTGTACATCCTTAAGCTGACAATGCGTTCGTTTACGATGCAAAGCAGTTTAGGCGGTTACAAAGTCCACCGCCGCGTCTAGGTATGAGCATTTCAACCGATTTTGAAGAACCTACAAAAGGGTTGACAAAAAAAAGAAAAGAAAAAAGAATGGGAGATGACAGTGACAGAAGAAGAAAGTAAGAGAATGTAAGTGTTGGTAAGAGTGTTAACTATGAATGTGGAAGGCTATAGAGGAGGAGGTAGACCTAAAAAAAAAGGATGGATTGTGTGAAAGACGACATGTGTAAGAAAGGAGTGAACGAAGAAATGGTATATGATAGAGGAGTTTGGAACAAGAAAACATGTTGCGCCGACCCCAGGTGACTGGGAGAAGGACAGGTGAATGAAATGATGAATGACAGAAGAAGAAAGATAAGAAAAAAAAATAGAGGCTTTTATAAAAGCCGTATTGAGATATGGACATAAAACACGTACACAAGCGTGCTTTATTAAAGAGAATCTAGATGAAAGGTCTCTCACGCGTTTCGGTTTCAGGAATTAAGTAGTCGGTATGCATCGTTGCCTCGACCTCATCAAGCTTGGAGGGGGCATTTACGTTCTGATATCCAAGGACTACGAAAAAACTTAATATAGGGGGGCGAACCAATCTCACAAGGACATCGTATTTGTAGCGAGTCTGAGTGCGGCCCTGCGCTGAGTACGGCCCTGCGCTGGAGCATCGCACTTTATATAATATTCGTCGGTACTCGCAAAATGTTTTCATTCGGTTGAGTTCGAGACAAAACATACGCTGGTGCTTCTCTATTAACATTTGTATTATTTGATCGCTATTTAATTAAATATAAAATTATAATTAGTGGTATCATTTCACTGCAACAAAACTATAGTTGGTACCACAATTGGTGACCCCGACGTGATTTGAACACGCAACCTTCTGATAGTTGGTACCACATATTGATCAAATTGACTCGCCCCGGCGTTCTGGAGTTAAATTGTACTACGGGATGTGAGTAGAGCGTTTTAGATGCGTTCTCGAACATGATGAGAAGTTGAGGATGGAGGAGGAGGAAGCCGTGTTCAAGTTCATAAAAACGACTCACCTGTATTTCAGATCGCCAGAAACAAAAATAAAATTAATATCTATTAGTGTCAGGAAAATAATCGTTATGCCTATGTAAGCGTATTGTACAATTTGATATTTACCGAAAACATCAAATATTTGCAATAAACTGTATTGAGTCGACGACGCCCCACTCATATTTAATTTTATTTGAACGGGCGTCCGTCTCCTTGCGTTCGTTCTTACTGAATGGACGCGGTAGTTTATCCTCAAAACAAAAGGTTTACAACGAATTGTTTTAATTTAATCTTTAAACGACAAAAAGTCACATGTATTTCGAATTTATTTTATTATTTATTTATTACTACTATCTTACATAATTGAGGACGTCAGCGCAAAAGTGACCTAAGCTTATCATAGTTAGTATTGAGTTAATAAGGTTCGAATTTACCTTTACAATACTTCGTAGGCAATAAAATACGCGCTAAAATGATGTTTATAAAGACTGTTGTTATTATCTATGGATGAAACTAGGGATAGGCCGATTTTGCATCAAAATTTATTATGTTTTAAATAAGTTGCATTACGTAAGCACGAATATGAATTTTTAAAAAATTTGAAAATTTAGGTTCCCTGTTTTATGCGTAGGGTAGCGAGGGGGAATGGCGCGGCGTTCACTTAAGGCAATGGTGTATATTTTGAAATATTTATTAAAAATCAAAATTAAGAAATGTAACAAAGTCTTAAACTATTGCGTAATCAACAATTCAACAACAAAAGCATATATCTTTGACCTACTAGTAACGGGAAAACCATTTAAAAAAAACAGGGTTGAGTGGCATTGCCCCTGACTTTGGGTAATGCCGCTCAGGGTTAGGGGTAATGACGTTCTAACATGTTTTCTTTAGAATGTAATGAGTAAGATACATTTTAATAAAAAATATTATTGAGGTCAACCATAAACAATAAAATTTATGTCTACAATCACAAATTAGCATCAATTATTTGTAGGTATGATTAGCCTGTTTCAATTCAACAAATGCCTATAATAAAGCCTTAGATGTAAAATCAACTTAAATTATTATAATCAGAGGCCAGACGAATTAAAAGTAACTAGAGGTCCCGCAGTAGTCGAAATTCGACTATAATTAATTGGAATTGTAAGTTTGTACACTATTATGATTGTATATTATACTTCTATAATCAAAAAATTCGCCAAGACTACACTATAAAAAATATTAACAAAGACAAACAATATAATAATATAATCTATTCTCAAATTGACAACAGACGTCAAGAACTAAAGTTTGACAATAAATAGTATGCATGCGTGTGTGCGTCAAATATATGGTATGTAGTGTGTGTAATGTTTTTTTTATTGATTTAATGTATCTTTTATGCATTATTTAAAAAAAATATTAGCATTGTGCACTTCTTCTCTATATTCTCTATGAGTGTGGAAAATTTCATACTCCTCCGTCCGCGCAATTTTCGTAAAAAGGGATACAAAGTATTTGCTTCACGTATTAATATATAGATATATTATTATTGAACTTAAAAATAACAGATGTATGCGTTTGGCGAATCCCACCCTGAACATAATATAGCATGAGCCCACAGTCCACAGATAGTTCAGGGATACCACTCGTTATTTTTTCCGAATTCCTCGCAAATAATTATAATTTTGTTATCTATATCTATATAAATGAATTGCTGTTCGTTAGTCTCGCTAAAACTCGAGAACGGCTGGACCGATTCGGCTAATTTTGGTCTTGAATTATTCGTGGAAGCCCAGGGAAGGTTTAAAAGGTCAGAAAATATAAAAAAGCTCGGAATTACATAAAAACAAACAATTTTGTTTTTCCTTTGATGTGTCCCCTTGATGTGTCTTTTATTTATCGATTGAGGCACTACGAAGTCTGCCGGGTCAGCTAGTAATTTTATATAATTTGTTATAATTTTTATCGTCTACATGCATCATACATCATCACTGTCATCATCGCAAAGGTGCTTCTTCGTCTTCACTCTCTGAAGAAATGTCTCGTAATTTTTTTCTCTTGTAAGTTTTTTGTTTCTTCTTCTTCTTTTCTTCGTCAACTTGCTTTGGTTTTGATTCTTGACATACCTCCTACAATCGCAGTTTTAGCAGACAGAAAGCTTTCTTCGGTCAAGCTGCTTTAACGGTGGTCCTTTGACGATTTCTTGGCATATCGACAACAATAAAAAAAAAAGTCACTACGGGGTAATGGCGTTCAGCTGAGCGATATAACCCCGAACGTTCGTTTTGTAAATAATTAAAAAAAAAAAGAAAAAAAAAAGCACTTTGTTAATATTTTAAAATACAATAATTTCAAAATAAAGAAAAAAAAACCTTGAAAAATGTTTTCATTATCACAGAATTAAATAGTTTAACTGTCAGAAAGTAAAACTAAAACTAAATAACAATCATAGCTTAGCTAAAAACTAACTAACTAACTTAACTAAAAAGACCACGTAACCAAAAATTATAACTACGCGGCCGCAAACAAAGAAATGCACTTCACTGTCGCACTGTCTATCACAGGCCCCCTACCCGCATGTCTCACACGGCGTTTCGTTTTGCTACGTTAAATTTTGCCAGAGTTACAGAGGTGAACGCCATTACCCAGCGAGCGTCATTCCCCCTCTTTACCCTACCAGAGACTGGCAAATATACTTTTATAACTTTACTGGTATGATAGGACCTCCTGTGAGTCCGCACGGGTAGGCACCACAACCCTACCTATTTCTGTCGTGAAGCAGTAATGCGTTTCGGTCTGAAGAGTAGGGCAGCCGTTGTAACTATACTGAGATCTTAGAACTTATATCTCAAGGTGGGTGACGCATTTACGTTGTAGATGTCTATGGGCTCCAGTAACCACTTAACACCAGGTGGGCTGTGAGCTCGCTCGAACATCTAAGCTATTAAAAAAAAAAAAAAAAAAATACACACTTTATATACTCATGACAATAATAAAACTTCTAAGGATAATATGACACTTTCAAATAAAACAAACAGGTCATAAGTAAAACCATATTTTGAAGTTTGAAGTATTCATGGTCTTGACTCTGCCCATTAAAATCTCGAGATATAATCGGCTTCACTACGACACCTTTATTTGGTATGTTACGTACTTAAGTTATGATACACAAACAGGAAATTACGATACAAATAAATCGATCGCTTTTCTCACACTAATAAATATATCCTTTATTTGATATTGCATTTTTGTCTCGATCACCATGTCTGCAACCTCTATGAACCTCTAACAATACATCGGAATATTCTTTCAACGGTATTACACGAACGGTTAGACTATCAGGGCTATCCCTTTTAAAATAAGGTAGTCCAATTCACTGATGCTCATGACCTCGTATTTTCTTGACCAGTAGTACTCTGCAGGAGTCCTCCGCGAACCAGATTCTGTGGCCACCTTAGCATTTTTAGGTGGCGAATAACCTCAAAAATCTTACTATTTGTCCAAGGCTTGGTCACAGCTTCCGTTTGAGAATTGTATAATTTTTTTAATATACCTTTAAAATCAGAATTCTTTCCTGAAATGTCTTCTCCACACGATTTGCACTGTTTTCAGTTATTTTTTGACGCCGTTGTTATTATTTTGATCAACAGTGGCGCGCGTGGTAAAAAAATTAACTAAATATTTCAAAAAATTGAACTAAATATTTCAATTTGCCGCGGCATTATGAAAACGGCGCTTGAATTGTCGATGCTATGTTGTGGCATATTATAAAGTGACACGGCAATTTACATTTTTCCTTCGGCATTTTACACAACGCCGAGCGTTTTTATAACGACGACGCTGTTTGTAAACGGCGATATCATACAAATTGCCTGCGACATATACAAACACCCAGACAAAGAGCAAACCAACCTGTTCATCACGCGAATGTTTGCCCGATGTGGGAAACGAACTCACGACCCTCGGCGCAATAGTTAGGGGCGCTAATTACTGCAATACCGAGTTATTCAGTTGTATTGTAAGCAATAGCTATGACCAAAGCGTATCGTATCAAGTCGGCCAGCTGACTGATGATGTAGTGTTACCAGCTTAGGAGCAACGACAAAGGGAAGTTCTTCCACCGAGCAGGTTACTGTTTAACGGCCGTCTGGTGTAGTGGTAAGTGACAGAAGGGGGTCGCGGGTTTGAATCCCGCCAAGGGAAGATATTTGTATGATAAATATAAAATTTCTTTTCCAGGGTTATGGATGTATATTATATATATGTATGAATGTATATAATAAAAATCTTACATTTGTTTCCGTTATCTGGTACCTGTAACACAAGTTCTTTACGAACTTAGCACGGGACCAGTTAACGTGGCGTGATTGTTAGTAAATATTTATTTATTTATTTATTATTACCAGAATCCACAGCGGCGCCAACACTAAGGCCTGAACGATGAGGTTCGGGCAATCTGACGGTAACGCTAATTTGTCATGGATCCCGCAAATAACTCAATCAGAATACAATAGAAGTTATTAAAATTGATTAATTGCTACTCCCAAGAATACTATAACCGTGACCTGATAATTATTCTAATGGTTGAACGGTCGCTTGACTGAAGATAGAAAACAGAAATAAAACTATTTAACCCATTGCTATTTAAATTGTTATCGAGAATAGCAAAATTATATACCTACATGTAGGTAAACCTATTCACAACAATATTATCTTTTTTTTTTTTTTTCCTACCTATGCTGATAGCCTTGAGAGGCTATTTCAGCTTCACCCTAACGTTTGTAGGTGAGCTCGCGGGGCTCAACCGGAGAGTTGCTAACACTGACCCTAGCAAGAGCAGTGCTTCGTAGAATCTACCACCGGATCGGAAACGCGACCCACTGAGAAGATCCGGCGAGAAACTCAGTGGGCTGTGTCTATGGGTTAGTTCGCTCGTCGAGCCCTTCGTCGCAAGCGACGGGTTCGACGAGGTCGGTGACCGGTGCTTGTGGTGCCTAAAAGCACCGTTAATGGATCAGGAGGATCCGTAATGACGTGCTTTGGGCGACGTCGACGGTNAGAATCTACCACCGGATCGGAAACGCGACCCACTGAGAAGATCCGGCGAGAAACTCAGTGGGCTGTGTCTATGGGTTAGTTCGCTCGTCGAGCCCTTCGTCGCAAGCGACGGGTTCGACGAGGTCGGTGACCGGTGCTTGTGGTGCCTAAAAGCACCGTTAATGGATCAGGAGGATCCGTAATGACGTGCTTTGGGCGACGTCGACGGTTTACCATTCGGTCTACTGGGTCGGGTATGTAATTTCCAGCGGCTACGATGAGAGGGTTCTCATGTCGTGCCGCCTTCTCAAAATGGCGCACAATATTATCAAGCATTACGGTATCAACTAAGTTATACTGAACCACACGGTGAGTAACATTTTCCGAATCCTAATTAAATTCGTCTGCGTGCACACGAAATAAATAAATCTAGTTTTATTGGAACTGTTACTCCAGAAGAGTTTTCCGATATCAAATAAACCATTCTTTATATGTAAACATATTGAATAAGAGAGAATAACAAATATAAAACTAACTAAGAATTTAGATGATTTTTATAATAGTAAAGATTAACTAAAGATTCACCACAATACTTCGTTGTCCATCTTCTGATAGCAATACTTTTGGGGAGAAAAGCATTTCTTTGAAGCAACTCATCAACTCAACATCACTAGAATGTGTCTAAAGTAAGTCGATTAATGAAAACTGTCTCTCATTACGTATGAGGAGATTTGTGATTACTTAGAACCTAAGCTTAGCTTCACGTCGCTTGCGACGAAGGACTCGACGAGTAAATTAACCATCAGACACAGCCCACTGCGTTTCTCGCCGGATCTTCTCCGTGGGTCGCGTTTCTGATTCGGTGGTAGATTCTGCGAAGCACGGCTCTTGCTAGGGTTTGCGTGAGCAACGTCGTCAGGTTTGAGCCCCGTGAGCTCACCTACTTTGTTAAGGTTACGCTAAAATAGCCTATCAAGGCTATCAGCTTAGGCTCACAGCCGGCGTCTTGGCCAAAATCTAAGTTCTCAACTTAGATTTTGGCCAAGCTTACTCAACAACTCAACAAACTAGAATATCTATGAACAAAGCGATTCGAAAATTAACAATAGGAAAACAAAAAATGAAATACATATATAAATAAATAAATAAAAACACAATTAAAAAATATATTTTTTATTATACAAAAAGTAACACTCAAAATTATCAAAAAAAACAAAATTGGAACTTAGCTTATTTGACCTTCTTCATAAACATATTCTTAACGTCAACAAACTTAAGATTATAACGATTCACTTAATTAAGATACGTAGAAATAAAGGTTTGATCACAAATTGTTTCTTTAGTGCCCACGATTGATACACTGACGATCTCAGCCGATGTTAAGTGATAAGAGGAGTTTGTAGACATCACAAAGGGATAGCCGTCATTTATATTGAGGCAGAGTGAGAGAATAGTATATGGCCCTCTTGCTCTCCAGATCAGAATATTGTAGCAGAAATAGATTCCAATTGGTGCAGGCTAACAGTATATCCCCTGCCACCGGGTTTAATTGGCAAATTATAATTCACTCCGTATTAATCATAATAAAAACTCCTAGTATGGCACAACGAAATAACACCACGTTTTTTTTAGGCAAAGGAGAACTAGTTTTGACATTTAGCTGTCAAATTAACTTTACCCGCGTAAATAAAAGATTGATATTTAACAAAAAAAAATCTGTTTTTTTAAACAATAAAATTGGTTTGGAAAAGGTCAAAAGCATGGACTGACGATCGAATAGTTATAGTTGGGACAGGCTATTATTATCATTTAACATGAACTTCTCTCCACGGTGTTTCCCGAGCGCTATGACATGTCTGAATGTCTGTCTTCAAACGAGGCTTGTGGAGAGTACTTAACGGTAGGCAGAGACTTATCTGTTCCTCTGCCTACCTCTCTAAAAAATAATAATAGAGATACTTCAAAATCATTAGGTTCGGCGTCAGCTCGACAAACCCAACGCCAGAAGAACGAATCCGTCGTCAGACAACGATACTTCGTCTTTATAATTAATATGATTTAATAAGAACCAAAAGACGACTCCGTGTAATGAACATACCTTTGTTATATTGTTTGTTCCCGTCAAGATATATCAATGGCAAAGATATAACAACACCAAACAATAAATTTTTTTATCATGCGCCTTACCGTGAAGATTCAAAGTATATTATACAATTTCTAACAAAACGTTCAACTTAAGAAACATGTATTTGTACTCTATTCAACGTGTAATAGGCAAAGTAAATTTATGCGTATATCGACTAATGCTTTTATTATTTACATATTTACAAGAAAAATACACGAAAATAATCATAACGCTATTCACTATTTTACATTTTCACATTCATATTTAGAATTCCGTCAATTCAGAGCCATAAGGTCGTACTGTAAAACAGATACTTCGCAGTGGATACCTAAATCTAAATGATTGTCGTTGAAAAAAATGCTCTATCTAAAGTTTAAAAGCTTTTAATTTATTTAAAAGCCGAATGGGGTCGAAGGGCCTCTTCAGAAATGACCCCAGCGTGCGCTATAAGCCGTCTAAGCCAATAACAATGACAACTGACAGATTTGAAACGGCATTGATTTAATCACGAATCAACTATTTTAATTTTACAATACCGATATATTCTTTTTTTTATGTTTGGATGGGCAGACGAGCTCACAGCCCACCTGATGTTAATTGGTTACCGGAGCCCATAGACATCTACAAAGTAAATGCGCCACCCACCTCGAGATATAAGTTCTAAGGTCTCAAGTATAGTTACAACGGCTGCCCCTATCATTCATACTGAAACGCATTACTGCTTCACGACAAAAATAGGCAGGGCGGTGGTAGGTAACCTACCCGTGCGGACTCACAAGACGTCCTACCACCAGTAATTACGCAAATTATAATTTTGCGGGTTTGAATTTTAGTAACACGATGTTATTCCTTCACCGTAGAAGTCAATCGTGAACATTTGTGTCATGTCTCCACATTGCAATGTCTATGGGTTGTGGTAACCAGAGATTGAAGACCTTGAGGCAGTCCACCTGAAAATTTTTTTTTAGATAGACTTTTAAGTTTTACTTATCAACATCAGCCGCCTTCTCTTTATATTTAACTTCACATTTACTTTCATTGTAATTGCCGAAGTAATGTCGATTATACTCAAATCGCCGGACTTGGAACAGTGTGTTTTTTAACGCTCTCGATAGCGTAAAAGTTAGCTCATATTTGTATGGAATGGGAACATTTGCGTACGTTTGCCGCTAGGGGCGCTGTTCCAACTGCATACAAAATTGGGCTAACTTTTACGCTATCGACAACGTCAAAAAACTCGCACTAAGCACACAGAAGTCTCAACATTAGGAATAAATAAATAAAAAATAATAATACTGGAATAATAGCTGCCTACCCTCTCACCGGAATGTGATTGCTATGATGCAATACGCCAAGCACGTAACTCTATCGAGTTCGTAATGTAAATGTATCGAGTCCTCGATACGAAAACGGATCATTACATTAGACGGTAGTACTCGATAGCCAGCCAGCCTTCGAGATTTACGTTACCGTATGTGAAAACAATTATCGTGCTCTCGATTATAAGTTTCGAATTTGGAAAACGTGAGGATTCGATCGCGAAACGAAAGTAAATTCATTCGTGCCGCTGTAATTAATTCTTTTTACGGACGGTAGGGGCGCTGTTTAAATCCTATACATTTTTTTCTCGTGATTTCTCGATAGTGATACGAATACTTTTTCGATATTCATTCGTGCTCGCCCCTCTGTGTTCTTAGTGCGAGTTTTTTAACGTTCTCGATAGCGTAAAAGTTAAGACGAAAGATACAGTCCTACGAAGCCAAGGTGATCTCGACATCATCTCACATCGTCAACTAGATTTCGACGAAAACTTACACTACATCGCCGCGAGTTGTACATTTGTAAACATATTTACAGATTACAAACTATAACGACAAAAACATATTAGACTTTGGTTACTATTCCGACTGAAAAAAACTTCGAGACTCTTAAACGTGGTCCAGAAATAAAACGCGTCTTTAAGTCGCAGCGACGTCGCCATCGTGAATGACATTATCAATGTCAATACCAAACGAATTCCTAAATAGACACTTTAAAAATGGAAAAAACACGCTATGCATTGCAAACGTAAATTTTAAACTGAGAAAATATTGATACATACTCAAATTATTAATTATCAACGAATTGTCCAATATTAAAGTAATATCGATGCGAAGGCGTCTATTTTGAAAGTTTTTTTTTGTTCGTCAGGATCACTTCAGGATACGAAAATCGTGATCACGAAATCTCATGCAAAATTTTTCATTTAAAAATTATGGTAATTCGGAACAAATCTTATGTAACAGTCATTTCATAATTTACATTTTGGCGCAATTTACAAAAGCGACTTAAGTCGAAATAAAATTATTTGGTGGTATGGATTGACATCGGTGACGTCATACAACTATCTGATTTCCTCCTTACCAACCTCCTGCCGTTTTTGAAGTAGGTTAAAAATTGACACTTTAAAAACGTAAACAATCTTAACAAATAACGCGTGATTGTGTACAATCAATTTGAGACGTATCGAAAACTAATGACGCCGCGAGAAACAATGTATTTTAAACATAATCAGAGACTCCATAGACAATGAATATAAAAAAAAACTTTGTATTCTCATTAAAGTCGAAAGTTAACGTCAAGACAAAAAATCCTTCAAGACTTGCACTTATTTATTGTTCTAGACTATTTAGACGGAATTAGTTTTTAAACAAGACAAAAAATATATTGGTGAGTGCTAAAAAATACCTAAACGGAAAATATCAGAAATCTCTCGCGCATCGTCGTTGGTAACTCTGAAACAAATAATGGTCGTTAGAAAACATAGACATAGCCAATTAAAGAAATGAATTGATACAATGAAAAAAATATGCATCAGGTTAAGAATCTCTTACCTTTTAAAAAAAAAATCTATCAATGAATAAAGATTTAGGAGCCATTTTGCTCAATTGAGTAAAAAAAAATTGCAAGTCGACGTAAACGTCATGTGTCAAACGTCAAATTTGAACTACGTTAATGTCAGATCAGTTTTTGTCATGGCACAAGCCTCGCCATTTCGTACCTACCTACTTAAAGCAAAAATACTTTTTTTTTAAACTAATATGATCTAACGCTTATAATTAGTCTAGCACAACGGGTTCGGTATATTTGGTTTTTATTTTACGCGTCGTTTCACGTCATATCGCCATTATCAAAACAATATCTGCTATTTCGTCTTACTAGTTCACTAACGAAAGTTTACAGAAGTTATACTTTTTGCTATATAGCCGATATTGATTTGACAACGACGGTATAATATCGAAGGACCTATTTTTATCGACCTACGAATTTTTGTTGGTTTATGTTGTCTTTGCGACCTCTGTAAGTAAATAAAGTACACCAATTACATCGGTATAATTGCGCCACGTAAACCAGTGCTATTTGCTGGTTCTACTGTATGTAATCATGCACTTGTGAAACTACAACGCGAGCTCAGCAAAACAAAACAGCAGAGGGCTTTTGCGGGGAAAATATTGAAAACCTTAAATACATACAGGATGGTGGGGTCTAGTCGGGGGGCGGTACATGACCTGCCGCCGGGGGGGCCGTACCGGTGGTCGTACTGGGGCATTGAACAAAGACATCAGCGGCGGTGGTGCTCTGGGAGAGGGACGCCCCCACTTCTGGAAGTGTTTCGGCCACTCTCCCACGCTAGAGTTTCGACTAGAAGAATATTGATTGAATCTTGGATAATTCGAATCCGTAGGAGCTGTGGCGGCTGGCTCTAGGCTGTTTAGCTGGAAAAAAATTTTTAGACGATTATAAAACTTTAAGGAAAATGCTTTTTATATAATAATATATTGACTGTAATGGTAGCAGCAAAAATAATATTTTTAACTTTTACAAAAGAAGGCGATTGACTATTTTTCCACTGTGTTTTTTTTTAATTTTGAATAATTGAAAAGTCCCAGGTTTCTTCTTTTTGAATCATCACATCTTTATTAATACAGCTTTGTAATGTATTATGCAAAGCACTCAATATACGTCTTCAGTTTTCCGACTGTGCCAATAATAGCAAAACCTTCATACTCCAAAGTGGAAATTATGTTCTGCCATCTAGGGACGGTAACCTCTTAACATTGCATCGACCGTGAGCTCATGGACACGTCTTAGTAATAAATGCAGCAGAAGTACACGGTGTAAATAACGCACATTTGAAGTCGTCGTGGCCTAAAGGATAAGACGTCCGGTGCATTCGTCCGAGCGATGCACCGGTGTTCGAATCCCAAGCTAGGTACCAACTTTTCTAATGAAATACGTACTTAACAAACTCACGATTGACTTCCACGTTGAAGGAATAACATCGTGTAATAAAACTCAAACCCGCAAAATTATAATTTGCGTAATTACTGATGGTAGCACCTCTTGTGAGTACGCACGGGTAGGTACCACCACCCTGCCTATTTCTGCCGTGAAGCAGTAATGCGTTTCGGTTCGAAGGACGGGGCAGCCGTTGTAACTATACTGAGAACTTAGAACTCATATCTCAAGGTGGGTGGCGGCATTTACGTTGTATATGTCTATGGGCTCCTTTAAATAATTGATACTAGGTGTGCTGTGAGCTCGTCCACCCATCCAATTAAGAAAATGTAAATACAAATAAACGCACCTTTGTCTCGACGTTGGTCGTGTCGGGCGATGTATCTGACCTGGGACACATCACGGTTAGAGATTCCATCCCGCGGTCAAACTGCGCGACCTGCCTCGAACCAGCCCGCGTTCTAGCAGATAAGTACTCTTCTAGCAAATTCTTATTGAACGCCCCTAGCTGCTTCTCGAACTGGGCCGCCATGTTGCTCTGGAAGATTGAGGCGTCCGTGCGTTTGAGGATGTCCAGCACCGCCCGACTCAACGGATCCTCGTTGGGCAGGATACAAACCCTCTCGAGCACGTGATTCGCAACCTCCTCCCCAAAACCCATATCGTTGGCGACCATGAAACTAGTTAAATTCAGGAAAACCGGTTTGAACCTGGAGAAGTTCTGCGTGGTCGCGATGGTGAGCATTAGCACGTCGCAGAGTTGGACTGACGGCGCGACCTTGCACTTGAGAAGATCCCCGTAACCTTCAAGGTCTACGTGATTCAAGTACATGAGAACATATTCGAGCACCGATAGTTTGAGATCGGAATCGTCTTTGTTGCCGTGCGTCGCTTTCGTGATAAAGTCGATCGCCATCTCGACGAGGGTCCTGGTCAATTGCCGTTTCCGACACTCCTCCACGAAACAAAACCCGTATTTGCGGCGCAGATTCGAGTAATCCCGGAGAATCATGTATTCTCTGATGAAGATGCTCTCGTGCAACGTTGCCAGTAGGCGTTTGACGTCAAGAACGTCAGGGATTACGTGGGGGAAGCGGCACATCAAGTTCTTACAGTGGCCAAGTGTATTGTAGAAGCAAACGTTTTTGAACAAGACGCTGTTCCTAGCGTGCATCGGCTTATTCTTTGAGGCCATGAGAGAAAGAGTATCTCGATTTTTCACGAATTTCGCCGGTCCTCTGAAAGGTTCCATGTCTTTGGCAGACTCCTGGTAGTCGTCTTCGAAGCTGGCCATCGCAGTCTCCGCTAGAGCGTCATAGAAATCCTTGCCGACCGATGTAGAATCTGCGTTATGCCTTTCGCAGATCGTCTTTTTTGAGGTCTCAGCTTGACCATTCGTTATCTTGGTGGGGAAGTACGTGAACTTATCAGGTGACTCATTCTCGGAGATAGGACGAGGAATGTATTCTTCCTCGTTGTCCACTGTACCGTTGACCGCTATGGAGCTATTGAATTGGGATAGTTCCATACCACTGATGCTTTCGGCGAACAGTGATATTGCATCGTCGTCTTCATAGTTATAACCCCCTACAGACAGCCTCACGTTGTCCTCATTTGAACTCTGCATCGGTTTAGAGACGAGCGGTGGACTCAGTGCCGAGTTTTGATTCAACATACAATTTCCACTTTTGTTCGACAGATTCCTCCTAGTACTTTCTAGATCGTCAGGTACTTTTCTAGAAACTTCTGCGGGCCTCACGAAATCGACTTCGTCATTGTGCTTTGAGCCGTCACCTTGTCTATCCAAAGTTTCCTCTGTATCATTCGTGACACCTCTCAAATGATTTTTAATGCACCGGCAATTATTAAGAACGTCGCTTTCTTCCTTCAATACCTTCAATATTTTATTCTGAAAACTGACTTTCGTATCGTCACTCGTATGTCCAATCCATTTCATTATTTCTATGTCGAATTTCTTTAAGCTAGACGACAATTTATCGAAGGCTTTACGGAGTTCATCTCTAACTTCCGTCTTTTTAGCTTCATTGTCATTTTTATCAGCTGCCTCCTCCGCAATAGTGGACTCTGAGGTTATACTCAAATTCAGATCATTAGCTACATCAATTTTACTTTCGTCCGTTGACGAACTAATAGATGAAGTCGCGTCACTATCGCACTTCTCTTGTTTGATGCCGTCACCTAATTTCGTTAGCCTCACGATCGGCATCTTGTTATCTATACGCACGATGTCGTCGATCCGGGCCGATATCGTCGTGTTGGAGCTGGACACGTCCTTGGTCCAGGACAGGTTGGATGAGCTGGCCACTGATACCTTTCTGGTTTCGACGACGCTTGGCGCTTGAGGTTCGACAGCGGACTGGACCGCTTCACCGCCCGCCTCTGCATGATCGCTAACGACTTTAGATATAACGTCTTCCTTACCTACGTTGTTTTTCTTCGTTATCGTCAACTTTAGGTAGCGCGTTATGTTATTGTTACGTGCTATTTTCGGTCTGTCTGCCGTCTTCTTGACTATATTACGTTTCGGGGTTGGCCGTTTTGGTTCCGCCGGGCGTTTCTTTGGTGCTGTAACAAGGAATGAATAGAAACAACTTGACCACACATAGGGACCAATCCACGCGTAGAACTAAACCTTTGACCTAATTAAACATTTGGAAATGGTTGGAAAAGGACATGTCATTTGTGGTTGAATGATTTCAGGTAATGCACTGTCAATTAATGAATAACTGTCTACCCAATTTTTTTTTTCACTTAGGATTTTTGTTAAACACAAGGTCGATTCCGATCCGGTAGTAGATTCATTCACAAAGTAGCTGCCCTTGGGTTGTTAAGTCTCCTTCAGAGGCGCTCGGGCAGCTATTAGCAAATCTCACCCCTCCTAGCTGAGGCTTTGCTCGCCCACCTGTCCTGGTGAAACTGGAGGCGTCCGGGCCTCCAGTAATCCCACAAACAAAAAAACAAAACAAGTATGTTTTAATTTATGTTTTACAGACACATTTATTAAATTTATCATATTAATTTAATTGAAGTTTCTATATCAAACAGCCATGTAAATGTACACATATTAGGTACATAACAGTTAATTGCCTAGTATGCCTAGTATTAAGGATCGAACCAAGACACCGTTATATGAGCCTAGACCGAGCGTCTTACCTATTAAGCCCCGGACGATTGTCTAAGCTCGCTGTTGATGTGGATAACAACGAAGGCACATTACCCACATGATTCGTATAAGTATCGATATTTACCAGGTTTTTTTTCAGTAACCCCATCAGTCGTTTTAACTGTTTTCGGTGCTATTCCGTTGACAGCCGGTTTTTTATCTGCAACAATTTGTTTTTTGTTCTTTTCAAGAGCCCATCAATTCTCTTTACTGTGCCAGAGGGTCTTAAGTAATAATTATTCCGCAATTGCGGCCTCAAACTAGGGTGCTCTAAATGCCGAATCTCCTCAGTGGAATGCGAATTCGATCCGATGGCTGATGTAAGACCCATTGCTTCTCCCTGAGTGCGCTCTGAACCCAAGCTCTGAGTATAAAATGCTTTAAACGCAGATCCTGACTCCAACTGGCAATGGTACACTTACCAAATGGTAACTAACCATTGTTACTTGTGGTAATTGTCTAGTGCTATTTGGTAGGATTTAGTGCTCAGACTATCTTCAACTGAAACTTGATACTCATTGTCTAGTTCAAGTCAGTTCAATGGATGGCAGCGTTCAAGTTGTGATGTCTAGGGCTACGATAAGCACCTAACTAAGCAATTAAAATAGAAAAAAAAAACACTTTAGATACCACATATCATGTGTGTCAGCAACTCCCAAAGGGGTCAGGTCTGGGGGATAACTTAACCAACCTCAAAATTGTGATTTATTCATAACAAGTAAACAACTGGTATATTACCTATATAGAAAGCTTAAATTTAAACTTACTGGCGCTAGGATCTCTTGTGAATCCGCACGGGTAGGTACCACCGCCCTGCCTATTTCTACCGTGACGCAATAATGCGTTTCAGTTTGAAGGGTAGGGCAGCCGTTGTAACAATACTGAGGCCTAAGAACTTATATCTTAAGGTGGGTGGCGAATTTACGTTATAGATGTCTATGGGTTCCAGTAACCACTTAACACCAGGTGGGCTGTGAGTTCGACCCATCTAAGCAATAAAAAATAAATAAAAAAGTATATACTACAGAACTGAACAAGCAATCTATACTTAATATTATAAAGAGGAAAGATTTGTTTGTTTGTTTGTTTCGAATAGGCTCCGAAACTACTGGACCGATTTGAAAAATTCTTTTTCCATTAGAAGCCGACATTGTCCCTGATGAACATTGGCTACTTTTTTTTATTTATTTTTTTTGGTTTCATGTATGTTTTAATGTTTCCGAAGCGAAGCGAGGGCGGGTCGCTATATATCATAAAAATATTTTTACAAACATTACCATTTGATTCAGCTTCAGGCTCTAAGCTTGGCATGCCCCTTTTTGATTTTCTGTTAGTATTGACCTGGCGCGGGGCAGGCTTATTGACTGGTTCTATTTTGATGTCATTTTTAAACGAAACTACTATTGAATTTTTCTTAGTCAACTGTAATTTTGCAACTGTAAACAAATTTATGGTAGAAATTAATAGAATTTGTGCTCAGGTAAAATGCATTGAAGATGGACGAATTGTGTATTCCTACTGTAAGTCTTGGGACCTTACAATTTTATTGATATGAATGTTCTATTTCTGCAAAGCATTCGTACACTGCAGAGCACAATTGTATTGCAGTATTAATGAGACTTCAACTTCTCATTGTTGGTGGGTATCCAGGCAGTAGGTTGGTGGGTATCCAGGCAGTAGGTTGGTCAGTATCCGCTTTTTGATGTATTTCTTTTTTTTCTTTTTTTTTTTTTTTTTTATTGCTTAGGTGGGTGGACGAGCTCACAGCCCACCTGGTGTTAAGTGGTTACTGGAGCCCATAGACATCTACAACGTAAATGCGCCACCCACCTTGAGATATAAGTTCTAAGGTCTCAGTATAGTGACAACGGCTACCCCACCCTTCGAACCGAAACGCATTACTGCTTCACGGCGGAAATAGGCGGGGTGGTGGTACCTACCCGTGCGGACTCCCAAGAGGTCCTACCACCAGTGATTACGCAAATTATAATTTTGCGGGTTTGATTTTTATTACACGATGTTATTCCTTCACCGTGGAAGTCAATCGTGAACATTTGTTGAGTACGTATTTCATTAGAAAAATTGGTACCCGCCTGCGGGATTCGAACACCGGTGCATCGCTACACACGAATGCACCGGACGTCTTATCCTTTAGGCCACGACGACGATTTCATTGTTTTGGTGATTTGAACTGTGACTTCTACTTGAAAGCCTCATCTCATCTAGTCATGTTGCTCAGTGCGTCAAACACGAAAATCTATCGAATTCGTAATATAAATGTATCGAGTCCTCGATACGAAAACGGATTATTACATTACATATTATGAGTATAAGTATAAGTTTTGAAGTCGTCGTGACCTAACGGATAAGACGTCCGGTGCATTCGTGTTGAGTGATGCACCGGTGTTCGAATCTCAGGCGGGTACCAATTTTTCTAATAAAATACGTACTTAACAATTGTTCACGATTGACTTCCACGGTGAAGGAATAACATCGTGTAATAAAAATGAAACCCGCTAATTTGCGTAATTACCTGGTAGGTACCATGGTAGGACCTCTTGTGAGTCCGCGCGGGTGGGTAGCGCCACCCCGCCTATTTCTGCCGTGAAGCAGTAATGCGTTTCGGCAAGAAGTGTGGGGCAGCCGTTGTAACTATACTCGAGACTTTAGAACTTATATCTCAAGGTGGGTGGCGCATTTACGTTGCGGATGTCTATGGACTCCAGTAACCACTTAACACCAGGTGGGCTGTGAGTTCGTACACCTATCTAAGCAATAAAAAAAATTCAAAAAGTTTCGAGAACGTAAAGATTCGATCGCGAAACAAAAGTAAGTAAAAATTCATTCATGTTGCTCAAATTAATTCTATATATGGACGGTACGGATGCTGTTTAAATGCTGTTCGTTTTTCTCGATAAGGATATGAATACTTTTTCAATAGTCATTTGTGCTCGACCCTCTGATGATTCTTGTAGTTACTTGTAATACTCAGTAGGATACTAGATCACTCAGCACCAGGCAAGCTATGAGATAGTCGGGCAACTACATCAATAAAAAACAACATATATCAAATTACCTTCATTAGCCAATTCTATATTTCGTTCAAAGTTTATTGATTTCTTTGTTGTTCTCTTCCTTACTTGTCGTTCTGTAGGCAAAAACTCTGGTTGGTTATAAATTTCTTTTTCTAATATACTAGCTAAGAAGAGAATGGACTGAACCATAATTTTTGTGAGGCTCTTTTTTGCACTTTATGGTTCTCAAAGCTCATATTGTAAGTGAGTGGTATTAATTGGTTATTGGAGCCCTTGTACATCTAAATGTGAATGCCATAATTTGTGACAATCAGATAATTGGTTAAGACAAGAAAACTTAAACAAACTAATTTCACATGTATCATAAATTAGTAGTTAGTATGGATTGGGATACAAATGAATAAAGAATAGGATCAAAGTATGATTTTGTCAGAATAAAAAGTAGCATTATTCTGTCAATCCCACAACTGACATTCAATAATGTTTAAGACACAAAAATATATTAGGATAAAATTTCAGACTTTCATGCTACCACTATATACTACTAATTAGTAAATTGTCAGAATGATGATAATTCATTTGCATTACTTGTTTGTTTGCTGGAAGAAAACTTAAGAATATGTTATGCTTCTTATTATGCATACTATTTAGGTTTATGATTGCTCTTATATATTATAAACTTGCAGTAAAGTATAATTAGAATGAAAACTTTAATGTAGCTAGCATAGCAATAATCTAACAAAAGTTTTGATTTCGCTTGGCTTAATTAAAGAGTGGAAAGATACATAAAAATAAAATAAAAATTATATAAACAGCATTCACTTCTATTAGCAATACATTAAATATCTTAACAGTGAGATGATTTAAATATATAAAAATATTGACTTAAAAACGACAAATTAGTAAAATGTAAGTCATTCTGGATGCACAGAACAATGTTCTGGAAAATACACTGAACAATAAACTTCTTTGAGACCATAAATGTGAAACTTAGAATTTCTATACAATGTACGGAATAAGGTTGCGTTTTGCAAAACAAAAAATAACGAAGTTGGCTAAATTATATAGTGGTGCTGCCTCAGCAAGTTTCAGGTGACAGGGAACAAATTTGTTAAGTATAATATTTATTGTAATATTGTATTAGACATCTTTTTTATTCTTTCATGTACGATTAAACAGTTTTATTAAACAGTTGTAATAAGGTATATAATTTAAATTGCAAATAATAAATGCAGTTAAGCTGTTTCAAACTTTCACTAACTTCGTAACTCACCTACGGGTTTTTGAGGCGGTTTTTTTACTGTGCCAACAGCAGGATTCTTTCTGTTAATTTTCTTTATCTGCTTCTGAGCTTTAGGAGTGGTTGCAGCGTTGGTGTTTTCAACATTATTTGGTTTTTTTCTTGGAGCCATTGCAAAATTCTGTGGTTATCTTACTAATAATAAAGATTCAGTGGCATATTTAATACCGAAACATGCATTCTTTCATTAAGTTTGATTATTTTGGATATGTTTATGAAACAAAATTATATAGCTTTAGTAACTATCGCAAACCGCTTCACATGAAAAATGAAAAACAATGTTTCTCTATTTTATATTTTTAAATGAGATTTTATAACCTGGTAACTAAGACCTTTAGGTCAAAATTCTCTATTTTATACTTGTGATTTTGATAGGGATAGACAAAATGATTAAATAAGGTTTCAGAAATATCGATTAGATTAAAATCAAACCCAGACATAACGTCGAGAAAGATCAGTTATGATTCTAGACAATTAATAGGTCTACTACAGTCACTCAATACTACTGTTTCTTTATAGATAAAGAAGAAGTTAGTTTTAAATTTTGTATATTTGAATTTTTATTGATTTATAGACTCTAGAGAGATTTCGAAGCACTTGGAGTTCAAACACTTAGACATCTTGACATGATCTTGACCTAGAAGTTCACAGATTATATCGAAAAATTTGTTAGATTGAAGGTCAAAAAGGTTATTTACGTCAAAGAGAAAATACCGAGGTTTTTCATCGGTGCTATCAGTAATTTGTAGCCGGTCCGAAATTTATCTATCAAACAAAATGCCTGCAAAGTATAAGATTGTTATGATTCGTCATGGCGAATCCGAATGGAACCAGAAGAATCTCTTCTGTGGATGGTTCGACGCTGACCTCAGCGACAAAGGTGAATTCTCAATTCATAATTTAAAAATATACCTCATAAACTCCTTTCACATATTTGATATCTATTTCATCCAAAAAATTTAATCAATTCATGGCAGTTTCCCAATAAATACAATTTAATTTTAAAATATTTTTATTCGTTATTTTACAATGAAAAATAAAAATTTTGTGTTTTATTTCAGGTCGTCAAGAAGCTGTTGCTGCCGGGAAGGCCTTAAAAGCTGAAGGCTATCAGTTTGACGTTGCTCACACGTCTGTTCTAAAACGTGCCCAGATTACACTGAACTCTATCTTAAAGGAGATCGGTCAGCCAGATATACCTATTGAGAAAACTTGGAGATTGAACGAGAGGCATTATGGTGGCCTCACTGGACTGAACAAGGCTGAGACAGCTGCCAAATACGGGGAGGCTCAGGTATTTTAAATGTCACTAGTGGACCCGACAGACATGTGAATGCATACACAAAAATTCATTTAAATCGATCCAGCTGTTTAGTTGCAATATAGATAAATAACCTAGATACCGACTGCAGCGCCATCTGCCGGGATGATTTGTGAGTGGAAACCATGCAGGGTGCCATGCAAACACATATGAAAAAATTCATTCAAATCGGTCTAGCTGTTTAGGAGTTCAGTGACATACACACATACAGCAGAATTATATATATAAATATATTGAACCATGGAGCTAAATTTACTAACATGAGAAGCGATGAAAATATCTAAAGTAGTCACGAAACTGATTTCATTGAGTTCATATACCATCATTATATTTTAAAAATCAGATTTTCTTATCAAGAATGCTGTTGGTTTTATAAAAACAGAAAGTCATTTCTCATTACCATTTTAATATCAGCCACTACACTGTATGAAAGATTTCAGTCATCATATCACCAATACATTATGGGGGGCTCTGAGTTATAGTTTGGAAAAATTAAATATATAACATACAATAATAAAATTAACAATAGTCACAGTGGAGTGTGGCCCGGTTTCACTGTGGCTCAATACAATAAGGGACTCTTTGCATTTAGGGCAATGTACGTATGTAATGTAGTTAAAATCTGTACAATATTTCCACAGGTTCAAATCTGGCGCCGCAGCTTCGACGTTCCTCCACCGGCCATGGAAAAAGATCACCCATACTATGACACCATTGTTAACGATCCCAGATATGCTGCTGACCCGAAACCTGAAGAGTTCCCTATGTACGAGAGCCTGAAACTCACTATTGAAAGAACCCTACCTTACTGGAACAATGTTATTGTGCCTCAGGTCTGAAATAAGTAAATATTTTATTTACATTACTAAGAATCAACTATAACCTAGTGGTGATGTTGTTAGTGTTCTTTATCACAAAAAGAATCCCAAAAACCACCTATAAACGTAAACTCTAAATGCATTTCTGACTTTGGATCTCTAGATACATTGATTAACACTGAGTATCTTTCAATTATATCTATACTTCAAAACCTTTGCTTCAATAGCTTAAGAATATTTCGACAGTCCTTAAGTATAAAGTGACGTCAAAATGGTCAGGTTTCTATGATATGTATATTTATAGACATCTATAAAATACATTTTTTTAATCAACAGTTGTTCTTTAATATGATTACATTGCTTAGTAAACCAAATAATTATTTAAAAAAATTAATTAAATAAGGTTATGAACCAAAAATAAGCCATAATACATTTTTGACACATCTTTTTGTACATAGAGACCACGGAATTGTTTAAACTGTATTTCTATTGCAGATCAAAGAAGGCAAGAAGATCATTATTGCTGCCCACGGCAACAGTCTAAGGGGTATTGTGAAGCACTTAGATGGTAAGAATATTTTAATCATGTGCTTTTTATTAGAACTCTAAATAACATGAAACATTTGTAGTTTCTTCTATTTCTTTCTACATCATGCGTTGATGCGAGTTTTATCCTTTAATTTGAAACTGGATAGATTTTGCCAGCATACAAGTTAAAAAACAACAGATGGCGCCCTCCCACTATTTGACATTTCATTCTGACAAAATGTAACTCATAACATTTGTGTAATTTCAGATCTAAGCGATGCAGCAATCATGGAATTGAATCTGCCGACAGGAATCCCCTTCGTATATGAACTTGATGAGAATTTAAAACCTGTAGATTCCATGGTGTTCCTTGGTGATGAAGAAACCGTCAAAAAAGCTATGGCTACTGTCGCTGCCCAGGGCAAGGCCAAGTGATTTTTTTTGTTTCCAAGTGTTTTAGATATGGTTACTCTTTGAGCACCACCGGGAAAATAGATTAGCCGGCCTTCAGTGCCAAGCTGTAAATTCAATACATATATACCAAATATGTTTGATACAAATAATAATTTTTAATACTATGCAATTAGATTTATTTTAAAAGCTGTATGCTTTGCTTTTGTTGCTTTTTTTATTAAGAGTAGCCGTAATAATTTTCGAATATTAAAACGTTGCTCTTACAAATGTTAATGCAAAAAATTAATTTATTAAACAAGTATAACTGAATTATTAAAATATTTTGTTTATAAAGTTTTTTTTTTAAATGTATCTGAATATGATTCAAATAACCTTGCCCTTAGACCCCTCTCTTACGAACCAATAGCTACTACATCAATGCAATCTTAATTAAATATATAATTTCGGACTTAAATTTTCAAACACAAAAAGTTACCAAAATGTCACAACAGGCTACAAAATGGTAAATTTCAATTACTTTTAATAAATTCAATAGTATGAGGATTATTTAGGGACTCGCTTATTTATATGAGATACAAATAGTATTATTATTATTATTACATGTTATGATGTAAAATGCTTAATGGAGCCCATAGACCATGACAATAAGGTCTAAGTCTCTAATATTCCAATCGGAATGCATTACTTCTTTCTGGCAGAAATACTCAGAATCATGGTGCACACATATGACATCACGAAACACGTTTCTGTCAAAAAATTCTAATTTGATATTGAAGGTCCTAATTAGGTTTTTAATGTTGTTAATAAAAGTCGTAACTAAAAAAAAGCATTTATTGATTTTATTGAATTGTAAAAGGATTGCCATCATTTTCTTTTATGAGAGGTTTATTCATTTCGGTAAACTATCTTTCAAATCCTCCATAGAACAGTCCATACTTGTTTCATCCCTCGATTTCTTGTCGCTTGTGAATTTCTTTCCTGCATATTTATTTTTGCTAAACGTCTTCTGTTTGCTATTGTTCAAATGGAATTTATTGGACTTAGCCTCGTCTACGTCCATAGCGTTAGGCATTTTGTTTTTATCCTTTTTTTGTCTTTCAAAACGAAAATCTTTGGGTATCCTGTGCTCTCGGACGCAGTGGTCTAATCTGTCGGCGGTGTTGTTGAATTTCTGTTTACATTCTTCTATGTAGCAGCAATACTGAGAACGATATTGACAGCATTATTATTACTACCTTCTTCTACTACTACTACTACTACTACTACTACTACTACTACTACTACTACTACTACTATTACTACTTCTAATAGTAGTCGTCCCTTAGTTCACCCGTTTACGCTGTTATCCAGTTAACGTTGAGAATTTAACGTAAACCAGTGGATTGTTAGACATTAGGAAGTTTATTTTTTATTGCTTAGGTGGGTGGACGAGCTCACGGCCCACCTGATGTTAAGTGGTTACCGGAGCCCATAGACATCTAAACCGTAAATGCCGCCACCTACCTTGATATATAAGTTCTAAGGTCTCAGTATAGTTACGACGGCTGCCCCACCCTTCAAACCGAAACGCATTACTGCTTCATGGCAGAAATATTTAGGGTAGTGGTACTTACCCCTGCAAGACGTCTTACCACCAGTAATACGATATAAAGAGTATATAAGGGGGATCTATATAAATAAGGGATATAAAGAAGTTGGATTTTGGCAAAAGCAAAGTGCGTCACTTTCAGTCAAGCAAGGGTAACTTTTTTGAAGTTATACTACTTTAGGCGCGTTATGAAAAATTGATGAGAGTGAAATTTTACGATGCGCGCGCACCGTGATACAAAATTAACAGAAATTAAGTTGCCCACTAAATCGCTCATTACAATACCAAAACCTATCACTTACTTATAGCACGAGTAATTTCATAAAATGGAAAATATAGCCAATGCCTTTTTGTTTTTGTTTTTTCTTATACAGCCTTCAAACGTTCGTTTTTATATTACACCACATTACACATAGATGGATCGATTTATTGTCCTATCTTCGTCTTAGTACTGTAGTTAAGCATAGTCTTTTGACAGTTTAAGAAAGCAATATTTAAACTCATTCGAAGTCCAGCTTCCGAGCACACTCACCGAAGGCTTCTTTTCGGCCATCACAGCAAAATACGAATCGTGGTTCTCCTGTATATGCAGGTCTAAGAAATGCGGCGAAGGTAGCACCTTCTTGCATTGAGCGCACGAGTACCTGTGCGTCGCGTTGTAATGGTTTTCATAATCTAATAGTGTATCAGCGATGTGTTTACATCCTGGTATGCTGCACGGAGTTTGTTTACTGGAAGCATAATTTATTTATCAGGATGAACTAGCTCACGAATCCGAATCACCTGGCGTTAAGTGGTTGAAATCTGAAGTCCAAGTACCTTTGGATTAAGCTTGGAATTAGCTCCCCTCTTTGGTGTTTCCCGAGCGCTATGACGTTTCCTTCAAAGAAGGCTTGTCGAGGGTAGGTATTTAGTTACTTACGGTAGGCAGCAGGTTGGCAGACGTCCATGGGCGATAGTAACCATTCGCCATCAAGTGGGCCGTGTGACCGTCTGCCTACAGAGGAAATTAAGAAAAAAACCTTATGCCGGCTCATAATACGACCTACCACTTGCGATTACGTAAATTAAACGGTGGACAAAAAAACTACAGTGTTATTCCTTCGTCAGAAACGGACATTGATGAACATGTATTATGAAAAGTATCTGCTGAGAGATACCAGAAAGTCTATAGAAATTTGTACCAATCAAGTCATTTAAAACAGACATTAGGTGACGTCAATATTTTTGGTGCTTTTGAGTTTGACCGACATAGCACAATGTTTCTGGAGCTAAGTGACAACTTACGCAATTAAGCAAGGCAGGATTATTAATCACAACAATTAGTGTTTAAGTAACAGAGCATGACAATAAATATGATGGATTACAATTTGGAGTTATAATTTCCATCGTCCACATCGTAAATTCCAAGTCTAGTTGGTTGTTTGTCATGTATAAACATAACGTCATCAAGCATCCGTTTTCCTACTCCATATTCTTTAAGCTTCTCCAATAGAGATTTTGCATTCATTTTTTTTGGTTGTCAGCCTTTTTGGAATCAGCTGAAAAAGGAAAAGTTTATTACCATTATTGTCATTTTTTTTAGCTTAAAAGACCTGCTGCGTATGTAATTTAACACTATAGGTAGTGTTAGAATATCTATATTTGATAATAATGACAAAACTGTTTGAAAACTATAAGGCATGTTTAATTAACAATCGCGACTATTTGCATTAATTTATCATGGCCTATATTTGAAATTACAAAATAAAATAATTCTCTTAATTTCTCTTGTTTAATATAGTATATTAATAGACCTAACCGCGGTTTCGCCCGCGTTAACTTTGTAATGTTTTTTTTTTATTGCCTAGATGTGTGGACGAGCTCACAGCCCACCTGGTGTTAAGTGGTTACTGGAACCCATAGACATCTACAACGTGAATGCGCCACACACCTTGAGATATAAGTTCTAAGGTCTCAATATAGTTACAACGGCTGCCCCACCCTTCAAGCCGAAACGCATTACTGCTTCACGGCAGAAATAGGCGGGGCGGTGGTACCTACCCGTGCGGTCGCAAGAGGTCCTGCCACCAGTAATTACGCAAGAAAGAAAGAAAGAAAGAAAGAATGAAACGCTTTCTCGATATTAAGTTTCTTGCACTGTGGTTTATAAACTAACAGTTTATTAAAAAAACCAGTGGTACGTACCTATATAAAACATTTCAAATCTAATAAAATTAAGTACAGTGAATATATCTTAAAGTACTAGAGTTTATACTAATATTACAAATGTGAAAATGCAGTCTTCCATTATTTTTTATTACAAAAGTAACGCGGTTGAAACTGTTCGTCAATATTTTATTATATATTACTAGCTGACCCGGCAAACGTTGTGTTGCCTTAAATAAGATTTCTAGGGAATTCTAGTGTAGAAAAAAAACCTCATTCAACCACATAATACCTCATTATAAACAAAAAAAAATTATCCAAAAAATAAAAATAAATGTTTGGGCTGGACAACCCTTATCACTTAGGGGTATGAAAAATAGATAGTAGCCGATTCTCAGACCTACTGAACATACTATTGATATACAAATAAAACCAAAAAAACATGGCTGGCAAGCTACGATTGATACACAAATAAAACCAAAAAAACATGGCTGAAAAATGTATAGTGAGTAAGACAGGAGACCGGCTTTGTCCTCATCTTTACTACGTGATGTTTGCTGGATGTGTGGTGACACCTGGCAGGGATAACTGATCGATTGATAGTTGATTAGTAGTCGACCGGCGAGGGCGGGAGAACAAATAGAATTAAAAAAAAAACATAATTAAAGGAACTTGAAATTATAAACTCTGAATAAGAATTTATCGTACTAAAATTATTAGCCCGAGAGCCCGTGGGATCTACCTGTATGTATTTGACCAGACCTGAATTTTCGTACATTGAGACCCCTATACCTACCATGCATGAGATGGGGACTCACTAAGCTCAAAGTGGTCCACGCGCCGAGCGCTCAGGTAGGACAGGTACCGATTTTGACGGATTTTAAATCCATTTGACCACGTCTGCCGTTTTGAAATTTTGAAAATATATGATTATTATTATCGGAAAATAAGAATGGCAGACCATTATCGCGCATTTTACTTTGTGGCAGACCACTTTGAAAATGCTAAATTGCATTGAAAATGCAAAATTTTGAAAGTAATTGANGGATCTTTGTGACACAATCATTTGCATTAACGAAACGCAGAGGGATTCGTTAGTAAGCAGCGCGCCGACGGATGCTCGTAGGTAACGCGGCAAGTAAAATAGTTGTGGAACGCTAATATACGCCTACGTATTGGTAGCATGATTACGATTAGTTGTTATAATACAATGACGATTCGTTATTTTTTGGAACCGGGCCTGAGTTTCTCGCCGGATCTTCTCAGTGGGTCGCGTTTCCGACCCGGTGGTAGATTCTGTGAACCACTGCTCTTTCTAGGACCAGTGTTAGGTCTTGGTTTAAACCCCGAGAGCTCACCTACACGCTAGGGTAACGCTGATATAGTATCTCAAGGCTATCAGCATAGATTGGCTGAAAAAATTGACAAATTAGGTACCTATCGCAATGCAGTCATAAGTAGCCAATCATTGTGGATTAATAATCTATATTTATAAACGAAATGAATACACAACAGACCGAATTGAGATCGACTTCTCTTAAAATTGCTTAAAAGTTCCAGACTGCGGTTTATTGTTGAGCTAGGGCTCAAGATAAAACAGTTTAAACCAACGACACGTTTATTAAAACTTCTTCAAATTAAAATTACAGACGATATAGCAATTTCAACGGTAGAAACGCCTACAATATCACCTAAAATGTAATCTATTTAAAATTTATAGTCATCATTATTCAGCTCTTACGTTATTATTATGTAAAAATAGATAAAATATGCGAGTCATTGAATCAATGAAACTGACATTCAATTGAAAATACTGTTCAAGTGAATAGTTTAGACGCGACTACGCGTTGTCTAGGTGCTTTAAGTAATAAATCGCAATAGTTATTTAATAAGTTATAAAATTAATGGTTCAATTCAATTGGCAGGATATCAATTTCAAACATCATTCCGTGCGAATGCTTCTTCACAATTCTAGATAAATCTAGATAATTCAAAACTCAACAAGTGATATATTAATACGTGTCTGTAAATTAAATAAACCTTTAATTTAATATTAGTTGTTTTGAAAGACTAAGTTTTTAAGTGATTCAGTTGTGTTACTAATGGTTTAAGTAGTATCCCTCAATTATTGTGAATATTAAAAAAATATCTTAAAAACATGGAAATTCGTCAAAGAAAGGTGAGTAAATAATATGTGAGGTTATGTTGTTTAAAGGTACACAAATCTATTAGATTCTAATTGTTATAATAATAATCTCTTCGTGTTTTTAACAATAACATCCGGAAGACAGACAAAAAAGGTAGGTACCTCAATTTCCGCAGAAGACAATGGTTAACTGGGATAGGTACGGACTAACTGGGAACATGACATAATCTATGGCATTAAAGTCTTAGTAACGTGTTTCTTGCGGCATCTAATTTTCCCGGTTTTTCTTTAAAACGGGATTTTTAGAATAACTACATATGTAGTGATCAGTAATTCGGATAAATGCTGTTAGGTAACACACAATAGAATACTAATATGGAACACCCCTCAAAAATGATCGTAATTCCATAATACTTAGTAATTTTATAAAATTGTAGCATTATAATCTAATTTTATTCCGAATTTATAAAAAAAAACATAATTGTGATTATGTATGGATGCTCAATACACATCTTTCACAAAGACGGAGAATTAACCACGATCACATGGTACAGATAATAGTCAGGGTCATTCGTAGGATTAATCCGGCAAATTCTTAGAGATGTTCATCAGTTTTCAGTCGACTTATATTTTTGCTTTTCAAGTCGGTAGGGTTTATGTTACTAATTGGTATTGTTATCGTTGATATCCAAGCCACCTCATTGAAAAAAAAAACAAGCAAAGTGCTCTAATAAGCTATCTCTTAAGTAAATTTTATTAATTATATACCACAAACCTCTCTTTTTCCCTATAATATTTAGTATTTCTCTAAGGGTCCATGGTAATACAACTATTATTAGGAACTATTATTTAGGATCACTGCAAAAAATCCAACATAGGTATCTGAGGTACGTCACTAATGACTTTTCTTCATGAGAATTTAACTTTTTGTATCTTTATATGGAAATTTAACTTTTTGTATCTATATAAAGCTAAGTTGAGGTAGGGATGAGAATCTTTACGAAAAAGATCGATTTTTAAATCGATTCGAATCGTAATCTAATAAATGTGCTAATAATGTAATCTAAAACTGGTGGTAGGACCTCTTGTGAGTCCGCACGAGTAGGTACCACCACCCCACCTATTTCTGCCGTGAAACAGTAATGCGTTTCGGTTTGAAGGGTAGCCGTTGTAACTATACTGAGACCTTAGAACTTATATCTCAAAGTGGGTGCCGCATTTACATTGTAGATGTCTATGGGCTGCAGTAACCACTTAACACCAGGTCGGCTGTGAGCTCGTCCATACATCTAAGCAATAAAAAAAAAATCGATTCACAAGAAAATCGAGGTCCAAAAGATCGATTCCTTAAAAATCGTTTTTTTCAAGTTTGCTTTTACAATGTAATTATATATAATATATTATTATAACTAGTCAGGTCATAAGTATTGTCACACAGTAAAAACTTTTCTTTTAGAATGCTGGCCACAAAAAAGTTTATTGAATTCGAATTTCAAATTGTTCATGAAAATAAAAATGTATACTTTTAGAATTTTACTCATTTTTAAATACAGAGTGGACGCTTAAAGAAGACCGTGTTGCAGTTATTGCGTTGCATCGTTGCGGTTACGCGCCAATTCAAATTTTTAACATACTGAAAAATTTGAATATAACCAAGATTCGTTTATCGTACCATCAAACGATACAATGAAGACTCTAGTGTAGATGACAGGTCAAGAAGTGGTGGCCCTCGGTCTGTTAGGACTCCAGCAGTGATAAAAGCTGTGAAGGCGCGAATTCAAAGAAATCCCAAACGTAAGCAGAAACTGTTGGCCCTTCAGATGGGGTTAAGCAGAACCACGGTGAAAAGGGTGTTAAATGAAGACTTAGGGCTTCGGGCATATCGAAGAAAAACAGGACATCGTTTGAAGGCTCGTCTAATGGACCTGAGACTGAAGAGATGCCGCGCTTCGTTGAAGCGGTACGCGGGAAAAAAATATCGGGAAATTCTTTTTTCGGATGAAAAAATTTTTACCGTAGAAGAGAGCTACAACAAACAAAATGATAAGGTGTACGCACACAGTAGTGAAGAAGCGAGCAACCGTATTCCGCGTGTCCAACGAGGTCATTTTCCATCCTCGCTCATGGTATGGTTGGGAGTTTCTTATTGGGGCTTAACAGAGGTACATTTTTGTGAGAAAGGTGTAAAAACGAATGCAGTTGTGTATCAAAATACAGTCCTGACGAACCTTGTGGAACCTGTTTCTCATACCATGTTCAATAACAGGCACTGGGTATTCCAACAAGATTCGGCGCCAGCTCATAGAGCGAAGAGCACACAAGACTGGCTGGCGGCGCGTGAAATCGACTTCATCCGGCACGAAGACTGGCCCTCCTCCAGTCCAGATTTGAATCCGTTAGATTACAAGATATGGCAACACTTGGAGGAAAAGGCGTGCTCAAAGCCTCATCCCAATTTGGAGTCACTCAAGACATCCTTGATTAAGGCAGCCGCCGATATTGACATGGACCTCGTTCGTGCTGCGATAGACGACTGGCCGCGCAGATTGAAGGTCTGTATTCAAAATCACGGAGGTAATTTTGAATAAACTGTAGTGTCATAAGAATCTATGTTTTGTTAAGTTCATTTTGGTATATGAATGGTTACATAATGAATAAACGTGTTTCAATTATTTTACATTAAACATGTGACAGAATTTATGACCTGACTAGGTATAATAATAAGTATTAAAATAGATGAAATCAAAATAAGTGTAAAGTTAACTGAGTATCGCAAAAATATGGTCCCTGATTCTGTATTGGTTGAAAAACGGAGAGCGTAATTTAAATTCCTAATTGGAAATAATTTTATGGTTTTTACCAAAACTGAAAAAATCGAATGTTGATTTTCAAGGGTTGAATATCGATTTAAAAATCGAAAAAATCGAAATTTTTTTTGGCTCGAGAAATCGATTATTCGATTAATCGATCTCAAATTGGCATCCCTAAGTTCAATGCGCTTAGTACGAGTTTTTAACGTTCTCGATAGCGTAAAAGTTAGCTCATATCTGTATGGAATGAGATCGTGTGCCTACGTTTGCCGCTAGGGGCGCTGTTCCAACTGCGTACAAAATTGGGCTAGCTTTTACGGGGCTCAGTTAATTTGGTCCCCCTTTTTTTGATATTCGGATTTTTTTTATTTTTAATTATTTGTTCGTCATTTGTTCGTTAATGTTCGAATGTAAAAATGTTTGTTCGTCTTTTATTTATTTATAACTAATTAAGCAAAAGATCACCCTTAAGTTGCCCCACCTTACTAGATATCTTTATTTTTATCGCTTAGTTTAAATAATTTTGATCAATCATCGTTTGTTCGACGACTATTGATGATTAATCGATCATAAAAACAATTAAATTAAAAAAAACGAAGCCTTGTAATATATATCAACCAAGATACTTCTCGATAATAATAATTAAGTTAATATAGACGTTTTTTTTTAAATAAAATCCTGTTTATAGAGTATATATATACTAAGTTTATTCTTCCATATTAAATGAATTTCTACTAAATGTCCCTGCAATATATTTCTTGAACTTATAAATAATTATCATTTCAACGAAAACAGATTTTGTGTGCATTATATTTACGTTTTTTGAGCGTAATGAATTTAGGAATTACATATTAATTTTATTATAAAATAAAAGTATCATAACTATCTCCTATTGCATGGTAATGAATAGTATCATTTTAACAAGATAAATGTACTAAAATATTCTTAAAATAATTAGAAATCACTGAAATTTCTATGTGCTTGTTAATATTCAATATCATTAAAAATAACTGAATTTATTATAACCGCGCTAATCGTACTTTAACGACTAATTGGCCGTCTTCACTGACATTTTTTTGTTTGAAGTATTGTTGAAGTTTTCAATATATTTTTGATCTACATAAGGAATAATTGGACAGTTTAAACGCACTTGTTAACAAAACGCTAGTAAATACGGCCATTGCCAGCTGACTGACAAAACCGGCGCATGCGCAATGTAGGCGTGAGGTGATGGTTTGCTATAAAATAACTGGGTATTTAATTGTTTTTATGATCGAACAATCACCAATAGTCGTCGAACAAACGATAAATGATCAAGATTAATTAATCTGAGCGATAAAAATAAATATATGTAGTAAGGGCGGCCCACTTAACGGTGATCATTTGTTTAATTAATTATAAATAAATAAAAGACGAACAAACAATTTTTACATTCAAACATTAACGAACAAATAATAATAAAAAAATAAAAAAGGGGCCAAATTCAGTGAGCCAACTTTTACGCTATCGAGAGCGTTAAAAAACTTGCACTAAGCACACAGATATTCAGTAGTATAGGAGACAAGAAAATGTTTATTTTATTTATTTCTTAGAATAGCTTAATTATGAAATATAATGTGGTACTTATGAGAATAAACAAAAGAAATTAAACTTGTAATGAGGATTTCTTGTGAATTTAAGAAGCCGTTTATCGAATAACTAATGATATGGAATGAAATATAATATATATTAAATAAGTATTAGTAAAATGGTGATCATTTACTGAGATTTCTTCAGTGGACTTTTTGGAAGATCTGAGAAGTTACGTCCAGCGGTTTTGTTTCATTTTCCCACATTTGTGCACTTTCACAGATATTAAACAGTCAATAAACCACCGTTACTACACATTTAAACCTGAAGAAACACTAAATAGACAAAATAAAACAAAACACACACTTCACTCCTCGCGTTCCTGCCAAAAAGTTTTAGTATCTCTATATAGTCTGCATAGATCATAGATACTACACTTAATATTTAACAGTAGTCTGTGCCGTATATTTTCACGACTGAGACGTGCTCAAAGTTTAATTTAAATTAATTGTATACACGCAGTGTGTTACTTTATAAATGAATTGTGTTTCACACACTAAATCTGCCTTGGCAGTAGAATTAGAACGGCACTGTCTGTAATGTTTATTTCAATTAGATATGGGGAAATTCAGCAATTATCGATACTTAGAGGTGAGTTATTTGTATTTAAATAATAATAACTAATACTTTTTTAATGAATACATTTTTTTATTGCTAGTGAAAATATTGTAATAAATAATGCTTTCTAAAATTTATAAAATTACCTAAATTTCGTAACGAACTTTAAAGAAACTTCTAAAGAAAAAATATGTACAATTTGGAAACAAATATTCAATGGGCAATGTTGGAGTCCTTTTCCAGGTTCCCCTTTTATTAAATTTTAATTAGGTATACGGTATTTCATATTAAATATTTATACTATATAATGTGTATCCCTTATGTAAACAAAAGGGAAAATGGAAAGGGCTTACACAACTTTTGTCACCTCTTCTTGATTTTCCTCCATATAGGCTGAAATTACTTTAACTAGTTAGCCGCTACACTATCACACTCATCCAAAGTAATAGTTGCAAATTTGCATTTGGAAGTGTTCACAACCTAAAGGGTAAGACACCCAGTGCATTAGTATCTAGTGAAGGAACTGTGCTAGTGTTCGAATCCTGCAAGCAGGTAACAATATTTCAAAAGAAATAGATTCTTAACAAATGTTCACGAATTACTTCCATGATGACGAAATAATATTGTGGAATCAAAATGAAACCTGTAAAAATAATAATTTGCATAAATATATGGCAAGGTGTCTTATGAGCCACATGGGTAGGTATCACCACCCTGCCTATTACGACCGTGATGCAGTAATGCGTATCAGTTTGATGGTACTTCAGTATATAATAATATGTATTATATATATACAAAATCTAAAATATACAAGCTCATTTTGAAGGCACCTGTTATGCTATACCATTCAGACAAGACGAGAGAGAGAGAGAAGTGAAGAAATCAAAGTTGGCTTATTTTATTTGTTACTAGCGGACTCGGCAGATTTCGTAGTGCCTCAATTGATAAAGAAAAGACCTAAACTTTTGTATAAAATAAACTTAAAACAAACAAAAGAAATCGTCCGACGGGGAACACATCAAAGGAAAAACAAAACTGTTATTTTTATTTAATTCTGAGTCTTTTCATATTTATCTACCTTTTAAACCTTCTCTGAATTTCCACAAATAATTCGAGTTTTAGCGAGACTAACGAACAGCAATAAATTTTTATATATATAGATATCGTAACTGTGTGATTCTGAATTAAAATGTTTATAAAAATAGGGAAATAAAAAATGCTTTATCTATTTCAGTTAAAAGATGATGTCCCCTCAACCCAAACTCATATTCGAAGCAGAGGTATAAAACAGCCAAGGCGTCTGAAGAAAGTATTCATTCTTTTGATTGTTTTGGCACTAGTCATAACATATTTATTGGGTGAGTCTAAACACATTAACTTAAATGTTACGAAAGCTAATGTGCGATTGGGTGTTCTAAAGAGACTTGGATAGACTCTGTGAAAGAGGACTTGCATGAAAAGGGTGTGAGTGCAGAGATAATGTATGATAGGCCTGAATGGGAAAAAGAGGACATGCTGCCTCAACCCCAAGTAGTGGGATACAGGCAAATAAAATAAGAAAAATGGTAAATAGTCTTGTTTTTAAACCAATACGTAATCAAAGCAACATTATTTAATGCACCCTCTATGTAACTCGATGGAATAATAAAAAAAGGTCCAGAGGACCGCCATTAGAAACTAAGTGCAAACATTACAACTTTTCAGGCTACTTCCGGGCCGGGGGCCGAACCTCGACGAGGTCCTCGCGTCTAGCGGGCGCTCGGGGTATGTGGGACTTGACGATCTGCAGTTGTTGGGAGTAGACCGCGGGCCCAAGGACGTCTTAGGGCCCAACCGCTTCTCGGCGGTCCGTGCTCGAGTCGTGGTCGAGGCGATTGGCCAACCCCACGTGGGGGCTACGGACCGTCGAGGCGGTTTACCCAGTCTTTGATGACTGGGTGAATCGTGGCGAAGGACGTCTCACCTTTCGTCTGGTGCAGGTGCTGACCGGGCACGGATGCTTCGGGAAGTACCTGCGCCGGATAGGGGCTGAGCCGACGACGAGGNCCTTTCGTCTGGTGCAGGTGCTGACCGGGCACGGATGCTTCGGGAAGTACCTGCGCCGGATAGGGGCTGAGCCGACGACGAGGTGTCACCATTGTGGACACGACCTGGACACGGCGGAGCATACGCTCGCTGTCTGCCCCGCTTGGGAGGTGCAGCGCCGTGTCCTGGTCGCAAAGATAGGACCTGACTTGTCGCTGCCGGGCGTCGTGGCATCGATAATTGGCGGCGATGAGTCCTGGAAGGCTATGCTCGATTTCTGCGAGTGCACCATCTCGCAGAAGGAGGCGGCGGGGCGAGTGAGGCAAAGCTCTCCTCACTACGCAGAAACCCGCCGCCGCCGAGCAGGGGGTCGGGACCGGGGTCTTATCCGTGACCTGGCCCCCTAAGAGCTAGGGGTCCCACCCGTTTTGTGCGGGGAGAGACCTAGACGTGGGGTGGCGTGCTTTTCACGCTCACCCGCAGTAGGAAGCCGGGTGATGGTAGACCGCGTTCCCCCGATCGCTCTGGGGGAAGGTGTAACGCGGCGCCATCAAGGCGGGCTCTCGGCCCGCTTAACGAGGGAACCGGTGGCCGTGTCGCTGGCGGCCGCCGGTCCGGCGTCCGTGGGACGGTGGGATGGATATAATGTGCTCTGCGTCAACCCTGTCCCGCCGTCTCAATAGCCCCGACTGGGCTCCGGCCCGGTCCGAGTTTTTAGTGAGGTTCAACTCCCACATACCCCAACTGCCGCAACTAATGAAAAGCACAAAGCGCACGCATATGTATCATAAGAGGTGTGATTTTCTGGTTAAAGTTGAGCGTGTCATGTATTAATGTGATAAGTAAAGGTGGCTTAAGGGACTATTCCGACTACGCTTGGACGGATAGGTGAGTTCAGGGACTCGACTTGAGAGTTTGCTAACACTGGCCCTTAGCTAGAGCAGTACTTCGCAGTATCTGGCGAGAAATTGAGTGGGTTAATTAAAATATTAATCTACGCTACGTGGTTCAGAAGGGCGCATTGTGTTAAATATAGAATTGCGATATTTGTACGCATTGAAAGTGAGGAAGACTTTTCCTTTATCCTTGATATCTATTTACTTAATTAAAAAAAAAAATATGTTTTTGACACAAGAAATTTCACAATAACTTTTTAAAATATACAAGCAGTTTTTCAACCAAGCAGGTAATACTAAATATCTGGTTGTAGTGTTGACCGCGGTAACCCCCCTACCTCATCCGGGTTCTGACCTCGGAGGGGATCGGACGTCGGGTGTAAGAGTGCAGGGGAGTCGTTTAGTGGGTGGGCCCTAAAATCCTTGGGCCCGCGGTCTGCTCACAACACCATGCAGATCGTTGAGTCGCACATACCCCGTGCGCCCCTTTTGCGCGGGGACCTCGTAGGAGGTTCGGCCCCCAACCCGAAAAAAAAAATACTAAATATTCCTAACACATCCGATCATTTTCGTGATTAAGACCCCAATTGTTTCTACTTACATGCTAAATCGCAAATTCAATGCAAACGAACGCTTAAACAAACGTTTGAATTGATTGATTCATTATCATTTAATGAAACCTTGTAAATTAATGGAAAAAAATCCAAATCGCTTATTGTACTTAAAAAGAAAAAGAAATTATAAACCAAAAGTAAGAACTTTTATGTGTATTTTTATCGTTGCGATAGTGATTTTATAGCATCCTAAAATTACACGCGGAATTGCCTTATCGTCGAAGCGATCTTAAGTTTTTTGGAGTGCAGAATTATGTTTTTTTTTTGTTTGGTATCGGGAATGTGTTGCCTTTAATTAATATGTCATCAAGGTAGAAGTTATCTTTTTTATGTCGTTAACCTGAGCAGGTAGAGAAGCCGGCTTTGGCTTGTTTGCAATACTTTTTCGTGCGAATTTAAAGATTAGCTGTTGATGTAAACTTCTTAGTTGAAATTATCAGCCATAAGTTGACGTCATTGTTAATCTGTTTTATTCGTTATTTGTCAATGTATCTAATGTAATCAAAGCAAATTTTACTGTTAATTTTAGCTTATTAAAACCTTATATTCAGTAAAGGTTTTCTCTTATTTCAATTTAATAAGCTAAATAAATTAAAAAAATGGATAGATATCTCCGCCCTGAAAGGTTCGATAGCGACCCGTCAGATAGCTCTAGTACGAGAGCTTGGATACATTGGCGTAAAACTTTCGAAAACTTCATTTTCGTGCAATGTAACGTAGCTGAAGCATCAGTACCAGCTGTACTGCTTTTTGCGAATGTATCTCCCAACTGCGAACCTTACGGAACCTGTGGTACTTGATAATAGCAGAGAGCTAGAGACAGAATTACCATCATCACCACCGCCGGAGCCAACACTTCGTAGATCTGGTCGCGTCCATAAAACGCCAGGATTTTTGAAAGATTATATTTTAAAATAGTGCGGGAGAATGATGTAAACTTCTTAGTTGAAATTATCAGCCATAAGTTGACGTCATTGTTAATCTGTTTTATTCGTTATTTGTCAATGTATCTAATGTAATCAAAGCAAATTTTACTGTTAATTTTAAGCTTATTAAAACCTTATATTCAGTAAAGGTTTTCTCTTATTTCAGCTGTTTTTTAAATCGTCTATAATATAACGAAATATTGTTCTAATCTTGTGTTGAATTTATACTAAAATCAAATATCAACTTTATTAATTCAAATGCGATTTCCTAGAGATAAGTCCTGTAGCAAGTTCACTTTTGAATCTCAATAGAATTGTTAGAGAAAAAAATACTTTGGATTTTTGTACTTGGAGCTTTATAACTCCGATACAAGTAGATCGTTTTCTTGGATTCAATTTGATGTCTTCTTGTTGTTTTTGACAACTGAAGTACAAAACGATTTTGTCCAGAAATCGTTCTCAAATGCTTTTTTTATCTGATTCAGAAAAACTTCAATTTAGCTTGAATTTAACATACTTTCTTGACATAAATGTAGAGAAAACTAGTCTCGTAACAAGCCATAGGTTATTGTACTCCAACAGAACAAAAAAGTCTTGTCAAGGGTATAATAATATACTTTCATGTTTTTCATTGTTCGTTGCGACCGCGACTGTTCAAATGCGTCCCAACGAATCAGTTGGCTCTTTGTTAGGTCTTGGTCGAACGTGCTGGGATACCTACCAGTATTTCGGTGGTTTCAAGAGCATCGATAAATCTACGTGAAGTGGCAATGGATTATCATTAAATTATTGAACTACAGTTTTGTGTGAGTTTGCGGAGTGCTTCAAAATGAATAATACAATTCCTATCCTGTTTGTGGGTATGTTTTTTTTTTAAATATTTTTTTTAATTCATTTGCTCCGATGAAAATCTGTCGTGATCATTATTCGGACGAGCGTCTTTGCTAATTACGTGAATTACTTGAATAACAACAACAAGCTCTACGAAGTAAACAAGTTCACGGCTTAAAAACAATGTGTCGTGGCAGTGTTTAAAAGTAATTGCCAGTCAATAGTCAATGCCAGGGGCACAATCAAGTTTATTTAGCACGATGTCCATCTCGTGAGTGAGAGGTCACTCTTTAGTATTACTCAAACCACAAAACTACAAATTCTTTTTGAAATAATAATTCGATAAAAAAAAAAAATTGCGACTAGGCTTACACTGTATTTTTACTCCTTTATTGGTTCGGAACAGCAGACGGGCTCATGGTCTAATTAGTGATCAGATATCAAACACGAATGTTGTCACTCATCTTCGAGATCTAAGGTAGAAGTCTTAATTCGCTGTGCATTTTTTTTTATCCTACTTAAGCTGATGGTCTAGAGATACCATATCAGCGTAACCTTAACTAGTAGGTGAACTCACGGGGCCTAAACCTGACGACGTTGCTAACACGAACCCTAGCAAGAGCCGTGCTTCGCAGAATCTACCACCGGATCGGAAACGCGACCCACTGAGACGATCCGGCGAGAAACTCAGCGGGCTGTGTCTGTGGGTTGATTTACGCACCGAACCTTTTGTAGCAAGCGACGGGTTCGACGTAAACGGTAACCGGTGCTTGAGGTAATATAAAAAAAGTCGTCGTGGCCTAAAGGATAAGACGTCCGGTGCATTCGTGTGTAGCGATGCACCGGTGTTCGAATCCTGCAGGCGGGTACCAATTTTTCTAATGAAATCGTACTCAACAAATGTTCACGATTGACTTCCACGGTGAAGGAATAACATCGTGTAATAAAAATCAAACCCGCAAAATTATAATTTGCGTAATCACTGGTGGTAGGACCTCTTGGGAGTCCGCACAGGTAGGTACCACCACCCCGCCTATTTCCGCCGTGAAGCAGTAATGCGTTTCGGTTCGAAGGGTGGGGTAGCCGTTGTCACTTTACTGAGACCTTAGAACTTATATCTCAAGGTGGGTGGCGCATTTACGTTGTAGATGTCTATGGGCTCCAGTAACCACTTAACACCAGGTGGGCTGTGAGCTCGTCCAACCATCTAAGCAATAAAAAATAAAAAAAAAAAAGGTACCTAAAAGCATCGTTAGTGGATCGGGAGAATCCGAAATGACGTGTTTTGGTTGGTTATGTAGTTCCCGGCGGCCACGATGAGAGCATTCTCGTGTCGTGCCGCTTTATCGAAGTGGTGTGTATTCATAATAGCAGTATATTGGGCCATAAATCGGAACAGCTTCGCTGCAGTAATAGGGCAAAATGATAGAGCCCAATAACAAAAGGAACTGTTAAAGATAGTTCAAAAACTTGTACGCGCGTTTTCTTAACTTTAAAAATTCTGGTTGATCTTAGGCTAGAAAAGACAATTTTTTGATTTTTTTATTGTTGCTTATTATTAGGCTAGTGCTAACAATTTCTCTTAGGTTGAGCCCGTGAGCTCACCTACCCATATGGGCTTAGCTGGTATAGCCCTCTTGACTACTAGTGAATAGGCAGGGAAAAAAAAAGAACCCAGAAGAGTTGCCTCGCGACTACTATACAATTTCTTTTATATTCCGTTTCTGAGACCAACGAATTTGATGGAACGAAGGAACTGTTTGCAGTTCCGGTATTAGTACCGTTATCTCTTCACGGATAAGTTAAAGGCTTGTTGCCATCGTTAAAATAGGCAGGTATTTGCCTATTCCTCCTGAAACTTTCTAGGCAGCTCAATAAAAAAAATAATCGCAATCAGTTGTGTTTTGTGACCGGAATGGAAGGATGAATGTGTGAGAATGTAAGGATAACTTGAACACCAACTGTGTTTGAGACTCGGACTTCATTTATCAAGGTGTCGCGACATACGTCACCAACGTGACGTGGTAACTATCATAAGGTTTTTTGCGACAGGTCTGTTCGCCGGCCAATCACAATGGCTCGATAGCATCGCCAAGACCCTCGGCTACCAGAGCGAGTACCATTACGCTGTGATAATCGACGCTGGTTCGTCGGGAAGTCGGGTACTCGCTTATAAATTCAGAGTTCCTTTTACAGGTGAGTTGTTTTGTAACGTTTGTTGATTTCACGAGGGCCTAATTTGTTATGAGTTATTAATACCGCGATCTTATTGACGGTAACCTTAACCCTTTGCCTGCTGTGTAGATCACCGGTGTCTTACGTGACGCACTGAAGTTATCACGTCGATTTCTGTTACTAATCGCCTGGATTGGCCTAACTTTGCCTCCTTTCGTTTGTTAATCTCCTCAAGTTAATGTCCTGAACCCTCAAGTTCTTCGGGCACATCACTCGTAATGAGGACTCCATTGAGCGGTTGGTGGTGCAAGGGCAAAAGATCTCGCCGACGATCTCCAAACGATGCACAGACATCATAAAATCTGTGATTCACTCCAACATAAACGATTGCTCTCACTCTGCGAAACACCATGCCGCATGGCGTCGCATCGCGAGAGCATCGGTATCGCAGGATCCGACTGATGCATGACCACGACCACTCTTCCAAGAGTGTACGAATAGGAAGAAGAAGTTTGTTAATGTATGTTTTAGTCTTTTAGGTCTCTTAGAAATAGATTTATTTTCAGTATCTTCGGATTTGTCTTTCCCAGAGTCTATTAGATATTTCGGCGTCTTAGTAACAGAAATCGATGTAATTACTTCAGTGCGCTACGTAGGGCACCGGTGACCTACATCGCAGTCAAAGGGTTAATGACATTTTGGTGTCATGACAATATTCAAGATGCTGAAATTTACGATATACAAATATGTACTCTGTAATGTTAACGTGGAATCCGATCCGAAATCAGCTACTACTACAGCTAATATCATCTACGACGACCTCTCCCCCCAACCCCGTGTCACCCGATACTGAACCCAACGCTCTCATGCAGTACGGTGTACCGCTGCAAGGATGAACTTAGTTCGCTTTTGATTCGCCGTGTAATATTTCGGATTAAAGCATCCGTGTTTAATTTTCACACCCCGGTTCCCGGACAACTCAGGGCGCCGGTCGTTATTCGGATCGCAAAGCACACTTACGACCTGTTCATGACTCTCGTGGGAAATTAGTCGTGCCACATGGCGTCGCATCGCGAGAGCATCGGTATCGCAGGATCCGACTGATGCATGATCACGACCACTCTGCCAAGAGCGTACGACTAGGAAGAAGTTTCAGTACTGGTGGTAGGACCTCTTTTGAGTCCGCGCGGGTAAGTACCACCACCCTGCCTATTTCTGCAGTAATGCGTTTCGGTTTGAAGCGTGGGTCACCCGTGGTTAAAATTAACTGAGATCTTAGAACTTATATCTCAAGGTGGGTGGCGCATTTACGTCGTAGATGTCTATGGGCTCCAGTAACCACACCAGGTGGGCTGTGAGATCGTCCACCTATCAAAGCAACAAAAAAAAAATTTGATTTTTTTTTTCTAGTATTCAGTCAAGCCAACCTAGACTTAGTTCAAGAGCACTTTGAGCAGTCCAAACCTGGACTGTCATCGTTTGCTGATGATCCAGCAAAGGTGAGTCTGTGAATAGTCGTGATTGTGAACGTTTTACTGTTAAGAAGAGATCAGACTTTGGGATGTATAGTAGACCTAAAAGACAAATTTAATTTAAATCTTACGGTGTTAGTAATTAGGGTCGGGTTTAGATCATTAGTGCAGTTACCGGTCATCGTTCTCGTCGAACCTGTCGCTTGCGACGAAGGGCACGACGAGTAAATTGACCCTCAGACACAGCCCACTAAGTTTCTCGCCGGATCTTCTCAGTGGGTCGCGTTTCCGATCCCGTGGTAGATTCTGTGAAGCACGGCTCTTGCTGGGGTTCGTGTTAGCAACGTCGTCAGGTTTGAGCCCCGTGAGCTCACCTACTAGTTAAGGTTACGCTGAAATAGCTCTCAGCTTAGGTAGGAAAAAAAAGTGCAGTAACTGTTATATGTAATTGTTTTCTTATGCTTTTATTTTTAGGTTATAATGTTTATGACCCATTATTAATGTTTACATTGTTTCCAGGGGGCAGAGACAATAGTGCAATTAATAAAAAAGGCGGAATACTTGATACCGTTAGAGAAGAGGAAATCGACCCCCCTCATAGTACGAGCCACGGCCGGCCTGAGGCTGTTGCCCGCGGACCGCGCCGAGCAGCTCCTCGCACACGTCAAGAAGGCCATTTCCGTGTAAGTCAACCTTTTTTATTGCTTAGATGGGCGGACAGCCCACCTGGTGTTAAGTGGTTACTGGAGCACATAGACATCTACAATGTAAATGCGCCACCCACCTTGAGATATAAGTTCTAAAGTCTCAGTATAGTTATGATGGCTGCCCCGCCCTTCAAACCGAAACGCATTACTGCTTCACGACAGAAATAGGTAGAGTGGTGGTGCCTACCCGCGCGGACTCACAAAACGTCCTACCTGTGTCTCAATTTTATCACTTAAAAACGCATGAAAGCTTCGCGGACAGCATAGGCTGGTGGCACCTATCCGTGCAGGCCTCCAGTAATTGCTCCAGATTGATTTTGATTATTCAGTGTTATTCCTACTTCACGGAAATCTTCGTGTCCAATATTCAATAAATTAGTGCTAATTTGAGGAAGATGCTCATTTTCTCAGCGTTCCTCACTAAATTGTTCAAACTGTAGTTGGTTCTAATGCTTATAAAATATCTATGCGATCACGTTTATGATAAGATTTCGTTGAATCGCTCCATATAATAGTTGTTGGCAATTATAGTCTGAGGATAGAAATTGAAAACAAAAGACAAATTCGATGATGAAGAATTCGTTCGAATATCATTGTATCCGCTTTCGTTACACCGTAAGCTCATCTTGTAGGTTGCGGTGCCCCGAGTCGCGTGTCAGCTGCCATGTCAATACCGATGTGCACGTCATTACGGATCCTCCCGATCCATTAACGGTGCTTTTGGGTACCTCAAGCACCGGTCACCGTCCTCGTCGAACCCGTCGGTTGCGACGAAGGGCTCGGCGAGTGAATTAACCCATAGACACAGCCCACTGAGATTCTCGCTGGATCTTCTCAGTGGGTCGCGTTTCCGATCCGGTGGTGTATTCTGCGAAGCACTATTCCTATTTTTATTTATTTTATTTATTTATTTATGTACACACAAAAAGGAAGACATAGTACAGAGTAATAGGAAAATTATGTACAAAGGCACTGCTTACTAGGGCCAGTGTTAGAAACACTCCCGGCTTCAGCCCCGTGAGCTCACCTACAGGTTAGGGCGAAGCTGAAATCGCCTCTCGAGGCTATCAGCAAAGGAAAAAAAAAGTGCTGATGTGTATGATTGTGTTCCCAGTCTGGGCTACGACGTTGGTCCGAACAGCGTGGACATCATGGACGGCGCGGACGAGGGCATCTACATATGGTACACGGTCAACTTGCTGCATAGTGAGTATGCGAACACTTTGTATAAATTAATCGTTCTTGGAGATGAAGACAAAAGTTTGAGAACCGATTGAAAGTGATACTTACTCGAACAGCAATGGACGCGCTGGTTCAACGACCCGACAGTTTCGCGATTTTGCCTTAGATTGCGGGCTAACGAAATATCAGAACTATTTATATTTCTTTTGTAAATGATATGATCTACATAATCATTTTTAAGGTGCGGGAAGAGTGACTTAATATCCGCTATAATATTTAATATAATTAAAAAATGTATGTAGAGAGAAGAATATATTGTTTACAAGTGTCATATCGTAACATAAAATAAAGAATAAATTTTAAGTGTTGTATTAATAACAGTTTTAGTATCTGTGGAAGTGATCAAGTGAAGGCTAATGTAATAAAAATAGCATGGGATAGTTTGTGGGTACTTGCAAAAAGTGATAAATGAAAATCAGTTAATTCTCATTCACTTTAATGACTAATTGAATATGCAATTTCGAAAAGGGCACATGTCGCGTTTTTTGTCAAATACGTTTTTTCTTATACATGTAGTTTTGAGGCTTACCTACACCCATTTTATAATAATGCCAGTAAATTTCAATTGCTAATTAACACTAAAATATATCTCAAAAGTTCATATTTTAAATTTTACACCGCCTTAGAAAATAATCAGTTTTTTTTATTTCCTGAACATTTTAGATTGTCAGAGATGTGCCCTTTTCGAAAGTGCATATTCAATTGAATACGAAAGTAGGCTTAAAACACGAGTTGCCGATGGCCGTGAACCGATATGCGTTTATTTAAAACAATAAAACAGGAGAGATTATTGCTTGTCCAGATCTTATCGAGGGCGAGACGATGGCAGCCCTGGACCTGGGCGGCGGCTCCACGCAGATCACGTTCCAGCTGGCGGAGGGCGAGCGGGCGCGCTACCCGCCGCGCGACCTGCACGTGGTGCCCGCGGGCAGCAACATCACGCTCTACACGCACAGGTCGGCCGCCACACGCCCCGCTAGCCGGCCACGAGCAGGCCCTAAATTTAGGCGAGGCCTTTTAGGGACCTCCGCTATCGGAGGGCTGTCACGATAGAGATTTTGGAAAAAAATATATTTCTAATTCCGACAAGTAAACACTAGTAAACAGCTGTTTTACTTTACGTTAACGTTAACACAAAAATTTAATTTCAAATAATTCTTGTCTCCGATTATATTTATGTATATTTGTTAAATACTAAGAGAATGTACGTACTTTCACATTTTATTGCTTAGCTGGATGGACGAGCTCACAGCCCACCCGGTGTTAAGTGATTACTGGAGCCCATAGACATCTACGACGTAAATGCGCCACCTACCTTGAGATAAGTTCTAAGGTCTCAAATATAGTTACAACAGCTGCCCCACCCTTCAAAACAAATAAATAAATTAATTATTGGAAAACTCGACTGTTAAAAATGGTTCATTTTATTTGGAAAATTATTTGGGGCCAGAGGGCCTCCGTTCCTCTGTTGCCCCGAGGCCTCCAGACCTCTAAATCTGGCCCTGCCCACGAGCATTGGATGTCTACCTTTGGAGAGAGACAGACTGAGCCGGGCTTCGTAGCGCGTTGTCTCTGTCGCACTTGAACAACGACAAACGTCACTTGGGTGGTTAAGTCACTCGACCAATAAATAGGTCCGAATCTAATGAGTTAGCAGTCAGCCATTCGTTTGTTGATGTGTCTAGATAATGCGTCCATGGACCTGTCGACGCGTGACTTTAGTTACATTTTAATGAATCGACTTGAACGCCTTCGATATCGCCAATCGTATTTACTACGTAATGACGTCACTACGTCAATCTTCTAACCTCTTTAATCTAAATTTATTTAGTACAAAATCCGTACCGATACCACCGAGTATTTGTAGCTGCCATGATGCATCGAACCGAATATTAGGTCGGAATATTATTTAGATATGAAATTAAGATAAGACCGATGACAAATCGGTCCTAGATACGAGTGAAAATTGTTAAATTAATCGGACGTCTTGGAGTCTATGAAAATGGTATGGTTTAACGGTAGGCAGCGACTTGGCACTGCCCCTGGTATTGCCGATGTCCATGATCGACGGCTATCACTCACCATCAGGTATGCTCGTCTGCCAACAGGGGAAATTAACCCATAGACACAGTCCACTGAGTTTCTCGCCGGATCTTCTCAGTAGGTCGCCTTCCCGATCCGGTGGTAGATTCTGCGAAGCACTGCTCTTGCTAGGGCCAGTGTTAGCAACAATCCGGTTTGAGCCCCGTGAGCTCACGTACATGTTACGGTGAAGCTGAAATAGCCTCTCAAGGCTATCAGCATAGGTAGGAAAAAAAGGGGAAATAAAAATTACGTTCAAAGATTCCGTTACATAGATAAATCGATGCAGACGACAGCAAAAGCGTGTTGAAACTGGCCCCATCTGATTTGACCGTGGGCTTAACCAAGTGACCGGTGTGGCGTGTTCCAGCTACCTGGGTCTGGGGCTGCTGGCCGCTCGCTACGGGGTCCTGCTGCAGGAGGCCGGGGGCAACGACACGGGAGAGTTCAGCTCCGTCTGCGTGGAGCCCATCATCAAGGACGAGCCCTGGGTCTACGCCAACAAGCAGTACCGCGTTAGGTGAGTCGCGTGCTCCCGTCGCGGTCCACTATCAAGATACACATGTGTTCAAGTTTTTATTTTTATTTTTGACGTGACAACGTCTTATAATTCGATGGAGCCGGCTGCACGCACGAAAAAACGTGACTCATGCAGCGTTACTTCTCTCTGAGGCGTTCCATTTAAGGCTTGAAGTGCAAGCGAGAGCGCGCAACGAGCGACAAAGAGGCACAATTGGCCTCCGCGTTCGGCAGCGTTCGACATTTGTTTCTCTCCTACTTGAGTGAGCGATGCATCCGCGTGGACAGCTGCTATACAATAATACATTTACATGTTTTCGTCAAGTATGAAGTTCATTGAAAAGTGAATGTGGTGAATTGTGGTGTCAATTGTTTATAACAACGATAATTGCGATAATTGAAAAATGAAACCATGCCATCAGTATGACGGCTTATGACGATGTCACGTTCAACTATCGTCAGTAAACCGACTTTACAGACAACCGATTTTTGATTGTTTAGATGTGTGGACGAGCTTACGACCTACCTGGTGTTAAGCGGTTATTGGAGCCCATAGACATCTACGACGTAGATGCGCCACACACCAAGTATAGTTACAACGGCTGCCCCGCCCTTCAAACCGAAATGCATTACTGCTTCACGGCAGGAATACGCAGGGTGGTGGTACCTACCCGCGCGGACTCTCAAGAGGTCCTACCACCACTATAGAGTTAGAATAAGGTTTTGTCGTATCGTTAATTGCAGCGGAGCGCCCCGCAAGCCGGGCACGAAGCGCAAGGCGGCGTTCGAGGCGTGCCTGGAGGCGGTGAAGCAGTACCTGGACGGCGCGCTGGGCGGCGGCGGCGCGCCGGGCCCGCGCGGCAGCCTGGCCGCCATGAGCTTCTTCTACGACGTCGCCGCCGACGCCGGGATCATTGGTAATTCCGGATGTGATGTGTCATGTGCCTTGAATTTGAGATTCACAAAATAATGACTCATATTAACGGCCGTCTGGTGTAGTGGTAAGATATATGGTCACTACACAAGGGGATCGCGGGTTCGAATCCCGCCAAGGGAAGATATTTGTATGATAAATATAAATGTATTTTTCAGAGTTAAGGATGTATATTAAATATATGTATGTGTATAATAAAAATCTTATTTTTATTTCTGTTATCTGGTACCTGTAACACAAGTTCTTTACGAACTTAGCACGGAATCAGTTAACGTGGCGTGATTGTCAGTAAATATTTTTTTTTTTTTTAAATGCATTTTACCGGGACGAAAAGTTAGTTCTTTCATTCTTCTACTCATACGACCTTTCTTCTCACTCGTATTTGCCACAGCAGACGCTCCCAGCGCTGGCCGGATCAAAATGTCCAAGCCACCAGGTTTGTACGAAATTTCATCCAAAAAAATTATTTTATTATATAAATGGTGAGCTCATGGACATCGGCAATGCCAGGAGCAAAGGCCGCTGCCTACCGTTTAATACTCTTCACAAGGCTCGTTTGAAGAAGGCCATGTCAGTTTGCGTGGTGGAGTGTGTAAGTAAGCCCCCGGTCGGCTGCAGACGTGGCGCGCGGCGGCACGGGCAGCGTGGCGCAGTACTCGCGCGCGGCGCAGCGGGCGTGCTCGGCGCACAACGTGGAGCAGCCCTGGGCGTGCCTGGACCTGGTGTACGTGCTGGCGCTGCTGCACCACGCCTACAGGGTGCCGACCGAACAGCCAGTATATGTACGTATACACATTATATAGCCCCGTCTATTTATTATTTTTTCCTACCTGTGCTGATAGATTCACGTTTATAAAAATGTTAAAGGACATTCATTCATTCAATCATTCATTCTTTCATTTCTTCATTCAATCATTCATTCAATTATTCATTCATTCATCCTCCAAGTTAGTAGTGTAATTGTTTAATTGTATATTGTGAATAAAATTGTTTCCTTACATTATAAGTTAGATTAGTTTTTGTTATCGTGTTGTTTTGTCGTATAGTTGTAAGGAACATTGTGTACAAATTCGGCACTGTCTTGTGTGAGTAATGCAGTGTTTCCCAACCTTTTTTTGTGCCATGCCCAACTATAACATTTCTAAAATTTTAATGTCCCCGATACATAATTTTTAACATTAAAAAATTATCTGTTCACTTACGAAATAAATATAAACGATATGTTTTAGGAAGAAATCATTATAAAATTATTATCAAAACACAGTAACTAACATTTTACAAAACATTAATAAAAAACTGAAATTCTAATTCAAAATAATTTTAATAGAGATTTTCTATATTAATTTAGTGCGATTGCCCTCCTTAATTATCAAATTGCCGCCTTGTGGGGTGTGGGCCCCACGTTAGGAAACACCGATCTAAAGTCTTTTAATGAATTTTTTTTTTCTATTTTTGTTCGCAGCTGTTCAAGAAAGTTAATGGTCACGAAGTATCCTGGGCCCTCGGCTTGGCGTACTCCACGGTGATGAACAGAATAACTACAAAATAACTTAGATATATACATGGTCACTGGGCAAATAGGGATTAACACCAAAATAGTACATGTTCAGTATGAAAAGGTTAATTAAAAAAAAAAAAAAAAAACTCAGGAATCGGCTCGAGTTTAAAGGCCAAATGATGCTATTGTAATAAATAAAGTTCATCATAAAATTAAAATTATTTAATATTTAGTTTAAAAAAAATTCAGAGTGTTCATACTGAACATTTACTATCTTGATATTAGCCCGAACGATTAGCACGATTTAATATTTGAATATTACAAAGAAATAATTTGAATTTTTGACGCCACTGTCATTTATGTAGAGTCGAGATTTTAATATCGTGACGTCAGAGTCAGCGGTTGTCTATTGCCATTCCCATGGCTGTCGGTCTGGGGTCAATGACCCCTTCCCTGTGTGGCGCATCGACCCGCCCAGTTACTCTTGATTAAAGTCGTGGCTTCGTAATGTATATATGCCACGGTAGACAAAATATCCATTCTGAATAAGATTTGCACACAATCCGTTATTTTGGAACTCTGACATCTTAATAGAAGGAATTTATTTATAAGACGTACTGTTTCGAAGATCTTGCGACGATTAAGTAGTGTGTTCGGCTTAAAAATTTAATTACTGTGGCACTCATAAATTGTACTCTCAGTATTCCGAGTATATGTGATGTTATTAGTATGAAATGTATGCGTTATGCAAATCTGCAATTAGTTAATTTTAAATTTTGACAAACATCACAATAGAACCGTTTATTTCGGATTCAAATTTTCGAACGCTAATTGAAATCGAAATGATGACGTCATTTGTGGCCAAAAAAGATGGATTTGTCAAGAAATAACTAAAAGTACTTAGATTAAAAAAAAATTTTTGAAACAAATGTTTCTTTTATCGATTCTTATCACAAGGGTCATCACAGTTCCTTATTGTTTAGTCATTAAAGGTCTAAATAGAAGTGATTCCTTCAGGTGGGTAGCGGCTACGTCTCTCGTGTGCTTAGTGCGAGTTTTTTAACGTTCTCGATAGCGTAAAAGTTAAGTCAAATTTGTATGCAGTTCGAACAGCGCCCCTAGCGGTAAACGTTCCAACTGCATACAAATTCGAGTTAACTTTTACGCTATCGAGAACGTTAATAAACTCGCACTAAGCACACTGATCTCCAGTAATCATTTTAAGGTCCCCCTTTATCTGAAACCACCGCCGCCAGATGTGAAAGGTTTCTCACTAATCGACCGTGCTTAGAATTATTTGAATGGATGAAAAATCATTATTCATTTGTTGAAAAACACTAAATTCTGTCAAACTTCGCTTTATTTCGACATTTCAACTAGCTTTGAAAGAAACAACGTTTTTTTTTTACCAGTAAGAAGGGTAGTTTTATAAAAACGTATTCTATTGAAACAGGTGACGGGTTGTTTTTTGTTTTTTTTTTGTTTTTTTTTGTTTTTCTATTCATAATTATATGAAGTGTTTGAAAATTGGGCAGTGATTTAAGGTAACTTATTGTTATGTACTAATACGTATGTATAGGCGAAAATAAATTTAATAATCTTAATATTATATAGGTAATGTTTTTTTATGTGAAGTTAACTCGATTTATTCAGACAGATCTAACAGGTCCTTTAGTCAAATCTAAAAATTAACTGTTATATCTACTATTCGAATTGTAATTGTTTTAAATGTATTGCAAGAATTTAAATTTTAATGCGATCGTATTACAAAATTGACACATCATTAAATGATAGACCCAGTAAGTGTTGAGGCAATAGTGTTGAGGTCGAGGTCCCGAGAGAGAGAGAAAGAAACCATACGTGCGTGGATATAAAAGTTATTTTTGCTAAAAACGCATAGTGTACTTTATCGCCTCCGATGACGTCATCGGGGCAGAGTGAGATACAAGACATTTGATTAACTGATGTTGATTTTTGTGATCGTTGTGACTTGTATATCCGTACGCAAAGGTTGCTTATATAATAATAATTATTTTTATACATTACGTATATAATGTGTTCGATTATGTAGATTTACAATTTTTATTGTATCGACGAAATTAAATGATTACGATTATTTTTTACAATCGATAATTTTTTTGTATTTTTTTTTTTTTTAAATAAATTATGCATAATACAATTTGTAATGTAATTTATATTTGACACTCGATACAGTATATCGCACAATAAAACTTGTAATTATTGTTGCTTTTTATTTATCTATATATCAATACGTGAAGCAAAAACTTTGTATCCCTTTTTACGAAAATTGCGCGGACGGAGGAGTATGAAATTTTCCACACTTATAGAGAATATAGAGAAGAAATGCACAATGCTAATTATTTTTTTAAATAATGCATAAAAGATACATTAAATCAATAAAAAAACATTACACACACTACATACCACACGTATTTGACGCACACACGCATGCATACTATTTATTGTCAAACTTTTGTTCTTGACGTCTGTTGTCAAATTGAGAATAGATTAAATATTGTTTGTCTTTGTTAATATTTTTTATACAGTAGTCTTGGCGATATTTGTGATTATAGAAGTATAACATACAATCATAATAATTTACAAACTTACAATTCCACTTAATTATAGTCGAATTTCGACTACTGCGGTACCTCTAGTTCAATATTAACGTTCATTGTTGTGTAAATTCATTGCGGGATGTAGTCGACTGTCGGAGGCCATAATCATCACGACGTATAAGGGTCCGTTCACACGGACCGGCTCGGAGAGAAGGGCAGATTTTTATGACGTTGGAAACAGAGCTTTGACTAATTGTAGTAAAGTTTATTTTTGCATGTGCACTTTTTTGTTATTAATGTGAAATATTATGAGGAGCCGACTGACTCAGATTGCGCGCTTTTTAAGGTTCCCCGCGCTTATTTCCGCCGTGAAGCAGTAATGCGTTTCGGTTCGAAGGGTGGGGTAGCCATCGTAACTATACTGAGACCTTAGAACTTATATCTCGAGGTGGGTGGCGCATTTACGTTATAGATGTCTATGGGCTCCAGTAACCACTTAACATCAGGTGGGCTGTGACCTCGTCCATCCATCTAAGCAATAAAAAATAAAAAAAAACTATGCAGCCTGGCTGCGGCAAACGAAATGTTTGAGAAGCCAGTTATATTAAAAAAAACCTCATCAAAATCCGTTGCGTAGTTTTAAAGATTTAAGCATACTTACATAGAGGTAGTTTTCCAATTACAAAGCATAATGCGATTCAGTGACGCACAATGCCGAATTATGCTGAAGCTTTTGTATATCAATGATATACCCCGTCTCCGAAGACCCATCTGGCGCTCTTCGCCGACGACACCGCCATCTACTACTCGTGTAGGAAGAAGGCGTTGCTTCATCGACGACTTCAGACCGCAGCTACCACCATGGGACAGTGGTTCCGGAAGTGGCGCATCGACATCAACCCCACGAAAAGCACAGCGGTGCTCTTCAAAAGGGGTCGCCCTCCGAACACCACGCTGAGCATCCCTCTCCCGACTAGGCGCGTCAACACCCCCGCCCCCGCCGTTCGCCCAATCACGATGTTCGACCAGCCCATACCGTGGGCCCCGAAGGTCAAATATTTAGGCGTCACCCTCGACAGTAGGATGACATTCCGCCCCCACATCAAGACGGTACGCGACCGTGCCGCCTTCATTCTAGGACGTCTCTACCCGATGATATGTAGGCGAAGTAAAATGTCCCTTAGAAATAAGGTGACACTCTACAAAACTTGCATACGCCCCGTCATGACCTATGCAAGTGTAGTGTTCGCTCACGCGGCCCGCATACACTTAAAATCATTCCAAGTCATTCAATCCCGTTTTTGCAGGATAGCCGTCGGAGCCCCGTGGTTCGTCAGGAACGTCGACCTCCATGACGACCTGGACTTAGAGTCCATCAGTAAGTATCTGCAGTCGGCGTCCATGCGCCACTTCGATAAAGCGGCACGACACGAGAACCCTCTCATCGTGGCCGCCGGTAACTACATTCCCGATCCTGCGGACAGAATGGAAAGCAGTCGACGTCGCCCAAAACACGTCATCTCGGATCCTCCCGATCCACTAACGGTGCTTTTAGGTACTTCAAGCACCGGTCACCGTTCTCGTCGAACCCGTCGCTTGCGACGAAGGGCTCGACGAGTAAATTAACTCTCAGACACAGCCCACTGAGTTTCTCGCCGGATCTTCTCAGTGGGTCGCGTTTCCGATCCGGTGGTAGATTCTGCGAAGCACGGCTCTTGCTAGGGCTCTTGCTAGGTAGGTTTGAGCCCCGAGAGCTCACCTACTAGCCACGCACCTACTAGTTACGCTGAAATAGCCTCTCAAGGCTATCAGCTTAGGTAGGAAAAAAAAAAAAAAGCTGAAGCTTATTTGGAACGTGAATGAGTTTTCAAATGCATCAGCAGAGTGCGCTAAGTTAGCACAGTTTTAATTAATATTGATTATTTCTAAGAAACTACCACGAAACGAAAGCCTTACAATTTTTTCAACATTAAATAATATTACAAACGATAATATAAACAAAATTTCGATCAATGCCAACTTAAAGAAAAAACACTTGTCAATTTTCGGTCACTGAGTCGGTATCGATTGCGAGTATCACGCGAGAGTAATAGGTACTTTTGAGAGTGCTCGATTGTTTTTTTTTTTTTTTTTTATTGCTTAGTTGGATGGACGAGCTCAACCGTAGAAGTCGTTGTGGCTTAAAGGATAAGACGTCTGGTGCATTCGTATGAAGCGATGCACCGGAGTTCGAATCCCGCAGGCGGGTACCAATTTTTCTAATGAAATACGTACTCAACAAATGTTCACGATTGACTTCCACGGTGAAGGAATAACATCGTGTAATAAAAATCAAACCCGCAAAATTATAATTTGCGTAATCACTGGTGGTAGGACCTCTTGGGAGTCCGCACGGGTAGGTACCACCACCCCGCTTATTTCCGCCGTGAAGCAGTAATGCGTTTCGGTTCGAAGGGTGGGGTAGCCGTCGTAACTATACTGAGACCTTAGAACTTGTGCGAAGCGTTGCTGTAGTTGAAACATTCAACGTTGAGCATTATGCCGCATAATGCGCTCTAGTGCTGTAATTGGAAAACTACCAGGGATATAGGGACAGAGAAAGCGACTGTGTTTTATACTATGTAGTGATATAGATTTACTAAATTCAAAACAATTAATTATTATTTTTAATAATTTATTAAGAATCATTCATCAAATTACATCGAATTGCTATTTTACGATAGCGAGTCGGTCGCTCAGTCTCGTACTAAAGAATTTAATAGTACTTAATTACATTCCAGATAACATCTTGTCTATGAACGACAACTTCATTTTGAGTTAGTGAAAGTAACGTTAGCATCCAAATTACGTATGTTTGTTTTACGGAATTAAAGTTTTTGGCTAAACGTTTATAAGTCGGTGTGCTTAGTGCCAGTTTTTTAACGTTCTCGATAACGTAAAAGTTAACTCAAGTTTGTATGGAGTTGGAACGTTTGCCGCTGGAGGCGCTGTTCCAAATGCATACAAATTTGAGTTAACTTTTACGCTATCGAGAAAGTTAATGAACTCGCACTAAGCACAGTGTAATAGGTTTGGTCAATTAATACTTTGACCCATTTACCTGTCTCACAATCTTTACGTGACAAAGAACCAATAATTGAATCATTCAAATACATTATTATTTAATTTTCAATTTAAAAGCAGTTATTTTTGTTTAGCGGTAGCCTGGCTGTGTTACAGCATTACCAGTGTCCACCAGCGGCGATGATCACTTAACATCAGGTGGGTCGTTTCTTCGGCTGTTATCGATATAGTAAAAACTTGCCTAGAAGTCTTCTTCTAGGCATCTGTTTCATCAGAAAATGAACTAATACAACACAGAAACATAATTTACCAAAATAAAATATTGTCAATAGGAGTTTAATAACAGTTTCCTTAGTGAATCAACTTATATTATACTAGCGACCCGCCCTCGCTTCGCTTCGGAAACATCAAAACACACATGAAACCAAAAAAATAAAATTTTTTTTTTTTTTTAAAAAGTAGCCTATGTTCATCAGGGACGATGTCGGCTTCTAATGGGAAAAGAATTTTTCAAATCGGTCCAGTAGTTTCGGAGCCTATTCGAAACAAACAAACAAACAAATCTTTCCTCTTTATAATATTAGTATAGATTACAAATAAAAGACAATCTTGCTCACGCTTCCTTTCACTAACTCAAATCTAAACCAGAAAAATGTCTAAAGAACTAACATGTACTGATCTTAACAGCTAATATAAATGTTGGAATGAGATATACCTAGCAGTGCAGTCAATATCATGTTACTTTACCTTTAGTAAATACTTATAAGTATTGCAACAAATATATTTTACTTAAACACAACCTAACAGCGGTCAAGTTATAACGATTTAAAAGTACTTGAACAAGAAACTATGTTTTGATATTAATAAATGTGAAATAAAAACTTCAGAGGTGTCAAGGGACACCCGGATGGAACGAAGTTCCTTTCGATTAATTAGTGAAGGAATTGTAATTTTTTTTTAGTTATTATAATAAATTACGGCATTATGAACAAGAAAAAAACAATACTATGAACTAAATTACTATTGTTGAAACGCTATCTCGAGAAACTGTACTCATTACGCGGACCAATCGGATACGAGCAATGTCACGCGATAAGCGCCTACACGTTGATTGGTCAGAATGACGGATCTAAAAAGTTTCGTGACAACTTTTCGTAAGAATTTTTTCCGTCTAGCCCCCTTTCACAACGCGCGATAAGGAACTTCATTCCAATAAAACTTTCCTAATAAATATAAAAACGTATGTACTGTTTTGAAATTGCAACAAAATTAAAAAAGAAAAGACTAGATAATGGTTGTGAGCTATTTCATCTGTTCCCCCAAAATACTAGGGCTTAGGTACCGTATTGGGTTAAATCAGGTATTTCCCGTCCGGGCGTAACTCTTAAGCAATCAGCGAATAGGTAGAATACAAAATCAGGTATTCGATGCGACCTTCTGAGTCATAGGGCTTATTTTTGCGTAGGTACTAAGGCTAATCCATTTTAAATAACATTATTTGTTTATTAGCAATAGTTGACATAAATATTTCTCGTAGTTGCCAAAATAATTCTTACTATTCACTACGATAGTGTTGCTAGAATCGTGTCAAGCGAGAGCTCTTATTAATTCGTAAAATAACATTGAGTATTGGCTGCCGTTAACGTTTAGAATGCTATTTTATAATAATGTTTAAATGTTATAATAACAATGCTAATTATATTTAAGTAAACAAGAACTAATCTTATAGAGTTTGATAGGAAAAGTATTTGTGTAAAATAACGTGTCTTGCTCAGCTTATTGAATAATGAAATGATCTGTCAAATTCATAATTCGTTTTTGAATGAATGATTGTGTTTTATTTTTAGAAATATCAAACTATAGCAAAGAAAATACAATGCTAAGAGATTATTTCGTTCTTACTCGTATTACTGTTATCACCGATTGTCGTGGAAAAACTAAAAGATTTAATTATTTTAAAAGTTTCGGAATGCAAAAATAGCATACGTAACACAAAAGAGATTATATGATCCAATCATCTCGTTTTTACCAACGTACCGCCTGCGATCCGTTCCTAATAGTCGTTTAAATATCATATGACACATTATTTTAAACAAATCACTGAAATGTATGTACATACATAGTTTTTGGTGGTGAAGTGAAATCTTTGGTATGTCGTAGGTGAGTTATCGATTACATATGGCTAATCACTATCACATGTTGTACAGAATCCGGTAAAAGAAAATGATCGAGAGATTACTTAAAAGATTAAGAAAGCGAATCTTTTGGTTTTTTTTCTTTGTCAGCTTCTCCACGTTGGTTTTTGAGCGACAGGAGGTTTTAGTCAGTTCGACTCTGACATACCCAGCCCAGTATCCCCAGAAAATGTCCGGCGATTTCCTCCTGACCAAAAAAAAAAAAAACTTCTCCACGTCGGTCCGGTCTGATTCGGACGTGTACCCACTAGAAGATAGTTTTCACATGCATTTTTAATTACACACAACAAATACGTCGGAATTTTCACTAAAAATTCTTCCTTTCCTTATATTCTCTTTATAAATTGCTAAAAAAACTTGCAAGATTTGCGTGAGATTATATATTGCGTGTTCTCATTTTTTGTATGATTTTAGTTTTTTTTTTTATGAATGAGGGATGACTGTTGGCCCAGAGGCCTTTCCAAGTTTTTAGTGTGTTTTACTGTAATCTATTGTTATAAAAATTTAATTTCGTTACGAGCATTGCTTAAGCTTTACTAAGCCATTCATCCGACTCTGGTAAGTTAGTACAAGTACTTAACGAACTTAATTAACGAATGATAAAGGACGTAAACTGCTCGATTTCAAGAAATCGATGTCTTTCATACGATTACTATATAGTCACAACGGAGCGTGATTAGGTTTCACTCGTTAGTAAATTAACAAAAATACCACGCTTTCAGTTGATATTTAAATATGGTTGAAATAGAATGTTGTTTTTAAAGATAATATTCAATTATTTTTTCATATTCACATATAAAAAATTTCATGTCGCATAGAGTATTCACGTTATCGACCAAAGTTTCTAGAGCATTCCAATCAAGACAATACCCTTAAACTGATGTACTAAGCTACTAATTTCAATAAATACCCGATCTGGCAATGCTCCTAATACCGGACTCTGTACTGCATGTTTACATAAGATATTCCATTGATTATTTTAATATAACGTTTAATTTATAAAGAATGTATTTCCAAAAGTGATTTTCAGCTCAGTATTAGGTAAGCGGGTTTAAGTTAATTGAATAGTTTTCAGGTAACTCACAGTCTTAGAAGTCTCAGCCTGGTTTTAACTCTAATGATACTCGGGCGTATAGACAGCATAGGTACTGTAGGCGCGCGAGTTCATGTCCATCCTGAGGAATGCGGTAGTGCTGTGACCTATTTAATTATGGTAATGGCGATAATAACTACCGATTTAGTCGACAGCTGTCAATTTGGTTTAATGTAACTTAAGGTAATTTTGCAATTTATGAAATAAAATAAATGTGATAAGTAATTACTTGTTTATTTCTAATAGAGAAAAATATTCTTTAAATTCCAATTCAATCACTATCAAATGAAAAGACAACCGATAGATCAGAGTCGGAAACAGTATGTATCTTTTTTCAGTAGGTTTTTTTCTATCTGAACTTGTTGGAAGCGGAGTAGTCATGGTTAAATAACACAATAGCGTTAGCTTAAATTATGATATCGATAAGCGTCACAACCGTCAGATGTCAAACGAATGCGGGGAGGCGGGCGAAGGTGGGGCGAGCTGCCCCCCGCGCTCTGGCCCCGATGGACATGAACTCGCGCGCATACAGTAAGTACCATTACTCTATCTATTACTACCGCAAAACAGTATAGCATTCTTGGTCGAATTCAGACTTTGACCACATGATTTCGCTTATTGCCATTACCGGTACTGAACATACAATGTTATTGTTGGTAAAGTACTGAAAATTCACTCTTTGAAAATACAGATATAAAATACAAGTTAACATTACTATATACCTATAGGTTTTTAATTAGCAGAAATGTTCAATTCAATTTGTGCGCTAAGATAATGTATTTTACGACTACAATTAACTGGTGTCGGAGATATTTTAATTTTGTAATGTTACCACCATGAAATTATGTAATATAATAGTGGGTCGCGTTATTTTGATTTTTATTAACACTGTCAATCCACGGTTTGCATTTTACGGGAGCATAACGGATTGTCACACCTGGTGTTAAGTGGTTACTAGAGCCCATAGACATCTACAAAGTAAATGCGTCACCCACCTTGAGATTTAAGTTCTAAGGTCTCAAGTACGCAATAACTTTCAACCGAGACGAAATGGTATGCTGTAATAATTTGCCATTTCGAGTTCAGTGTGAGTCCATCAGTCTAGCTAACTCCGACCATGGCTGGCCACCCCATAATTCTCTCTAATTAATACTAAAAATCATCGAATCTGAAAATTGTAAAGTCTGTATTATTTTACATATAGATAACGATAAAATATGAATTGTAGTTCTCGTGTTAGCCACACTACAAAATTAGACTTATAAGAACTACATGAAGATGTTGACATGAAATTAATAAGATGCGCTGGTGAAAAACAATGTTACCAACTTTAAAACAGATGAAGTAATACATTTTTTTAAATTAAGGAACACTATAAGATTTTAGTATAAAAAATGAATTCTAATTTCGAAACAGTTCTAAGGTTCAGATAGTTTTAAGGTAAACTCTAAAGTACACAGTTTATCGTCTCATCTCTGCTGTTGTTCTTCACCTTTCTCTCTTGATTACAACAATTACATTTCGTTTACAGCTTCTTGTACCAGAAAAGGTAATGCTCTCCGTCTTCCACCAGCAGATCGTCAACACCTGGAGGAGATTTATCGTTAGTGACAATAACTTGACACCTAAAGTTCAAATTTCGGTCAATGATAATGCTGATGATTTTAGGAGTTGTGGGTAAAAGTGTCTGAATAGTTTGTTGACAATGTCTGAATCTCGAGGCTACGGAGCTCACCACTGCCTGTTGTTAAGGCAGGCCCACCTGTTGTTAAGTGGTTACCGGAGCCCATAAACATCAACAACGTAAATGCCGAAACCCACCTTGAGACATGAGCTCTTCTTTTTTTCTACCTTGTCCCACTAGGTGGGGTCGGCATAGCTAATTTTTCTCTTCCATTCTGTTCTATCAGCCGTCATCTCAACAGTCACTCCTCTCTCTCTCTCATATCGTCATTCACAAACTCCATCCCTGTCTTCTTCTGAGAACTGTTTTATTTTTATTGATTAGATGGGTGGACGAGCTCACAGCTCACCTAGTGTTAAGTGGTTACTGGAGCCCATAGACATCTACAACCGTAAATGCGCCACCCACCTTGCGATATAAGTTCTAAGGTCTCAGTATACTTACAACGGCTAAATTGTTATAGCTGTTATAATTTTCTATTATACTAACCAACAGGAGCGACCAGTTGGTTTCCGGGGGGGCTGGTGGGGTCCGGGGTCTCGGGGAGACGGTACAGCAGCCAGTAGTGGTAGCCCATTGGCTCCTCCTTGTGCCCGGCTAGAGTGTGCACGTAGTGACCGTTCGGCCATTCGCTGGCTTCGAACTTGAATTTCGGGTTCTGTTCGGCGGCCATTTGCATCACGCGGTAGAAGGACACGTTCCTGAGAACGACAAGCACTCATTAACCTTAAAAGTTGTGGCCTTAATTATTGCGAGCATAGAATGGTGGGACTATAAACTAGAGATGAAAAGAGTGGTTTGGCAGGATGCCGGATGCCGAATATTCGGCAAGCTGCAAGGCCGGAGCGCCGGATATTCGGCTCTTTCGGCATATTCGTGCGCGTTCGGGTGTTGTCGCACGCGAGCGGAGATCGCGACGACTCGGTACGACGACGATTTGGTACTCATTCACGCAATTGACGTGCGATTATAACAATAAAAGTTGTCCAATAACCTATTGTGGTATTATTTGCCATTTGTATAAACATGAGATTTTCTTAAATTTTACTAGACGAAATCCGGCCGGATACTGGTTTACTATCCGGTATCCGGCCAGATAGTGAAAACATCGCCGGATATCGGATAGTTACCAGATATCCGTTTCATCTCTACTATAAACAATCATTGCAATCTATTGTTACTACATCAGGGTATTGAATATTTGTCCCGTCCTCCTATCCTCAGTGCGAGTGTTTAACTTTCTTGATAGCGTGAAACTTAGCTCAAATTTGTATGGAGTTGGAACGTTTGCTTATGTTTTCCGCTAGGGGCACTGTTCCAACTACATACAATAGTTAACTTTTACGCTATCGAGAAAGTTAAAAAACTCGCACTAAGAACGCTGGTACTGTGTTCTTTGTCACAGTGAGTTTTTGCTTATAGTACCTGCAAACTGGTATATTTAATAAATTATTAAATTATCGCAAATGCCATGTTTATTTTTCGGTTCGAAGGGTAAGACATCTTTTATGAAATACATTTGAAACATTTGGCTCTTCGTGTGTATCAGGGTCTACATTAGTGACAATGTGGCCACTAAAAACCATTTTACATTTAGTCTGCAGCGAACCAGGTCCGCTTGAAGACGTACTAATTAAAGAAAGGCATTGGGTGCTGGATTCAAAACCGCTGTTACCTCGGAGCGACCATTTGTAAAGTGAAGTTCTCAGTAACGTTAGTGCCGAGCCACAGGGTGTAGGTGAAGGAGACGTTGCGAGCTTCGGATTCGTTAATCGCCTGTCCGGATTGATAAGCCAACTTCAGGATTCCGTCGCCACCGTTGTTATCTGCGAAGAAAGCAGGTATGATTGCGTATTGAGAACTGTCACTGTAATGGTGTCGGTATGGCGACAGTGATAGGGTTCTTGGGTGCATTGTAAGTCCACGTGTGTTGGTACCGACTTCTATTTTTACACGCTTTATATTAGCTTCACTTGTATGTATGTTTGTAACTGACTCCTTTCGACGCGATTTTGACCCACTTTAAACGGTCAGATTTCATTAAAACTTTGAAGATTTATCGAAGACCGATGACAATACACTAATTTGATAAGAATATTCCATTATTCAATTTGCAAAATAAGATTTTTGCCAATTTATATAATTTTTTATCTATAGTCGATAAGGCAGGAATTGATATTAAAGTACTTAATAGTTTTAAAAATACGCTTTTATATAAAATTCAACTAAAAAATAGAAAATAAATTTTAGTAAATTTAAATTGAAAATTGTGTAAAAAAAAAAATATTTTATTTTAAATAAACCTTGTATATAAAGCGTGTTTTTTAGTTTTTTAAACTATTTTATTTATTCATTACATTTACTGCAAATACAACTTAGTTCGATAAGATAGATAGCCAATTTATTAAGGATTTTTATTTCAAGATCGGAGCTAAGCGCTATTCATGCCCTCGCTGTGGTATTGCATCAGGCATCGATTTGGTTGTGCTCTTGACACTTTTGATTTTCGTGAGATACCAGAGACCTGGTCAAAATAGGTGATAGAGACTGAAGGCAAGAGACCGAAAGGAATGGAGTGGATGTGAAGAGACCTACACTCAGCATTGAGTGGACATGAACTGAAGCAGAGAACGTTAACTCTGTCGCACGAAACATCAACAGTCCGCAAATGAAAAACAACTGACAAACGACAGTTGAATTAACTAACAGAGTTCGTCCGCTACTGCCATTAGCTTAACATTTATGTTAGGGTTATAGTACTGTTACCGTAACCTTCTCTGAATAACTCTATAAGTTTCTACCAACTCAGTTGTATATACAGCGTGTGTTTTTTTCCTACCAATTCTCTGGTTGCTTTAGGGGCTATTTCAACTTTGCACGGCCGCGTATGTAAGCTCACGGGCTCCACCTGAGAGAATCTATTAACACCACCCTTAGCAAGAGAAGTGCTTTGCAGATTCTACGACCGGACCGAAATCGGGACCCACTGAGAAGATCGGACAAGAAACTCAGTGGGCTGAGTCTATGGGAAACGTGTTCAAGTATAGTTTTAGAACAAGGACTCGTAGCCCGTTTTTATTTATTTATTGCTTATATGTGTGGACGAACTCACAGCCCACCTGGTCTTAAGTGGTTACTGGAGCTCATAGACATTTACAACGTAAATGCGCCACCCACCTTGAGATATGAGTTCTAAGGTCTCAGTAGGCTAGATGTAAGAGACAAACCTAAAGGCTCGTGACGACTGTCCATGAGCTTGTCGCTGCAATGCGGAGGTCGGACTGCAGCCAGCGAGGCGGGAGTGAGCGCAGCCACCGCAGCGGCCGTCACTGACACATCACCCCACCCACCGTCCGCCGCCTGACGCTCCAGCAACCACTTGCGAGCCGCCGGCAGACTCCAGTGCTGGTGAGCGCCGGGACCGCTATCAGAGTCCTCTAGTGCCTGAAGATAGATATGTTAGAAAGGTGTAAGCAACGGCTTATTTCCTACCCATCCGCTGGTGGCCTAAGAGGCTATCTCAGCTACGCCCGGACGGGTAAGTGAGCTCACGGGCTCAACCTGAGTAAATTAGTTAACACTAGTCCTAGTAAGAGCAGTGCTTCGCAGATTCTACCACTGGATTGGAATCCTATTAGCCTATTGAGTTTCTCGCCGGATCTTCTCAGTGGGTCGCATTTCCGATCCGGTGGTAGATTCTGCGAAGCACGGCTCTTGCTAGGGTTCGTGTTATCAACGTCGTCAGGTTTGAGCCCCGTGAGCTCACCTACTAGTTAAGGTTACGCTGAAATAGCCTCTCAAGGCTCTCGGCTTAGGTAGGAAAGAAAAAACCTGGCATCATTAATGAAGATTTGAGAGTACTTCATCAGTTTTATGCGCAACGTATGTTTATTGCACTAGACGAGTAGACGTCAAATGGTTTCAGAATTGACAGATAATTTCAACATGAATTAATTAATCAATAATTTGAAACATTTCCATTGAAATGGTAAAATGAACGCAACAACAACAACAACAGCTCCGGCGAGATACGATCTCGAGGCTTGGGGAAAAAATCATTACTTGTATAGCAAGTGCGGTTGTGGTCAGGGTTCCGAAGCTCCCGTCAGGATGTTGTTGCCGCGCCAGTCCCGCCATGGGGCGTCTGACGAAGTGGATGAGGCTGCGGTGGCGATGGTCCTGGACCACGCAGCGCAGAGCCAGGATAACCATTGAAATCGTGTCTGAAAAGGCAAGTTGGTGTGATATCTTGGTGTGATTTTTACTGGTGGTAGAACCTCTTCTGAGTCCGCGCGGGTAGGTACCACCGCCCTGCCTGTTTCTGCCGTGAAGTAGTAATGCGTTTCGGTCTGAAGGGTAGGGCAGCCGTTGTAACTATACTGAGATATTAGAACTTGTATCTCAAGGTGGGTGGCGCATTTAAGTTGTAGATGTCTATGGGCTCCAGTAACCGCTTAACACAAGGTGGGCTGTGAGCTCGTCCACCAATCTAAGCAATAAATAAAAAAAATAGGTCGAGAAATAATTTTCGTGGGAACTGTGTTTTTGTCTAGTGGTAAATGGCAACAATATGCAGTAAAAATGTGTTTAAAACATCCTACCTGTGCAGACTCACAAGAGGTCCTACCATCAGTAATTACGTAAATTAAAATTTTGCGGGTTTGGTTTTTATTACACGATGTTATTCCTTCACCGTGCAAGTCAATCGTTAACATTTGTCAAGTAAGTGTTTCATTGGAAAAATTTGTACCCGCCTGGTATTCGAACACCAGTGCATCGCTAGATACGAGTGCATCGCTAGATACGAGTGCACCGGACGTCTTATCCTTTAAGCTACGACTAATTCAAATATAGCCTACATTGACGCGTATACAGATTGATCACTCACACAACTAAGGGCGGCGCGCAGTCGTACTTTGCAACAGCTATAGTTTAATTGAGCTAATTCTTTAGACAGCATACATTTAAATTTATAAAAAAAAAAACTTCAGAGATGTCAAGGGACACCCGGATGGAACGAAGTTCCTTTCGATTAATTAGTGAAGGAATTGTAATTTTTTTTTAAAGTTATAATAATAAATTACGGCATTATGAAGAAGAAAAAAACAATACTATGAACTAAATTACTATTGTTGAAACGCTATCTCGAGAAACTGTACTCATTACGCGGACCAATCGGATACGAGCAATGTCACGCGATAAGCGCCTACACGTTGATTGGTCAGAATGACGGATCTAAAAAGTGTCGTGACAACTTTTCGTAAGAATTTTTTCCGTCTAGCCCCCTTTCACAACGCGCGATAAGGAACTTCGTTCCAAAAAAACGTAATATTCCTAACCTAAAAGTACATATTATTATCCGCAACATGCTTCGTCAAAAAGTACAATACTTACTTTCAGCTGCAAGCGTCGTCATAAGTAACATATATGTCCACGAGTTTAATTTATGTTTAATCTTACCAAGACTGTGGTCCGATGCGGCATTAGCGATGTCTAGCAGTCTTCGGATATGCCGCCGGCGGACGTGAGCTGCCGATGAGCAGGCGGCAAGGGTCGCGTACGCGAACTCCAGGTCCTGAGGAGGCTCGCGGTGGAGGAGCGCGGCCACCAGGTCCCGACCGTGGAAAGAACGAGGGTCCTTGCAGAGTGCGCCGAGAGCAAGGGTGTAGGCAGCGAGACGACCCAGCGGCGGGGGAGACTCGTGGTGCCTAAGGAAAACGATGAGCTTATTTTTATTGAATTAATTGGGAGAAAAACTTTAAATAACTATGAAAGAGTTTCACTACTAATTGTTAAACAATGCAGTGTACTTATTAGATGTTAAAATACTATATATTGGGTATTCAGAGCAATTTATATGTTTTTACTCAGAACTATGCCGGTTTGGTTGTATACATTTAAAAAAAAGGTGCCACTTATTACATTATTATTATTATTATACAAATTTTGAGGCAAATGAAGCTGCGGGGTATCCTCTTTTTCATATAAATAATTAAGTATCCTTAATATCTTTATGAAACTTATTTGGCATACGGCGTCTGTGTATACTTGTCCTTATTGACCATCACAAGACCATACTGCTTTGGGTCAGTTGATGTATGAATCGTTCGATGACACGACCATTAGCAACGAAGATCACGACAAAGAAGATTGCTTACTTCGACATCATGAGCAAAACCTCGATCTCCATTTGCTTGGCAGACAGTTGCATCTCCAGTCCTTGCTGTTCGATCTCCTTGCCAGTGTTATTAGCCAGCTGAAATTAATATTTAATTTAACTTAAATGTTTGGGTTTTGAGGAACCAAACCAAAGTTTGGCTTTAATTACTTCATTGGAAATAGTAAAATGACTACTAGTGGTTTTATTTTTTTATTTTTTTATTGCTTAGATGGACGGACGAGCTCATAGCCCACCTGGTGTTAAGTGGTTACTGGAGCTCATCTACAACATACATGCGTCACCCACCTTGAGATATAAGTTCTAAATTCTCAGTATAGTTTAACAAACAAAAAAAAATGTTTTGCGTCTCTGAATATTTTTATTTCAGACCAAAAGTGTGTTTACAAATCTTTCAAATTAGGGCCACAATTTTCATGTTTCCATTGAATACCAATCATAGTGAAGTCTGCAAGTACTGAGACCGTTCGATTAGGCTAAAAAGCTTCTTTGTTTATAAAACAAGTTATTATGAAGAACATCTATATTAAGTTCGCTGCTATAAAATTATATTCTACTAGCCGTATTGCTTGCTGGGCATTTAAAATTAACATTATTATTTATCGTCATTATTATTAGGAAGTCCAACACTCATATAAATATTAGCCTATCCATTAAGTACATGTATTTTCCACACGGATACCAAGTTTCAAATCAATCGGATGCATGGTTCAGTAGTTATAACGGAACATCCGTAAAAACCACTGTAGATTTATATAATATTAGTATATATTATTATACGCCTAGAATCGGATATCATCTCGTCTTAATGTTGCTTTGAAACGACATAATGTTTAGTTTAAAAAAAATCTATAATAAAATAGATGCAAATCTTGAAAGCATCTAAAGGTGTACCCAGTCATGTGCCCAGTTTGTGTGTTGTCGGGGCGAATAAGCGGCTTAATGTCTCTTCTGAGGATAATCTGACTATCTGCAGCGAACGCTATTACTTGTGACCATACCCCAAGTCATGAGCTATGAGCGGGCAGTTCTTCAACAGTAACCTTATCGGCTTTTGAAGGCCTAAACGCTTTTAGTTAACAACTAAAGTTTTTGTGGAACGAAGTTCCTTATGGGACGATGCGGAGGGGTACCCTAACCGGGGAAAAACGTCCGTACCGTAAGATTTTTATTAGTAATGCACACAGTGTACGACTTAACTTTGTAATAACGTACAAAAATTTTTTTTTTTTTATCATATATTGTTTAAGAGCAGGTATAGTTTATGGTTGTGCCGGTAGTATGTTATAGTGGATTAGTGGTTTCACCTGAAGTGTGAGCATCACGTTGTGAGTATCGTTGCCCCAGCCCCAGTCCGCTTGCCGATGGTTCAGGAGGTACTGCAGCGCCTTCTGAATGGCCTGACCTTCGTTCAAGGTCTCTGCTTCCCAAGTCACGCTGGTAGGGGGAGAGGCGGTCGTAGAAGATTTGGTCGTGGCTGTGGTCGGTGGCTCGGTCTCTGTGGAGTACAGTTGAGCGTACAGCATCTCCTTCGTCGTTAATTTCTTTTATAGCTTCAATGAGCTTTTAATAGCTCGTTATTCTAGAGTTTAGTGACAATGGAGTTAATGTTTTTTTTTTCTATACTTCAGAAGACTTCAGTTTAATGTATATGTATAAAAACCTCTTTGTCCAAAATAGACAACTGTACGTATGTAACGTAATAAGTTAACCCAACAAAAAATACGACATAATGTAACAATTTACATTATTTTTTTGTTGCTTATGTGTCTAGACGAGCTCACAGCTCACCTGGTGTTATCTGGTTACCGGAGCCTATAGACATCTACAACCTAAATGCGCCACCCAACTTGAGATATAAGTTCTAATGTCTCAGTATAGTTACAACGGCTGCCCCACCCTTAAAACCGAAACGCATTACTTCACGGCAGAAATAGGCAGGGTGGTGGTACCTTCCCTTGCGGACTCACAAGACGTCCTACCATCAGTAATAACGCAAATTATAATTTTGCTGGTTTGATTTTTATTACACGATGCTATTCCTTCTTGAAGATTCGTCATTCGTATTTTATTAGAAAAATTGGTACCCGCCGGCGGGATTCGAACACCGGGTGCATCGCTCGACACGAATTTACCGGATTCGATGCCTTATTCTGTAGGCCACGACGACTTCAATCATACATGCTACTTTCTTAAGATATTAATAAAACAACAAGCACTAAGAAGACCTTTTTAAAGACGAGAAAACCAATTTTAACCTACCAGTTTGTCCGTAGACCGTATGGAGGAAGATCAGAATACAAAACGCCCAATAAGCCATGTTGATGATCTGAAACAAAGAAATAGAATTACAATATAATTACGGTAGTTGGCATAATATTCAAATGACGACGACACTTCGGTCGCATGTGACCGCGAAAACCGTAAAGTTTCGACACGTTATTGAGATATGATATCTATTGTCTCCAGTATTGACTTAGTATCAGATGGGCCGTGAGCTCGGCTGCTAGCTCGTTCACTCATGGAATTTAGTAGAGTATTATAATTTATTATAATTTGCGTAGTTACTGGTGGTAGGACCTCTGTTGAGCCCACGCAGGTAGGTACCACCGCCCTGCCTATTTCTGCCCTGAAGCAGTAATGCGTTTCGGTGTGAAGGGTGGGGCAGCCGTTGTAATGTAAAAGAAAGTAAAAGAAGTTGTAAAATATGTCTATGAACTCCAGTAACCACTTAGCACCAGGTGGGTTGTGAGCTCGTACACCCATCCAAGCAATAAAATAAAAATTAATGAATTTGGACTTAAGATTGTTGTGCCATTTTAACAAGTTCAGGGAATTCTCTTTTCACAAGGTATCTTAGATAAATATTCAAATGTTCACGACCTCTGTACGACAGGGAAGTCTGGATAAATATCTAGAAAGATCTAGGAAGTCCTAAACAAAGGGAGATACGGACGAGCCATATTAGATCTCGCTTCGCGTGGATTTAAGATAAGTCACGGTGTTAAAATTGTGAGTTAGCTGATTAGCAAATCAATATGTGCCAATTTAACATCTTACATATCGTTTCCCCACTCCTAAGGGTCGCGACCACATGTGATGTTCTTCCACTATGCTCGATCATGGGTGGCATGGTCCGCATGGTATAGACTACCACCGAGAGCTTCTCTTGCTAGATCTGACCATCTGGCTGGTGTTCTGCCCACGGCGCGCTTGCCTGCCCTCTATGCGACCCGCAATTATATATACAGTCAAAACCGTTTACTGCGACATCGTTTAATACAACATGCCGGTTATAATAACCAAGAACAAAGGTCCCGGCTGAATGCTATATGACCGCCTTATTAAAAATATTGCTTTCTACGACATTGGTAATAACGACATACCTCATAAAACGACCACATTTAACTAATATTTCGGAGAATTAGATCTGTTAGAACGACCGGCTAAGCTGTATTGTAAACAATTTCAATAGGTGTCCACATTTGTCTTCAATGGCTTTTAAAATCAGGAAAGAAAACAATAGGATTTAGTTCAGTTTAGGGTATTTTCTAATTCTTAGAAACAAAACACGTGCATGCGGTAGTCATAGCCCACTTCTTCATATCTCTTCAGTTAGTTTGTTACTTATCTATACATAAGACGCACCAAAACTTTGTGGAGTTATTCGTGAAACTTTCAAAATCTCGCAAAGAAAAAAAAAACAAATTAATATTGAAGAAAAATCGCGTATTATGTAAATATAGTTTTCCAATAATTCCCTATCGATTTGTTTGTACTTGCACGATACACATTAAGCATCACCGGTTGTTATGACTATCGGTTTTTACGACTGAATATGAGCAGTCCCTTCGATGTCGTTATAACAGATTTTGACTGTATTTGTATTTGTTCTTATCCCGCAAATATATTTAAACATTATACAGCACTACACACGTGAAAGCATTAATTAATTTTTGTCAATTAGGATAATATGTTAACTCAATATTCAGTGTCCAAGTTTACTCCTACTAATATTATAAATGCGAAAGTTTACGAGGACGGATGTTGGTAATAAAATGGCGGTTGAGGATAGACTAACTATTTATTGTCAAAGTTATATACAGACAGATGATGACAGATGGCGCTAGTAATCATTTACATTTTGTTACAATATTAACACCTCCGCTTAACAAAATCATAAATACTTCGTAACAGGTAATATACCAAGCTTTTTTGTGAAATATTTATGCTTTAAAGACCCTAAACTTTTTGTAAAAATATCTGCTGGCATTTCAGCGGTTTCTAAATAATCAACTTTAACAAACTTGTTTGCAACTGCTTCTCTCAGAAAATGATATCTTATGTCTATATGTTTAGACCTTCTATGGTATACTGGGTTCAAAATAAGTTTTTGTGCGCTTTGGCAATCATTATATAATGTAATTGTTTCTGAATTTCCTAAAATTTCAAACAATAATCTTTTTAAATAGATAGCCTCTTTACTGGCTTCTGACATGGAAATATACTCTGCTTCTGTTGAGGACAGAGCTACATTTCTTTGTTTCCTACATTCAAAAGAAATAACTGTACCAGACAATTTAAAACAAAAACCAGAAAAAGATTTTCTATCATTTGAATCTGAACCCCAATCTGCATCAACATATCCTTCTATATAAGAATTATCCTTAGAAAAAACAAGACCATAATTTTTAGTACCTTTTAAATACTTTAAAATTCTTTTTAAATGTTTCCAATGNTTCATACAATATTTACAAAAATTACAAAAACTTACCAACTATACGATGACACTATACACAAATATGATACAAAGATTACATATATTACAAAAACTTACACTACCAGCTTATCCTCCGCGTTTTAACTATAAAATTAAATTAAATTTTCACCACCGTGAAAAATACGTCTACCATAAACGAAGTTTCCCGCGCTTTTTTCTATTGCCCCTTTCGCTCCGACCATAGATTTTTTTTGGTACAATTTTTCCTTGTTAGGAAAGGCAAGGGAATCTAAGCCCATACAGCCATGTCTGTTCTATATATTTTCTGAAATAATTTTTAAAAAAAGCCGAAGCCAGGTCTTATATGATATATATTAATATATCCTGAAATAAAAATGTTATTAAGGCCGAAGCCAAGTCCTTTATAATTTCTTCCTGAAATAAAAATTTCAATAAGGCCGAAGCCAAGTCTAATGCCAGCCACTGACATGCGCGTAAATATTCGTACATTGTACGAATGTTTGCGCGCATGTGAAGGGCCGTCAAACATTCATTCGCAAACCTAGCGGTTGTGCAAATAGGTTCGCACACTCAATTTGCGAACCCGTTTGCGCTTCCTCCTACACTTGTTTACGAATGTCTCACGAATTTCTCCTCCTTTTTAATTCGTCAATAGAACATTGAAAAGAAAAAGAATTTTGAATTCTTTCCCAGACATCATTAACAGCCATGCTGTTTTTATGGGATTTCTTTTGATGAAGATACGCTACACAGTAGACGTCACGAACTATGAAAATGGCGATACGTCCGTTACCTTCGCAATCGTCGGCGCAACTGGGCAAACGAATGTGTGGGAGACTACGCGAAGGTTCGAGGTTCGCGCGCTTTGATGTCTGTTAAAAAACCGACACAGCTTGGAAAACCACGAATGCAGCGAAAACTTTGCATAATCATTCGCAAATGTCGTCCTACACTTGCGGGTTTGCGTATTCGTGCGCATGTGAGTGACCGGTGTTATAAATTTTCCAATCCTTGTAAAATGGCAAATTCGACACTAAATTTATTTGAGCTCTTTTTTTTTACGACCTGGTGATAGAGACCTTTAGGTCATATCTTATTTGGAAAATGTTCACTGTGGAAAATGTACTTTGGGGTATATTTGAGCTCCGACTGACTACGAGCATAGATTAAACACTTAGATATCAATCAGTTAGAAAATAAGTCATAAAAAGAGAATAGCGTTCCATTTTCCTAACTGGAAAGGTTAAGGTATAGGAATAGGTTTATCAGATATCACACATACAGCAATTTTTTTACTAAAAATGGTATGGAGCGAAATGATTGATTTCAGACATTAAGGAATTTCTCATTTTCTCCCACATATCTTTAAAAGTCTAAGTAACAGTGATTTAATTACATTTTATTCCTTTCCATTTCCCTTTTTGTAAAACTGATTTGGCTTTGACCTTTGGTTACAAGTATATGGTTGTATGGGCTACGTTCCCACTGCTTGTCTGGCAGACGAATCAATAAAAAAGGCTGACATTGTGTCATTGTGTCACAAATCACAATGATTGTGGATTGAGCATTATCGTACAATTAAAAAATAATTCGCCTCGTAAATAATAATTACATAATGGCTAACTGGATTTTTGAGTTAAATAATCCACAATTTGTTGTGGCGCCTATGGTTGATGCTAGCGAACTAGCTTGGCGCCTACTCTGTAGACGGCATGGTGCAAATTTGTGCTACACTCCTATGTTACATAGTAATGTTTTTACAAAAGATGCTAAATACAGGAAAGACAACCTAGTTACTTGTGAAGAAGATCGTCCTTTAATAGTACAGGTACACATATAATTTAAAGCAAACGAAATTGTTTTGTAATATTTACTAACTTGAAATAACAAAATAATTTTGTAACAACTGTTCTTAGACAGTACTACAATTAACTGACTTTAGTGAAGTTTAATTAAGTAATTGTTACTGTATAGTTTTGCGGTAACAACCCTGAAATTATGGCATCAGCTGCAAAATTAGCTGAAGAATATTGTGATGCTATAGACATCAACCTTGGATGTCCTCAATCTATTGCTAAAAGAGGAAGATATGGATCCTTTCTTCAAGATGACTGGGAATTATTGAAAGAGATTGGTAATGCTAATTGAGGTAAATATTATGCTTATTGCTGATATTGTATTGTATTTTAAAATTATGCAAACTTATCAAAATTATTTAATTAGTTAGGCATAATTCAGAACAAAAATTAAAACGTTAGAAATATTTAAAATTACAAATGTAGTAGAGCTGCATGCATGAACAGCAGCCTCTGCCTGAGTGAATTGGTAGCACAATTGGCTGGTTCCTGTTGCTAAAGTAGTTAGAGGGTATAAGCCAATCCCAAAATGTATCTTACTGTAAAAATAATGCAGCATTTAAAACCTTTCCATAAACATAAACAAAAAATATCTAGTTCAATGTACTCTTATCATTTAAAAGTTAACATTCAATTATATTATGTATATATGTATAAAGTAGTCAAATATAATGTCAGCAGTAAGCAAACATTCTTTCCAAAATAAATTCTTATAAGATTTTTATTTTAGTG